TGCCTGACATCTGTTGGCCACGACGGTGCAGGAAGGATCAGATAGGTTCTACTCTCCTCCACGACTGACGAATATGATTCTTGGGTCTACTACAGCTGACACTCTTCAAATGAGTGGTCCATAACCACCGCAGACCCTGTTAGACTCGGTCTGGCGCTTACCATGTTCTCGAATCAAGCATGGGCATCCGGGGATAGCGAAAACACTTCTCCAGACCCGCTTGCACTACGAGACTCACAATAACTCCACTCAGGCTCTTGCGACAGCTCACAGCAACGCGGGAAGCATCCTCATGGCCGGTCGTATGTCACAAATTTAATAGTTCGATTGCAGCCATTTCCGATTTTGGTGCCTTGCAACCAGCCTGCAATTTAATTGAAGCGGGAACGCAGCGGAGGTCTCGCGGATTTCAGAGTATTTTTAGCGACTATGGTTGAGATTTTATTACGTCTAAGCTGCAAGCGGTTGCAACGCTCCTCAAAGTGGATTGCAATCGCCCGTGTCAGTTGCAATGTGCTTCTAATCATATAAAATACTATTAAATCATTCTGACTGAACAGTAATTGTAGTCGATTGCGACCGGCTGCAGCCGGAAAATGAACTTTGCGACATACCTTGGAGTGCTGGCAGCATACACTTGTTCATACACCGATCACGAAGCCTGTATGTGGCGCTCAGCTGCCACCGCGGGGGTAGGTCACGAGGATGACGAGCTGGGATTCTTGCCATGTCAGGACTTCTGCCATAGCAAAGATTGTGCCAGTGGGGTAACCTCCTCCGAGATTTAAGTTTTCGGTCGATGTGACATGTGCCCCCTCTGCATACTAGCTCTGATCAGGACGTCATCCAGGCGGCCAGTAGAGCCCGCAGCATAAACTCCCACTTGTATATGTACCGGGAAAGTTGGCTGCCTCGATTTCCAAGCATCTCTGCTTGTATCGCGTCCCTGGGATTGAATCTTCTGACGCCGACACAGCTCAACTGCGCCTTCACGCACTCTTCGTCTCCTTTCGTGATGATTACATTACCCGCCCTCTTGATTGCTCTCTGCCTTTCCGTTTGCCCTGCCTCCGCCACAACCCTCCCGCCGCGCGTCGCTGCCGTTAGCCCCGTCGTCAAAGGCACTCCCCAAGTCCTCGGCGTGGTCAACGACCCTACGTTGAACCGGGACTCGTGCGGATCGGCACTGATTGGCGGCAGAGTCCTGTGGACATGCCGCGATACACAGATCACCGATGCAAGTGGCGTCCACGCCTTCCCCGTCATTAGCAGCACCTCCAGCTGGACCGACCTCGACGCATGGGGGCACCCCGCGCTCAACGACGGCACGTTACCCATGTACGGGAACAACAATTTGCAGAAAACGTTCTACCCGCTGCTGCCAGACGAATGCGGCGACAACGTGATGGGCTCTTGCGACAGCTCGAACACCACGCGCTACGCCATCTGGCCGGACTCCCCGCCGCTCGTCACCGACACCGCCGCGGACGGCACAGTCACGGCGTACACCTGGATCCGCAAGGACCATATCAAGAACGACCTGTCGGACCTGACTCCCGACTGCGCCACGACGCTCTACAAAGTCGTGTACTCTCCCTCGGCAGCGCACGACGCGCTGCCGACCGTCACCGTCGTTGACGAAAACTTCTGGACCGCCGACGAGCAGCTCCCGTACGGCGCGTACGGCGGCTTCGTCGCCAACGGCACGGCGTACATCTACGGCAAAGGCTATGGCCCACAGAGCACGGGCACCATCGGGCTCGCCAAGGTGTCCGTGGGCAGCATCGAGGACAAGAGCGCGTACCAGTTCTACCAGAACGACAGCTGGACAGCGACGCCGCCGAGCGTCAACGCGAGCCTGAGCGGAGTCAACATCCCGAACGTGTCCGCCGGCGGGCAGGGCACGTACTACTACTCCCCTCCCTGGGGCAGCTACGTGTGGATCGGGCAGCAGAATCTCAGCGTGTCAGCTGACTTCTTCATCACGACGAGCCCGGACCCCGAGGGCCCTTGGGCGCAGCCGATCAAGTTCTACTCAGGCGTGAATGGGAACGCGACACTGCCCGCGTACACGATACAGGCGCACACTTCGCTTGGCGGGTTTGAGAATGGAGCGAACGACGTATATCTCACGTACACGCACTGCGACCTGGTTGGCGAGAATGTCGTGTCGATATTCTAGGTGCGTCGCTGGATCGCGGTAAGCGCTGACGTTTTCGCGATCTAGACAACTGATGCGTAGCGTACGATGCGGGCACGCCTAAGGTGAGTATTTCCCGTATAGTTAACCTTCTTACCGTTATTCGTTTGGTTCTGTTTGGCTTTCGCGTTGGACTGGAGGGCCGCTTGATCCACCCGCTTTGAATGCTCCTATGCGTAACACTGAGGCCCCTCACGATGAATTGATGTGTAATAAAACAGTAGGCCACTTAGAAAGCTTTCTTGGCGTCTTATTCACTTTACAGTCTCCTGTGCTATACCGCTGCTGCGCATGCCTGCTTTTCGTCAGCAGACCCCGACTTCAAGTCATCTAGGCCCTCCTTTGGTTTCCTGTTAAATGCCACTACCCCTTGATTGATGTTTGCCAGCCATCCTAATCCGGCTCTGCATTTAATCTGTCGAAAGCTCCTTTCCTAATCCTAAGACAAGAACCCTCTGTACGTGTACGTGAAGCCCCTGGGTTTTCCTGTATAAAAGGAGGCCTGTCCCCGCATTAAATCGCCATCCGCTGGTCTCCTCCTGCATCTAACCCTACTCCTCATGATAACGTCTGTGCGCCGTTCTCCCCATCAGCATGCTTATAATGTAGTTCGTAGCCAATGTTGAGCGCTGAATTCGTGTCGAATATTGTCCAGCCGCCATGCCTCCCCCAACCATTATGCTTCGTGTTCACCCTGTCAATTTTGTCGCTGTTAACTGCTATTTACGATTCTTTTAGTACATATTCCCTATGTTATACCGTATGAAATGCGTCTCTGCGCACTAATTTCCTGTGTTGGTATGTCCAATAATATCGCATACACATTTACGCAAATCAATGAGCTGGTTGCGAGCAGAGGTGTGTTGTTATTAACGCCTGAGTCATATTGGTGAAGCTAGTATGCCTTGGTTCTGACGTGTTGTCAGCTCATGTGCCTTTGACTCCGATAAGCCATCACACACACTTGACTTGCGCTGAAAGGGTTCGAAAAAAAGAGCAATCCCAATTTCCGATAAGCTTGAAATGCCGTATTTAGTATATACCCTAAAAGCATGTAAGACGTCCAACAAAAATAATGTTGATTAAATCGTTTGAAAAGCTGGCATGTAATCTTATAGTTGTGTCCAGCTTGGCCATTGACAGATCTCCCCATTCACAATTAAGGAGTACCTTTCTGAACACGTATAAGTTTTGGCTTGCGTTCTGGATTTCACACGCACTTGCCCGCTGTCATCGTCAACACAAGCTTCTTTACGAACAAACATTTACAGATTGTTAGTTACTCCTTGACCTGGAACCGTTGCGCTTCCTGTGTCCTTGCGTAACTAGATATTGATGTACTAAAATAACGTGTTCCCTACCCCTTGCCGTCTAAATGCCGGAGAGCAGCGGAGGCGTGTCTTGTTGTTGTACCAATAAATAAAACTCCTCTACAATATAATGATTCGTGATATTTTACAGTTTGCTATACTACTGCCATGAAACCTTGATCAATGGCATGCTATACTGGGATGCATCTCAATCAAGAAACTTCGAGAAAGATGGTGCATAGTCAATGTTTATTACCACAGAAGACATTTCGGCGTGTGTACTCGGTGTAAAGATATATGAGACACTGAAGCGACTCTGAGGGGTACAATAATAGAATTCGTATGTTCTAAGGAGACAGGCGAGGCAACGAATAATATTCAGCATAAAACACGGGCACTGTGAGCTTTCCTAACTATGGTTTCCACCTTCTGCCACATGCAGTCGCCGGTGAATGATTTTACGGGATGTGGAGATATATCGGAGAGTCGAGGAAACATGCGAACCAAGTGACGCGCCACGAACGCGGGGTCGTCTATCGGGGAATGCGCAAAGCACGTCCTATTAATGCGGCTGTTGCACGCCGTTGGAGGGGACGCATCAAACGCTGCATTGTTAGCTGTGGTGAAGTCGACAATTAGACTGATATGATAGAGGTTGGGGCACCCGCTCAGCAGGGTTGCAAGACCTGTCATGGTGATATGGTTGCTCAAGGGAGGAAGGGGCCCCGTGTAAAAAGACAAGGATTCGAGTTTAGGGAAAGCAGCGGATAGCTCTTGAATGAAGCTGTTGTTCATCTCGGGGGAGCAAATGAGGTTAAACGATAGTTTGGTTAGGTTCTTGAACTTATAGATTCGTCGGAATGTTAAGAGGTCCAGAAGCCCGGGGACGACCGGGCCGTCGAAACAGTGCGTGAGCTTGAGACTAAGCATGTTATCCGCAGGGAGGATCTTAGTGAGTATTTGCAACATTTCAACAGTGTCACCGACGTGTATGGAGCCAGAGTAGAGGACAGCACGTAGAGACGTCATAGTCTTGAGATCACTTAAGGAGCACATGAAGGATGTAACTTCCTTCGAGCCTCCATAGTCGAGGGTAAGACGTTGAAGTGAGGGGAAGGCGAATAACCTCGTGGGCTGGAGAATAGGGGGTGCTCCATGATATGGTGGTAGAGGAGTGATGTAGAAGGCCAGTTCCTCCAGACACGGTAGACTCGATAAGAAGGGAAACAATTCGGAGGGTGTACGGATGATTAAACGTGTCCCAATTTTAAAGGTCTTCAGCTTCTGGAATCCAAGAGATACGGCGTCGGACAGCACATTAGGCAAAGCACGTCTGGTGTGGAGGTCGACGCCCCCTATAATGGAGATGGTCTCCAGAGACGGACAAGCCTGGCTCAACAAGGTGAAGGTGTGGGCACCGTTTGTCGGAAGATTTCCAAACTCGACTTCAATGACACGTGGACCAAAAGCGAGTGGCAAAAAGTTCCCTTGGAAAAATGAGTCGAACGCTTCGACGCGCTGGACATTTGGGAAGAGGTGGGCGCCGCAAAAGGAGGATAATGAGCTCATGACGACTTTGTCTATCGCAAGATTGCCGGTTGTCGAATCAGAGGATACAAGGCTTCGAACCCTTGAAACATAGCGTTCAAGAATTCTCCAATCAGACAACACCATAGCGCGCCGAAACGTCTAGTACGAGACGTCTGTGTTAGGCACCATAATATACAACGCATACAACTTTGGATGAACTCTCACCATAAATCTATTAGGTCCCGCTCTCTTAACCTCCAGCAGGTCTTCCGGTAGAACCTTGAGTACGTCCAGCATGGATATTTCTCGGTACAGTTTGTCCAACGCCGGCTCTTTGAAAGGTTTGCAAGTCCTTGCAGCGGCTGCGAGAGTCCTGCAGGCGTCTTCTTCATGAACATGGACGAATTCAAGTATAATAGAGAGGACTTCTGGAAGACGAAGGCATGGGTGCATGTTGGTTTGAAAAGGCGACGACGGTCAGGAGAGTCGGTGGAACGAAAACGCGGCGACGCGTCGCATGACGCGCCTATTACGTAAGCCATTGCCACAAACAGAGTTCGGGGGCTCGACAGCTTTTTGTCCAACGACGATGACCTGGCGCGCGCAAGTTTAACCTCGTGTGTATAGGCAAGACTATTGAGGATCTAGCTTCATGTACACTAGCGGACCTCATCACAGCCATCAATCTAGAAACTTTTGAGCGTGGAGCCATTTGAAGGTCCAAGCACCACAATGGCTAGTACCGTCCGTATGAATCGACGGCTCAATGACGCTCCGAAGGCGGGGCATCATGCGTCTCAACTGCCGCGCGGCAAACGCTTCGTCATCAATCGGTGAGTCCGCCAACCTAATCTCCCGAACGTGTGTGTTGTAGCCTCCCTCGGGCACGGTTTGAGCGGCGAACGACGCGTTTCGCGATACCGTTGCGTCGACGATGACTTCAAGGTAGCGAAGGTCAGGGCAGTTGCGCAGAATAGACGCGATACCAGAGAAACTCGTATAGTATGTGTCTCTCCAGCCTACTTTGCCGCCGAGGCAAAGCTTCTGCAGACGGGGAAGGGCGGTTGAGATAGAGGCGAGGTCGAAATCGTCGAGCTCAAAGTATGCGGTCACGGTGAACGTCAACACAGTCAGGCCACTGTAGACGAAAAGCGGCTCGAGTAGATCAAGCGTCAGAGTGACCCGGGGCAGGTGGTTCGGTTCCACGCTTTGCGTGATGCTGATCGCTTTCGCGAGGGACTTGTCGAAGGAAGAAGCGAGAGTGTCGACGAACTCGACAATGATCTCCGGGGACCTGATACCCATGGAGGCCACGTCGGCGCTGAACCTCGATACTTTGCGTAATCCCATTATTTTCAGAACGTCTCTGGTGAGCGTCGTGGACTCGTCGTCCTTGTCTGCGTCATCAAGACTGACAGGGAAGAAGTTATGCAGCTCGATAGACGTGAGATGCGGGCTGCAGAGCATGGGTAGGAGCTCGGAATGGACGACACGGTGTTTGAGGATTAGGGTTTGGAGATTTGGAAATAGATAATCGCAGAGTTCGGCTTCCAGCAAGTAGCACCAAACGTCTAGGTCGAGCTGAAGCTGTTCCGGATCGAGGGCGAGGTCCAAGACACGAACTCGACGAAGGTATCCGAGGAGGAATTGCCAGGTGGACTCAGCCACGGGTGGCACCAAAGACACATGTTGCTGAAAGGGCAACGATACAAATCAAGCCCATGGATGTGTTCCTAAAGTCAAGAAAGCTTACCGTTTTGAACCCATAGAACGAGTGCTCATGAAACATCAACATCTCCTTGGGAAGAGTCAGGAAGACGTCTGAGAGGCAGTCTATCTTGTAGTAGAGTGCATCCAGCGCAGGCTCCTTAAAGTCTTGGCAGGTTCGTGCGACGGCTGGAAGAGTATGTTTTGATACAAAGGAGAAAATCAGTGAGGTTACCTCGGAGACGCTGAGGCAGGGATGCATTTCGTGCGCGTTGCTAGTTGGTATAGTGGAGGTATAGTGCGAAGTGCCACTAATCCTGGGGGTTTGTGGATGCGAACCAGGCGATTGTGGCGAATCATGGCGTGTGATACACGCGATTTCCATGCGACACAAGTGGCACTCATCTGGAGGCTGTCCGCGAATTGTGAGGTAATCATACAGCGCAACAGAGAGAAAGGGCCCGGATACTCCCAGTCCAGCTTGCAGAGCTTTGGGAACGGGGGCGTTTTGGCCGAAGCCGGGGCACTAAGTGCATCTGCAAGCTCGAGATCGACGTGTTCAGCGGCTGAGACGTCCGTCTCATCGAACGTAATCGTCCTTGGCCCTAGTCCCCAGTCGAGTTCTACAACGCGCCGGGTGTATTTGAAGAAGACAGGCCAGTCAGCATCGGTGACTGGGCATTGGAGTCTGTATGTCTGCAGTAAGTCGCGTCATGGAGGTACCTGGCAAGGTATCCTGCATAAGGATTACCCATCAATTTTGAATCATTTATATCTTCGTCTATACGTCATATATGCTCTCCAACTAGGTCTTCTGGGAGGCAGCGAAGCAGGGGCGCGACAGAGTTCAGCTGAAACCAGAGCGCATCCAGCGCGGGCTCGCTGAACGACTGAGAGACCCGTGCTGGCGATGAGAGATCGCTGTCTTCAAGTTCGGTTTGGCGCACTACATTGACAATGATTTCGTCGATAAACAGAGCGCGGTGGACAGACGTCGTCGGCATAAGCTGTAGCAGTGAACCGTGGCCGCATATAAGTTGAAGGTAGGTGGCTTGTGCGAGTCATCGTGAGAGGGACTCGCGAAGTTGCACGACGCGTGGCTCCGGGCGCGTCAACCTCCTGCGTCTCATCTCATCACAGCAACCCTGCTTGCACTTTGGTTCATTTCTGATACACTCAGTCATACCTGAGCAGGCTTTTCAAATCCGCTTCTTATAATTAGACTTCAGGGATGCCCGAGTTCAGCGAAGAAGACATTGCCGAGGAGGAGAAACAGTTTGCCAACGTTATCGCCACCTTCCAGCAATACGCATCCTACTCCGTGCGTCTCCCTTCTTGTGCAACCTGTTCTCCTCGGTCCTTACACCGACCATTCAATGACTGCGACAATTACGCACGTCGCAAATTATCTATCACACGCGGAACTGAACTTGCCAGCTAGCAGCGAACAACCGCCGGCGCAAGGACGTCTACACGCTCCCACAGGCCGATCGCGAGGCCCTTCTGAAGCTCGGATACCTCAACAAGCTCAAGCAGGTCGACGAGGCTATCATCGCTAACGCTCAGTTTCTGGGAGATATCATTGCGGATTCAGACATCTTTGGGCCTGGCGTTGGCTCGGAGGATGGCTACGAGGATGGAGTAGGGGAGGAACTGGCGGAGGACGGTGCGTCATGCGGAACCCTTGCTGTTGTCCATGAAACCTGACTATGTGGACGTAGGTTCTCAATCCCAGCACCAGCTAGAGGCTAGCCGAGACCCTCGCATCCGCCCGCAGGGGCAGCACTCACATGCGCACGACCACCCGCCAGCGCCCAGTCACTCTCATTCGCATTCGCACTCTCACCCTCACTCACATCAGCACTCGCATTCGCACGATGGCGGACCACGGAAGCCGCACAAGGCAACGGATGGGGACATGGACAAGGTCCGGAGCACGCTCAAGCAGTTCGTGCGCGACTGGAGTGTCGAGGTATGTATCACTTCTCCGATCCTGTACGCGACAGCGTGGTGGGGCTCACTTTTAACATTACTGACAGGGTGAAGCAGAACGTGAGGCGAGCTACAAGCCCATGACGGACGCTTTGCTAGAGTACTACAAGCACAAAACCCCTGAGGAACGGTGCGCGCTCCCTGTCCCGTTCGATCATGCTCCGTGCTGATATTCCAATGTCAAACGCAGGAAGAAACTACGCGTTCTGGTTCCCGGTGCAGGGCTGGGCAGGCTTGCATGGGACGTCGCCAAGCTTGGTGAGCATCCCCCCTTCCCTCCCGATCTACCACAGCATCCTTCGGACTGACGCTGACGCTGTCCCTGACCCACCCATCTAGGCTTCTCCTCGCAAGGCAACGAATTCTCCCACTACATGCTCCTCGGCTCGTTCCTCATCCTCAACCGCACGAATACCGTCAACCAACACACAATCTACCCCTACACGCACAGCCTTTCCAACGCCCGCAACCGCGACGCAGCGCTCCGAGCTGTGCAAATCCCCGACGTCCTGCCATCTACGCTTCCGGACGGGATCAAGTTCGAGCTTATCGCAGGTCCGTTTTCGCCCATTGCGTCCCCCCAAATTACCACTATTTCTGGTTGGGACGAGTTGACGTTGACCCAGATGAAAACCTGACAGGCGACTTTGAGGAGATCTATGGCGCGGACGAAGACCCCGCCTCAATGATAATGGAGCCGACGGAAGATGGAATCCCGCCAGAACCGCACGCAGGTCTGTGGGACGCGATTATGACGTGTTTCTTCATCGACACTGTGCGTCCTTCCTTCAACCCCTCTCCTCTCCACCTTGCTGCTTTCGCATCCCGAGAGACATTGACTAACCAACGCATATAGGCCAAAAATATCGTCAACTACCTCCGCATCATCCACCGCATTCTCCGCCCAGGCGGGGTGTGGATAAACCTTGGCCCGCTCTTGTGGCACTGGGAGAACAACAGTACGAGTGACCCGTCGATCGAGCTCGGGCTGGACGAGGTGCTCGAGCTTGCAAGGGGGATCGGGTTTGAGATTTTAGTGCGTCTTGTGTTTTTTTGCTGCTCGACGAGTAACTAGAGAGCTGATTTTTCTTGGTACTTCGTACTGTTTGTTATATAGGAGGTGAAGACGATCAACTCGCCTTACACGTCCAACAAGGATAGTATGCTTGGCTACGTATACCATGCCGCCTTCTGGACGGCGACCAAAAAAGCTAAACCCGAGAGGGCGTCCGGGTTATCATCAGCTCCATAATGTCGATCAGTTGGCGGAGAAGAGAGTAATTAACCATAGATAGCAGCTGTATCTTGTACTGCATGTGGCTCGAGCGTTCGAGGTCCTTGATTGTGTCCTCCAAACTAAAATACGATTGCCAGCAAGTTTTTAAATGTTCTTGGTGTCCTCCGCGAATTCCATCTCACTGCAGACAAACTGTGATTTTCTGTTACTAAAAGTGATTGAAGCACCTAAAGCACCTCTCCCTCGCGATCAACGCTACCACTCGTACGAACGCTCGGTGTAAAGAGACGGCGATCAACGTGCGTAGCACGGCCATGGTCTCGTGGGACGTCTCCGGATCGTTGATTGATGACCCCGAGTTCACCGCTCGCGTTACCGCGAAGATGATGCCGAACCTATATGAACTCGGTGAGGCTTCAAGGGATACACGGGAGACATCCAGGCTTTGGAGGAGGGTCAAGTTCTTGGTCGATATTGAGAGGGTTGATTATATCAGAAGGCCGCTTAGTATTAATTGATATTTGTATAGTACAAGCCCGCAATCGTCACCTCAAATGCGCTTTTCTTCTTCACTGCAACTAACCTGTCCTGTATGCGAGGATGACAGCGCTCTCAACAGTCTTTGGGCTGCCGTCCATTTATCGGAAACACACCTCCCCACGACGAATCCCCCCTCGAGCTGCATGAACGTTCTCAGGCGCGGCATCATCCTCTGCATCTGCGTCGCAGCGAATACCTCATTGTCGATGAGCGAATCCGCGAGCCGCACTTCTGTAATGCGTGCGTTGAGTCCCATGCTAGGGACATCCTGGGAGGAGGCAAAAGCCGCGTTGCGCGCCGCCGTCGCGTTGACGATAAGCGCGAGATCGCACATATCGACACAGTTCTGGAGCACACACGCGAGCCCCGTAAGTGTCGTGCCGTACGCGCCTTGCCAGCCCATCTCGCCGCACAGGCAGAGTTTCTGGAGACGCGGGAGCGAAGAAGAGAGGAGCGCGAGTGTGACGTCGTCGAGCGCGAACTGTGTGGGGAACGTGCACGACAGAGTCGTCAACCAGCGGAAGACGTACAGAGGCTCGAAAACGCCGGCGTTCAGGACGAACGTCGGAGGGGAAAGATCACGCATGTTTCGAGGGACCGTTGATTGACCGATGTTGATTTCGCGGAGGTGGGTCGGATCGAGAGACGAGCCGAGTGCGCGTGTGAGTGCCGATAGACCTTCCGGATCATCATTTTGGGAAGAGGTCCAGACGTTGGCTGTGAAGGTAGAGACGGTGCGTAGATTGCAAGCGCGGACGACTTGTGCGATCTGAATGGGCTCCGCGCCTGTAACGCGGAGCTTCCTGAGATGGGAGAAGGTGAAGGAAGGCAGTGTCTTCAGGAACGTAAGATCATTTCTGTGGACGGTGACGTGCAGCCACTCCAAAACGGGGAGGCGAGTCGGAATAAGAAGTAAACGAGAGAGACTATGAAGATGTGTGAAGAACTTCAGAGTCTTTAGCTGACGGAGACGAGTAAGGTCTTCCATGATGTTCAGAACATCGTTGTCGTATCCGTCACTAAATGAAGTCCATTGGATGCCTAGATTGGTGACCATTGGGCAGGACTTAATGACGTCCCTGACAAAACTCAAGGTGATGGGATCAAACCTCCGTAGCCGCACTGTTGTCAGACGAGGACCTAAAAGAAGACCTAAGAATTTTGAGGGAAGGACGACTGCATCGAGAGTCAAGGAACGTAGATTAGGGAATAAGCACCCATTGCAGTACGGTTTCACGGCTTTGAACACGTCGAGAGACAGAGTGTCGTTGCGGCCTTGTTCGGTCAACCGCAGTAAGCGAACGCGGTTGAGATATCGCCGCAGGGTCTGCCAGTCAGATGGGAGCATGCCGCGCCGGAACGTGAGTCTTCTCTTGCAACAGAATGAGATCAGCTGCACGATGGTTGACATCCAAGCGATAGCTCACCGAGTTAACCCACCCCCCAGGTGATATGAGCAACAGATCATCAGATAGGCATAGAAACACGTCGATGAGGGTGTCCATTTCGTAGTAGAGTACGTCTAGTGCGAGTTCTTTCAGAGTTTGACATGTTCTGGCGACAGCTGGCAGAGAGGACTTGGGAAGGACGTTTAACACTGAGAACAGAATCTCAGAAATACAGAAGCAAGGATGCAATATCCTGTTGTTGTCTTTGGAACCCATGTTGATGGAGCGAGGGATGGGCGGGATGGGCTAAACCCAGAGTAAAGCAAAATTTTGGGTTTAGGCAGTGATCGGAAAGGCGGTGCAGATGTAGATGCAGTACCAGAGTTGAGATCGTTGAGAGAAGAAGATATGGCAATCCTGTGCACGGGCGCTTGTCAGCCACCGCATTCACCCGAAGCATAATGCATAGGCGTCTGAAGTAGTTGAGGCTCGGGACCGCAACGTCGCAACGTTCGAGACCAGGGGCAGTTGAGTCAAATTTGCTACGGAATTTTTATGCACGTCGTAATGAATTTCCGGGACAGCGCGTTGTGATTGGTTTTTTCTCCTTTTTACCAGTTTTATGCGACAACTTCCAGGCAATTATGCATAGTAAGCTAGCATATCTTCCCCTTCCCCGATGACGTCTCCGTAAACAGCCAAAACTCGCCGAATTTTTTTTGCTTTTGGACCTCTTTTCGGATCAATACTGGGCGGATAAATATCGGTTTAGCCTAGCGGGAGGGTTGCCTTGACCATGTCGTGCTGTCACCTCTGCCCCACCTTTTTTAACCTCGCGCCCAGAACTACAAACTCTCTTAAGTGTACCGACGCCGTACGAGCATGGAAATGAGAGTAAGCAGAACACGTAAGATTGACAAGTCTTATCACCGGCTAACCTGCTCTTCAGGGGGTTTCAGGGTCGTCTTCAAACCGCTTCACGGCGCCTCCGAGTCTTCCTCCGGAAGTCCTTGCCGAAATATTCCAGTACAGCACATTCACCTCGCGCTGTCGTCCCTCTGCAAGAGAGCCGCCTCTCGTTCTCGGCCACGTCTGCGGTACATGGCGTGAGGTACTCAGCTTGAACCCCACACTCTGGACAAGCCTCTCTATCGATCTCCCTGGAACGCCAGTGTACTGGGACGACTTCGTGGATGAGGTGCTGGCCATCCTGGACACGTGGCTATCTCGCGCGTCAACTCTCACGATATCCCTCGAGTTTGTCGAAACTGGCATGTTTCCCCCACATCTCGTCCCGACAATTGTCGACGTGCTCTTAGCGAACACGCACCGATGGAAGAAGCTGAAGCTTAACGTGTCGGACTTAGCGCTATACAACTTCCTGCGGCTCTTCTCTGCCGAACTACCATTCCTCGAAACACTCGAAGCACGAAGCAGCGCAACGCACTGGCGCCCTCTTACGGAAAGCCCGCAGGACTTCCAAGGCGACGCGGAAGCTCGCGTTCCGCGGCTCACGTCACTCACATGGAACGCTAGACTGGTGGACATGATGATATTTTCGGACTCCTGGTCTCAGCTCACCGAGCTGTCCATTCTGCACGAACCCCTATTCTACCACCTCCAGATCAGCCACCAGTTCCGCGTCCTTGCTTGGACGCACAACCTCGTCACGCTAAACCTCGGGCTCACCAACATCCCGTGGACGCCCCACGAGTATCTCCAGACCATCGTCCTTCCATGCCTCACCACTCTCCGACTCAGACGCATGGACCCGCAGGCATCCATCTGTGAACCCTGCAGCACCCTCGTCACGCCGTCTCTCAAGACGCTCGAGATCGACAGCGCAGGTAACCTCATCTGGTCGGTGGACGACTGGCACAGGGACCAGGTCCCCAATCTTCTCCGCCGGTCGGACTGCACGCTCGAAGTGCTCCGCGTGCGCCATGTCCACTTCATGGAGTCAGAGATCATTGACATTCTTCGATGTACGCCGTCCCTCCGTGCGTTCACGTTCTTCGCGTGCTACGAGTGGACGTGGATGGACGGGCTTCTCGAGTATCTTGCGGGGAAATCGGAGTATAGGGGGGAGCCGCCGCTGCCGGAGCTGGAGAACATCCAGTTCGGCTTCGTCGTCAACGCCGAGATGCCACGGGCCGAGCAACTCAAGGATCTTCTCGATTACCGGTTGGGGCTTCGCAGTGTTGAAGGGAGGAGGGAAGGCCGTAAACGAGAGGCGTGCTCGCCGTTGCATGTAAGCATGGAGGTTGACCTCTTCGACCATCGATTACCCTGGTACGACCCCAACGTACAAGAAGCTCAAAGGATCAAAGCCCTGTTGAACGACTTCGCCGCTCGCGGACACATCACTACCGAGGTTTCCATAGAGCGCGCCTACCAGACCAAGTACCCGCATATCGACGACCGAGGGAAGGAGAGTTATGTGTCTCCGAATCTTCACCCGGGATAGGTCTGCATGCGAATGGCGGACTATGGGTTTTTTTATCTCGAGCGATATATCTCTTTCGTGTGCGTACGCGGCTTGACCTTGCTTTATCTCACGTCTTTCCCCTTAGTGGAACCTCTCTCCCTTTCCTTGTTCTTCGTAAATACTTTGAATACCTAGTTTATTGTTTTTATAGATGCTTTTGATGCGTGAATAGTCGATACCTGTCTCAAGTCGCATCACGACTGCGCCATGAGGCGTAACTCGGATGCGGTTGATGTTCGCCTCGTTGCACATCTTCACATCACGGGGAGTCGCAGCATCCCAATGTAGTGGGCTCGAATTCACGACCATCAACGTGCGTAGGACATTGCCAGACATCGCTCCGTCATCGCCTTCGTCTAAGAATAGCGTACAGCCCTCAAGGATATGGTATAAGTGTACGGGGCTATCCGTCAGTGCACCCCTCCACGCTTTACACCCCCCGCCAACGTGAACACTCTCCCCTAGATTTCACCTCGGAAGTATCAGACCGAAAATAGCAGGATACAGTCAAGTTGATAATTATATATGTCAAATATATCGAGGACGCCGACGTCCTGGGTCTCCGCTCAGCTCGACCAGAACCTGGCATATGCAAGAGGTGAGTATTTGCCATGAGCACAACGGCGGTCCCAATGCTTTGTAAATTCAAACCCGCTAACAAATTCTGCGTACAGTTGGGTTATCGACACTTGTGATTTATGATTACGTTACGCCATGCATCGTCATACTTGGGGCGTTCACCATCTCGTTTGACACCGTGGTCAACGCAGTACTTCTCCTCGATGAAGAGGTTCGTGCCCTTCTCAAAGCCCTTATAGAGTCCGCACTTCTTTTACGAAGTTCAGATAAGATACGTGTGGGTAAGCTGATTACGAACTATGGTGCTTAGACAAATGGATGCTGATCTCAAGTTAGAAAACAAAACTGTCGCCTGTAACAGGACTATATGTCGTGGTTAGTCTTTAAAGTTCCTATGAATTCCCATGTTATTCATGGACTGTCCAGCTGCGTTACCTCGGTATCCTGGTAATGTTGTGAGTACATCTCGCAAGCAAAACGGGCGGCCTTTGACACACAGAACATATGCAGCACTGAGATTTGTAAGTGTGCAGTGCAAAGTGGGCGGTACACATGGGTTTAAGTTCAGCAGTCGAGACCATTGCTCTATCCAAGTCGGTAAGCAGTCGTCGATGCTATGTAGACACTTGATATTCCCAGCCAATGGGGCTCATCTCAGCTCTAGCAGTACGTCGATGCCTCTCTGCTACTCATTTTGCTGTTGACAGTGCCCGTTGCTTACATAGGTGTAAGATTTTAGGTTTCTTCTTCAGCAGCAGGATTCCGATTTTGGGTGCGACCCTTTCAGGCTACTTCTTCTTGATGTTCTTTCAGAGTTTGACGAGGGTCATTGTCGTGGCGCTACACGGTAAGCGTCTGGAGATGTTATTGAAGTTCCGTGCTGAATGGCTGCCTTTCTACTTGAAGCATTGCTTATGATACGTTTGTACGCGCTGTACGCGCGGTCCACAACGATATTAGCTCTGCTTCTAGCTTGTCTCGCCATTGAGTCTGGTGTCTTCGTCGTGTCTATGGTGTTTATCATCTTACCTTCGGGCGGGATAATCGGTAACGGATTTCACCCCACTAACAATTTTTGGCAAACCTCACACCATGCGTAGCGTCGGAGAACTCACTCTCCAGTGATAGGCTATGCGTCTTCTCCGCACCTGCCTTGGTTTCTTTGACTTCTTCGGCGTGGTACAATGCGAGCGTCATCTATGCGATAGTGGCCATCGAGGTGATCCTGGCCAGTTTGTCTTTAAACAGGTTCGTGTTGCACCTTCGAGATGCAATGTATGAACGGCGGAATGGACTCGGTCTGAGTCTGCTGTGGAGGATGAGCAACCTGTTTATGATCCTGATCAAGGACAACGTGCTTTGTTTCTTCTTGTGAGCTAATGCCTACGAAATGTAACCTCTGATACTAAGCGCTATCGGACTATAGAGCCCTACTTGCTTCTAGCCTCATGCTAAAGACGTCTGCATTGGTACAGGTGAGACGCTGGAGTGATTGCTTTCTTAGCTGTATTCAACTCCACTGCAGTCAACGAACACCTTGCTTAATATCTTTCAAAACGTCGTAGCAACATTAGCACGCTCTATCATGGGCCCGCATCTCGTTCTGAGTTTACGGCGCGAGAATGAGAGCAGAATGATAGAGCCGGAGGGAGCTGATAACGTTGATGATGGAAGTCGCCGTGGTGAATTGACAAGTGTCCGGTTCGCGTGGGGAGATGATGGACACGAGGAAACAAGTTGGACGTAGACATCAACTGTAGACCGGTAGTTCGCAATTCAATTGGGTGGTATGCGTCGTCAACGCAAAGACACCGCGAAAGTAAGCAGAAAAGCAAATGGTACTTTTAGAACAGTGCACCACCTCGCAAGGCTGTGTCGGCCACCTAACAAGCGCATACGGAAAGTCCGCCCAGGCGCGCGTGGGTTGTGGGTTGTGGGTTCGGATTATGGGCTGAGGGCCCTGGGTTATGGGCAACATATGGGTTGTGGGCACATATGCACTGTGAGACGAGCGCTCCGAGAGCATAGTATTGGCTGAGAAAACGGCGTTACATTAAATACCGTCGGGGCGGGTCAACACGAGGCGAATTGCAGTCTAACATCCCGCCTCCCCGCCCCCCAGTTCCATGAGTTCCGGACCACCTCAGTATACGCCGTCGGAGCCATCTCCTATGTACTCCTCGACGCCGCTTCATGGCGAACAGAGGGTTGCGCATAATCGTCGCGCGACGTCATCACGCACTGGGTCCTTCAGACGCATAACCGACAAGGTTACGGTGGTCCTCTCGGACCAACTGCCCGGTCGTATCCAGCCCGTTTACGGACGCGGAGGCTGCATACAAGGATATCTTGCGGTTCACGACATCGACAACATTATTGAAGTCACCATACGAGTGAGTACAATTTCGTTTTGGATACCGTTGACAAGCCGCTGAGACTGCATTAGCTGAGAGGGGAGATTAGCATCGACATCGCTAGCACAGGGAGCAGATCACGAACGAGGGTTCTCGACGAGTCCTTTACGCTGTGGAAAGCAGGTCCTTCGGGACCATGTCCTCCGACTATCCCCATCGCACTGGTTTGGCCGTCCAAGTTTTGGGACGGCAGCCAGACTCGTCAATTACCTCCCTCGTTCGAGAACGATGTGCTATCAACATCCTGCTCATATGACCTGACAGTCCTATTGTCAAAACGTAAGCAGCTGTTAGGACTGGTGAAACCGGCAGACAGGTACGTGCATTCGATCCATTTCATTAATGCTGCTGACAGGATCCGGCAGCGTGTCAATACCTCTGACGTACTTCCCGCGTACGCGCCCACCTGCACCGGCGACCTGTAGGGAAGATCCATTCGTGCCAAGCATGAGGAGCGCGCCGGACGAGTGGCATCAGAGCCAATGCATTATGAAGCCTTGCCAACGCTCCGCTTTGACGGCTGTCCAGTGTTCTGTGAGCGCTTTGGACCTCATCAGCGTGAAGCGTATATTCACAACGAACTAATTCGAAGCTATATATCCCAATAGTCCGCGTATACGCGTTATCCGACATCATTCCTTTCCATGTCCAGTTTCACGCAACCGAGGCATCTCTTGCTCATCTAAGAGATGGTGTAGGATCTGTCGAAGGGCATGTTTCAGTACGGGTGTACCTTCTCCGCAAGACTAGCGTTACCGTAAATGAGGAGATAGCTACTTCTCGTCGCATCTTGGGAGAGGGACAGATCTTCGTGACCAAATCAACGCTTACACCCCAAGAAGACGGACTATCGGCGCTGGACTGCGATGGCGAAGTCGTGTGTGGGGATGCGGAGGTTGATGGGCCCAGCTTCATCGTCTCAAACCTTTCAGTCAAGGTTCGTCACCTGTTTGTGCCTTTCATACAGGGTGCAATGGGCTCACCATGGCTCCGACTCCAAACCAGGATCTCATTGTGCTCGAGCTAAAGCCTCAACAACCTTTGAAGTCGTCTTTTCTGGAGATGTCGCATGCCGTTCCGATACGACTAGTGACGGACACTTGGGCGGAAGAGCCGGCCGCGACATGAAGAGGCAAGAAAACGGAGGGTTCTGCTACTGCTGTGTTAGGGCCGCAGTTCATGCACTAGGAACTAGCAGTACGAGAGTGAACGGGAGGATGATGTTACGACCACGCAGCGTGGGTCTTAGTATGTAGGTGGCGGTCTGTGGATAGTTAGTTATTGAGTATAGGCAATGCAAACACTGAAGCGTACTCGGTGGACGGGGAACATGCGACACCTTCTGATGTGTACAAAATCCATGGCGTTTGAACCTTTCCTCCATAATCTGGGCGCGAAGAGTGCAACTTCGGAGGCGAGAATAGCGCAAGAGCGATATGGTCTTTGGTGAGCTGCCCACGAACGCCATTGGAGTTCAGCTAGAAGGTACCGTTTAGTTGTTATACAGTACACTACGGGGCATGTGAGTATATGCGCACCTATCCTTGAATGTTTTCATTGCAGTATTCTATGCTGTATATGGTTTTGCAAGTTTTGAACGGGCCTCCTCTAATTGTGGATCAACCACCATCGTACAAATGAGTGGTGGGGACTCGTTTCCAGCTGACAGTGTTACTTGCCGGTGTACGTCGGAGTGAGAGTCAATTGGAGGAAGGTACGTTGATGTATCAATTCTGGCAATTAGCATAGTTTAAGGGCTTCCGAGAATGAAGGAAGTGTGGCGAGTGGATGCGGGGGTGAAGCTTTGAGGAACGTTGGGTATCACAGCTCTGAGATCCATATGAGCGTCGGCGTCGCGGTCACGATGTTGGGCGCGTCGCTGGATGCGGAGTTTGAACACGGCAGTAAACTAAGGGTTTTCGCGTCGCCCCAAGTGTCTGTCAAAACTTGTCGCGTCGGTTGCCCGAGTATTCAAGCGCCCAAGCTCACTGAAAGAGTATACGAGGTACGCATCGTTGATGATTGGTCAATCTGAGATTTGGTGGATATTGACCGCCATTCAGTTATGCATGCTTGCCTTCGCATTCCGGAATTGACCACACTAATATGTTCATTGGTGGTTGAGGGCGACAATTTGCAGTCCCCGTTGTCAGGCGGTCGCAGGAGGTCTGCGAACATATGCTTGTTTGCGCTGGCTAGAACCTGTAAAGTCCTCAAAGATCCGGCATTGGATGCACTTTATCGCGACATATTCTGTCTTGGCGATATGCTCAGGTGCTTACCTAGTGACTTATGGAAGATTGAGGCGAAAGAGGTAAGCACACCTGTCTCGTTGCACAAGAGCGTAACTGAAGCATCAGCGGGAATAGGAAAGCGGCTATAGAGAACGGCCTTGGCGCACCTTCAGCTTCAATCGCGCAATGTCACGTAGCGACTGGCACGTACTGGAGAACTACACTCCACGGGTGCGGACATTGGACATCAACGGTCTCTCTGATACTACCATTCTCGCCGATGGTGTCTTGGATGGGATACTTTCTCACTGCGGGGCAACTCTATTCCCACATATACGCGCCCTTCATGTCAGTTTCAGCATCAAAGAATCCTATCTACCGCTATTCTCTCAGTGGTATCTCGGGCCATCCCTCAGAGACTTATCGCTGGGCTCTTCTTCGACATCTTCTACAGCCGTACTCATCTCTTTTATTGACGCTGCTATTCAATCGAGCCAGTGCCTTCAGTCTCTCACTTTTCCTCACTCGGTGCCCGACGACCGGCTACTTGAACTTTTATCGCTTGCGGCGAGACGGTTACCCCAGCTCAAATCGCTTTCGATCCCATTGCGTGGCAGTAACGAATCTATTTTTACGGCAGTAGGCACCATCCGATCCCTAAACTCTCTTACTCTACTCCCTGGCTATTACTATCGTCAACCTACGCTGAGAGCATCCCCGCGTGCACTCTCCCTTCCCAATCTCACCCGCCTTCACTTCCACGGCGGATGGGAGGGCGTTGGGAGCATCATAAAAGATATGCCAATTATGGAAACAATCCAGTTTGTTTCGGTCTCATTGTCGAGCATCGGTCAAGCCGTCAACGCGAAGCGTGTCTTGGAGTCCTTGTCTACAAAAGTACCAGAAACACTACAGGGCATTGACATAACGATTTGGGGATGTAGGAGCTTAGCTATGACGGACAACTTCCTGGAGCGTCTGGGCAAACTCCGTCAGCTGACATCTTTCTCCCTAAGATCGGATTCAGAAAAACACTACACCGACAGGCACCTACAATTCCTAGCGCAAACCTTCCCTTCCCTAACGCGACTACGCTTAGAATCCAGCTGCGACTTTCCCACAGCGACACTTCGCGGGGTCGCCCATCTGCTTCGTGGATGTCCACAGCTGAAGGACCTCTCCCTCGCCATTGATGCCACCGTTTCCGCCGAGGCCCGTTGTAAGAAGTCGGCAGTTGACGCTCACAGCACGGCGATGGCTTCTTAGGACGTCTCAGCATCTCGTGTCGATGACCGCGAATGGGCCGCTCGTATCATTGCAAACATGATGCCGCAACTACATGATCTATACGTAGGATCGGATGGCAGGTGGTGGCGTAATGCTAATGCTAGCCAATGGGGAAGGTTGAGGCGTTGATCGATGCCGAGAGGATGATCAAATCTTCGCGCGATGTGCAGTAGGGCTAATGGTCAGATCGACGCGCAAGTTTCTCGTGTCATATTTTCGTACCGTCCCTCATAATAACTAATACCCATGTCTTTATATCTTAACCGCTCTATAATTACTTGATGCCTCACACCAAAGCACATATAGACGTGGAAGGGAACAAACCGAGATCATGATGCTAATATTGGAATACTGGTGTGCGACGTAGATGATGCGAGAATGCCCTTGGCATGTAGACACTTACGGGCGCAGATACTATTTATCAGCAGGCGTGAAGCAGAAACCTAGCAAGCATACACTTATGCAGACAGATGCGTATATACCAAAGACGTTGGAAGTACTAAACAAGTAAAGTTTGAGTAGGAACACGACTAGCGTGCTGCTTGACCAGTCTCTCGACCTCCTCCCAGACACCTGCGTTCGGATCGCTTCCATTGTATTCGGGTAGGGAAGAGAGGCGTGGGATCAAGCGCAGGAGATGGCGGGCTGCAAAGGCAGGATCGTCCATCGGAGAGTTCCCCAGCGAAAGAGAGGTAATCTGCGTGTTCCGCACCCATGGAGGTAGCGCGTCATATGCAGCGTTGGTGGCGGTCGTCAGATCAAGGGCTAGGGAGAGCTCTGAGAGATGACGGCAATTGCGAAGCAGCGTCGCGAGGCCCTGTAGAGTGGTCCGGGTAATGGCATGGGAACCGGTCAAAAGAGGCAGTGACAGACTCTTGAGTCTGGGAAGGGCCAATGACAGCGCCTCCATGTCATCGTCGTTCAATGGAGGATCGAAGACGAAGTTGACGGTAAGGTCAAAAAGTTGATTGAATCGGAACAGCGGACGGAATACAGCTGGACTCGGCGCAAAGATAGTAGGATCGACGTTGCTGAGGTGGATGCTAAGCATGGTTTCTGGCAATGTTTGAACCAGTGACGCTATCATGTCAGATATATCGGCTTCCTTGTCCTCAGGTCCATACTTCAAAGTGGCATGGAAGGTGGCCAGATTGGAAAGATCGCGAATGCAGCTCATGATACGCATCACTTCCTTTGGCCCACCGCTTTCAAGGGTGAGCTGCGTGAGAGAAGGAAGGGATGTTCGTGACGGAATAGAGGGTAGTCGTGAGGTTGAGGGTGATTCCAAGTCAAGGATCAGTGCATCAAGCGACTTCATTCTTGACAGTGTAGAAAGGATCGCTGATGGTTTATAAACGACATCGGGAGTTCCCAAGTGCAGCCGTTCGACATTTTGCAAGCCTAGAGATACAGCATCTGCGAGCATGGTGGCAAACATGCTGTCCGGTGGGTGATCCTTTCCCATAAGGAGGGAAACATACTTCACCGATGGGCACTTGCGGGCAAGAAAGACGATGGCGTGTCCAAACTCGGGGGCGAGGGAGTCGAAATGGGCTCGCACAAGTCGAGGACCTAGAACAAGGGGCAGGAAAGCCCAGGGAAAAGCAGAGTCTAGATAGGCTTCGTGGAGATTCGGGAACATGGTGTTGTTGCAGTACTGAAGTACTGAGCTATGGAGCCGAAGACGTCCTTATCGATTTCCGAGTTTGAGCTGTCTATTGATCGCACTCGTGATGCATATCCTTTCAAGGTGCGCCACTCGGAGAGCAACATACTCCGAGAGAAAGCCTGGCACAAGATGGACCATGTAAGCGCTTTGCCACATAATCAGTGCTCAGCGCTCACTATAATATCCTTCTCTTCATCTTCATCTTCATCGATGTCTAAGAGGTCATCTGGAAGACATCTTAGTATATTTGAGAGGAGCACGTCATTGTAGAGCTCGTCGAGTGCTGGCTCCGTGAAAACCTTGCATGTAGTTGCGAGGGCAGCGAGGGTTGGCTCAGAGACCTCCTGGTCGATCTGTAAACATATATTAGATATGATCTCGGTTAAATACAAACATCGATGCATGGCCCGATGAACGTGATGAGGAAGTTGTGGTTGTTTTGCAAGGTGAGCTCAGAGCTGAGTACTGAGTGACGCGCCCAATCCGCGTCCAACCGCCTGCGGCCGGAACGGAGTTCGAATAACATGACGAGCCCAAAGTCAATAGTGAATCTCGCTTGGACCACCTAGCGCAGATAACAGATTAACACGAAGGATTACCTATGCATGTTGATGAAAGATAGTCGTACATGAAGGGGATATCTACGGGGGGATACCTGTCTAGAGTTCGGATCCATCCTAATTGTTAAAAACTCCCTCAAGCACGATAACGTGCCTAAGTAAAAGGTATACAAAAGAATATATGAAGCGGGTAAAGGAGATACGCAGCTCGAGATGAAAGACGCTAGAATGCGATTCTTAGCGTCAGGAAGATCATGAAGTGTGGATTCCGCGAATGATGCTTTCAACCATAAACCAGTCATCAGGAAAATGACAAGCCGCTTTACCGGCATTATCCTGACTTTGCCGAGATGAGCCTACTTTTTTGGTATTTCCGGCTCTTTACTAGAGAATATTTGGCTAGAAAACCACATCAGTGGCATTGAAGCTGCAAATCTCATTACGAAGAGTAAGCTACGAGTCTTTCAAACCGATTTGGATCCTCAAATATAGCAGAATTGTGGTTTCAAATTTTGGGAAAGTAGGTTCACTCTGGCAAAGTCAGGAAAGTGCGGTTAATACACGTGTCAAAATCCTGATGCAATCATCACTATTGTCATCAGTGGATTGGTCTAAGTGATGGGTGACGATAGTAGAAAGGCGAGGAAACATGCGCGAGAGGTGCTGTGCGGTAAACTCGGGGTCATCGATCGGTGAGTCCCCGAGGTCAAGCCTATCTACGTGATTCTCGGGTGCAGGCGGAGGGGACGAGCTGGACGTAACGTTAGCAGCGACCGTACAATCAACGATCATCGCTACTGAGCGAAGCTGGGGACAATTGTGAATAAGAGTAGATAAACCTGCAAATGTAACGTTGCTGGGGCGGAAATAGGGAGCTTTGGGACAGAGTGACAGCTGTTCAAGATGAGGAAAAGCATGTGCCAGTTCCTCGATGGCAGCGTCTTCCATCTGAGGAAAGGAAACTAGGTCAAACCGTAATTCTCGTAGAGCCTTGAATCGATATAGTCGCTGGAAGCCGATGATGCTCATGCAAAAGGGTCCAGGTCCTTCGGTACTGTAATGCCTGATATCAATACTGCGCATATTTTGGGGCAAAACTCCTGCGAGTACTCGAATCAAGTCGGAGACATCGTCACTATTCTCGATGTCAGGGTCCATGTTAGCGGTGAGAACAGTCATATTCTCGAGGTCGCATAGGCAGCTCATGGTGCGAGTAACCTCTCTTGGGCCACCAGCTTCGAGAAAGAGGGATCTAAGGGAGGGGAAGGGGATCGAAGTTTGACTAGGGACAGCGACGAGATTCTCAGATGAGATTGGGAGGATGAATAGACCAAGTTCTTCCAGTGATTGCATACGAGAAAGGGCAACGAGGTGTCTGGATGGGTCATGGACAAAGCTCGGGGTTAGGAGATGAAGGGTCTTAAGTCGATGAAAACCTAGAGACACGGCGTCGGAGAGGATGGTGGGCAGGATAGTATCGCATTCTCCGTCGGACTGCGCAGTTGCAAGGAGACTCTGAAGGGAGGGGCATACACGGCTGATAGTAATAAGCGAGTGCAGGTATTTCGCAGGAAGATCCTCAAGCTCCAGCTCGATGAGCCTGGGACCCAGAACAAGGGGCAAGAAAGCCATGAATATCCGCCACTGAAGAGAGCGCGCTGAACATTTGGGAAGAGAGGAGCACGGCAGTAGTAGGATATGGAGCCCATGACGTCGTCGTGAATTGTTGCCACGGTGCATGTAATGTCTCGAACTTTCATCGCATAGCGTTCAAGCTTACTCCACTCGGAAAGTGTCATACCTCGTTGAAATGTCTAGCACAACGAACGCAAGTCAAATGCCTTGGGTGTAGCGATCCGATCTGACTTTACCATAATAGACATCTCTCCTTCTATCTTCCATAGGTCTTTCGGAAGACACCTGAACAGGTCCGAAATGTTGACTTCACGATAAACTCGTCCAATGCTGGCTCGTTGAAAGCTTTGCAAGTCGCTGCGAGAGCTACCAGGGTTTTGAAGTAGGTTTTCTTATTGAGAGAGCAGAATATGATAGAAACAACTTCGGGAAGGCGAAGGCACGGATGCATGCTGTGGAGATGCTTGGAGTGACGGATGAGCGAAGCTTTTGGTTAGAGCAAAACGCGACGCGCGTTGCCTGCACGTCACGTTAGGGGCTAAATAGCACAGCCACAGTGTACACGGCAGTAGCCCCTAATTCGTTGTGCTCCCTCGTCCTTCGATAAGCCTCACATTGGCACCATACGCTAAAGCGGGTCGGTCACCATCAGCAGTTACGAGAATCAAATCCGTTGTGAAGGTTTAAATAGAGTGCAACACGTAGCTTCTAAATCTCTACTTAGCATTAACGTCAAGTATGTAGAAAAAGGTAACATATGCAAGTCCGAGCTTCAGGAGTATAAGCTAATTTCGTCCATAATCAGAGGATGTACAACAGTCCTTCAAGCGAGTTCGTTCAGCGGAACTTGGGAAAACGATGTCGGGAACTTTGGCAGATAATTATCTGGCCAGAAGCGAATGTAAGCGGATATTCCAACGAGCAAGGCCAGCGAATCGAGGACATAGAAGAAGACTGAATACGAAGGCGATGAGCAATACATACACCGAACAAGAACGAAGTACACGTACCTTCATGATTCTGCAAATATCCGGTGCCGTCTTCGGCTTGTCCATATTCAATGGTGCGATACACGCACCGCAGCTGGAATGAGGCAGGTTGTTCGCATTCAGCAAAAAAACTGATCGATTGGGTTCAAATGACTTACCAAGAAGAAGAACGAAGTGAAATATAACAGCTTGAACAACATTCCCCAAAGGTGGTCTGATGCCTTAATCTTTTCATTTCGCAAACTCCGATGTGCATGAATAACGAGGACGATAAAGAAAGCAAACGAAAGTGTTTGCAGAATGAGACCGACTAGAAGGACACGAGCGCCGAGTGTGATCGAGCTTGAACTTTTAGATGCCTGTAGCCCACCACCTCCACCCTAGGTCATCGAACAAGACGTCAGCGTCACTCGCTTGACGAAACATAAAACAATGACTCGCCTGGATAAGGAATGTCACAACATCACTGGTAACGAAGATGCGAGCTACTTTCCGAGGCTGGACCCACGAATGTTTTGGGTCGATACAGCGAGAGACAAGTCGGCCGTACAACATGTAGTTGAACGCGAGGAACGCAGCCGGTGAGAGGATTATAAACATGTCTTGGATCATGAACACGCCCAGGCTGTTGGGGTTCAGAGCCATCGGTATGCGCAAGAAGAAGCCGATAGACATCACTGCGTACGGAGGCGTAAGTAAATTGAGCACCAGTAGGCCTAAACTATATGGCGGGGGACTCACGAGCAGCAGCGATAGGAAGACAGAGGCCCCACCAGCTTCGGGCTCGACAGAGCCGTACGAAGATTAGCGAAGCAGCAATCGCATAGAGAACCCCAGCAACGATTGCAGTGGGCTTGCTCGGGCTGTAGTCTAGTCGGTCATGTTAGCGCACTTCATCAGGCCCTCCTAGGAGGCTTTTCTTTCTTGACTTACGATAAACCCGCTCAACCAAAGTCGGCACGTCGCTTGACGTGGTTGAATTCGAGCTGTCTATTCCAGCCTTCATCACACGTCTGATATGAAAATGCAGACGGAATGTACTCACCGGCATTGACGCTCTGAGAGAACAGAGCAAGCGTAGAGAGAACAAACGGAAGAAACCTCTTTCGTTGGAGGGTGAGGAACATTCTGGGGGGTTGTACCAACGGAGGAAACGATGCACGGAGAAGGTGTAGATGATCTGCACAGTGGGGCGGACCGTCGTATTTATGACATTCTAGTAGCTGCGGCCCGAGCCAGCAACGCCCTGCTGCACAGCAATGTTCTTCTGTTCTGTTCCTGTTCCCGCATGGATGTGTGGGTCAAGCACATTCATTGCACGATAACAGTGAACATGTTGTTTGTCCGAATGAACCGAGCTCAAAAGAGTAACGAGATGCTCGCTATAATTTTCGGCGAGTCTTTCATTACCCTTTTAGGGTTGCCGAGAGATTGCCGCGAGTCCATTTCAACTCCGCGAGCTTGCTCTTCTGCCTAATCAGGGTATTCACACCCCTGAGTCGGCCAACATTCGCCAAGACCCCGCAAACGCAGCATCGCGCAGTACAACCAGGCTGCGAACACCTGCATCGTTGCTGTGTACGTAAGATCATCTGTCTTTGTGTGAGGCAGCGTATGGAAATGGTATCCTGATCTCCGCCACAGCAGCTCAGGTTCTATCAGAACTGGATTTCAATTGTGACGCAAAATCTCAACGTACATTCAGACTTCGTGAGATGCCTCCGCCGGGCTAGTCCCTCCAAGCATATGTATGGCTAGCACAACTTACACCTAGATACATATCATACACTGAAGCAGGCCGACGCTGGAGTTCAGTAGCTGACTCTCGTATCTAGCCGAACGTTACGTGGATTGACGGAATATGTGCACATTACTCATGAAGTGCTTATTCACCCAATCCAACTATCAACCAGTAACCAATCCCAACTGTTGGCTGTGGATGGGTCAAACCGAGCCTGTACTAGGGAACAGAGGCGGGGAAACATGCGCGACAGATGATGTGCGGTGAACCGGGCGTCATCGATGGGCGAATCTCCCAAGCTCATCGTTTCAATACAGTTCTCGCTTACGATTGGCGGAGACGAGTCGAGCGTCGCATTAGCGGCAACTGTGCAGTCGACGATCATCCCTATTGAGCGAAGACGAGAGCAGTTCATTGCAAGAACTGCGAGAGTTGACAAAGTGGCTCTTGGGGGCGTATTTGGGAGAGAACTTCGGCCGAGGGATAGGTGTTCAAGACAGGGGAATGCGTGCGACAGCTCTTCAATGGTAATGTCGTCCATCGAGGGGCAAGAATCAAGCTCAAATCTGAATTCGACCAGGTTAGTGAACTGATATAATTGACGAAAAAGAGTGAGACTGAGAAGCGCTGGGTAGCCGTCGTCCAAACTCGGGGTGTTCTTGATGATGAGTTTGCGTATATTCTTTGGTAAAGTTCCGGAGAGCACCCGCACCATGTCGGAAACCTCGTCGACGTTCTCCGACGACACATTGAAGTTGACAACTAGCTCGTTCAAACTTAAAAGGTCACAAAGGCAGCACATCAGGCGTGTGGTATGACTTGCTCCACCTGCTTCAAGAAAAAGTTTCCGAAGGGAAGGGAAGGGGGTCAAGCGTTGGTGAGAGGCAGTGACTAGCCTAAAGGGGGAGTCCGGCTGTATGAAGAGCAGGAGGTCTTCCAGGGACTCCAGCCGGGATAAAGCGGGGAGAATATCGTATGGGTTATGGATAACGCTAGGGTGGTAGAGTTGCAAACTCTTCAGCTTCTTGAACCCGACGGCTACGGCATCGGATAACACGATAGGGAGGACAGTTTCTGATTTGGCACTTGCGTCTCCGCTTATATCGATAGTCAGCAGAGATGGACATGTGCGGCTGACCAGGACAAATGAGTGAAAGTAGTTCTCGGGATAATCTTCGACCTCAAACTCGACGAGTCTGGGACTGAGAACAAGGTGAAGGAAAGCGAACGGGAACCCTCCTAACCATGCATGCTGAAGGTTCAGAAACAGAGGGCCATCGCAGTAGAATGATATAGAGCCGAGAAGATCTTCGTGTACCGTACATCCGTCAAAGCTCATCACTAGACACCGGACCCTGGACGCATATCGTTCAAGAATACTCCAATCTGATAGCAGCATGCTTCGTTGAAAAATCTGGCATGATGCAGTGCTGTTAGACTAACTTCGCCCTTGTGATGATATTATTTGGACTCACCATGACCCTGCTCGAGTTGAAAGTCCATAAATCCTTTGGTAGGCACATCATCGCCTCTGACACGTCAACCTCTCGATACAGCTCATCCAACGCTGGTTCTTTGAAGGCCTTGCATGTTGACGCAAGAGCAGCGAGAGTTCTTTTGAAATCCGGACCAAGATCGATAAGTGAGCATATGATAGATATCACTTCACATAGGCGAAGGCATGGATGCATGGCGAAACGAGCGTCACTGGAAGCCGTGTTACAGTAAGCCGCGACGCGCGAAATAGCGCACGCGTTACGGACCTTTTAGAAATTTGCCAAACGCCAACTCCAAGACAACACAGCCACATTTTTAACAATAGCCCCTATGTTCCGAAACCCCACCGGCACGATGCTCTTGAACAATTACTTGAGAGCACTGATGCAGATACTCGGTCATCCTCCAGGACTCTTGTTTTCTTTCTTCCCCTGCTCACATTAAGATTCCCAGATGGATACTGCATTCCAATACAAGCACTGAGATACCCCAACCTATTGTATTTGTCAGGCTTTGCGTGAGGTGCAAGGACCTAGGATCACAAAGATTATCGATGACGCTTTGTCCGTCTACAATATCGCTATTGTAAACATCTCAGATATAATCTGATGCACCTTCATAGCCAAAGGCCTAGCATTCCAGCCAAGTTCGACACTGTCCTCCCCGCCCAACCGCGCCTCACCCATATGCATTTCTAAGACACGCAGAAGACATCCACATCGAACATCAGCCCCCACCATAAACAAACCGCTTATAAAAGGCCGAAGAGTTCTTCGCTTTCTGGTACAAGATCTAGAGCTTACATGGAGAGCTGGGGAGAGTTCATTATACACACCTTAGACGAAGAAAAACGTTGTGCTCTCCTCACCAAGCAACCCTGGATTGAAGAGGTGCGGCCATATGGAGTATTATGCCGTGGGTGCAGAGAGTGGGTACAGCCAGAGAAATCCAAAAGAAGAAGTTGGTATGATCTACGGCCATGGGCCATGCATGTGAGGACATGCGAGGGAATACGCAAGAAGCGGGTATGAAGACATCTCTGTCTCATTTATAATTCTCGTTGTTTGATGATTGGTTTGTTTAGACCGAAAAAAAGACGCGCATCCAGTTGGTTCTATTGTGACGTAGTACTGTACTACTACATCGTGGTCAGATATCATCAGCATCTTTCCATGGGTCGTACAACAGGGATCGAGTCCACGACTCAGCTCTTGAAACCGGGATTGACAACAAGTTCAGCGATTCCTCCTCTACGAAACCTTTCTCTGTCCTTTCGTCGCTGGGATAGATTAGCTTGTGCTGTAACGCAGAACAGGAATTGCACGTAGTATCTTGCTGGCGGGGATTAGCTACGGATATTAATATTGACCCAAACCGCTCGTAAACTATAAAATATAATTCAGTTTAATGAATCGACAGCAACCATCGCATGGAAGGTAACATTATGGTAAATGCCGATTACTTCTGTGTTTGTCCCTGTAACATTATTGACTGACAAAAGCGCTCTCAATAAATAACGCAAGAAGCGCACAAACAAGCAGAATCAGATGCGCTTGGACCACGGACCATGGGTCACCACGCATGCGAAGTAATAACATGACACCGATGTTATGATGCTCGGACCGCCTCCGTTTATGCAGATAAAAGTGTTGAAAGAAGAGCGCGCGGGCGGCGCATAGACCAGGCGCTGACGAAGCACAGCGGCATGGACCGCGTCTACGAGGCGCATGGTCTCATTCCCTTTTGTCTCCTACTCAGATACGGTCAAGGCGACCTCTGCACGTTTGGATACGTCCAAGCAGACCTTCCGACTATAATAGCCATTATACACGCATAGACCGACCTAGAATTGTATTTATACCCCATGTATTCTGGTGTGTTCCCCACCAATTGCATCAATTCTAACGGGAACACACCAGCGTGACTATTTTTCTAAAACGCTGGTCTTTCCTCGTAAAACCCTCTTCACTCTTGGCATACTCTTTTGTTCATTTTCTCTCGCTTTTAGCCCCTTTAGCACTTCAACCTCGGAATAGTATATCAACCATGCCGTACGGAAACAATCACGTTGCCTGCTCGGTGGACCTCCCAGCTGTAGGACATCTGCGAACTCCGGTGGATTGGTCAAAGTCCCAGAACGACACCTACCTCACGCTTGTGTCCAACGATAAGCACGATTATTCTCGCCAGAACTTGGAAAGTACGGGTGCCGTTCTCGAGGCCTCAGTGGACGATTCTGTGGGATCCACATCCTCTGCCCCTGCTTGTGACTTGCCTCTCGTCTCAATCGCCCCGTCGATGGTAGCACCAGTGAACGTTCCAGGATCCAACGATTTTATTTCCCTCAAGCGCGCTTGCGAGACAGATGCAGGTCCCAATATGCCCCGGAAATGCGCGAAATGCAAGGCTCCGGGTCTTACTACAAAGTCAAACACCAAGACTGTGTCTAAACAGAAAGACAGCGGTGGAGATGGAGAGTATCGCGATGATAAAGGCGATGAGCATTACAAAACCGAGTCATCTAACGACAGCCAGTCTGACAATCACAATGCCAAGAAACTCTTCACAGCTAAACCCGAAAAACATATCCGCAAAGAGACGCTGGTACCACATTTGTGTCAGTACTGCGGCAAACCATACTCGAGGGGATACGATACAAAACGACACGAAGGGAGCTGCCCGCTTAGCACAGGGACTCGGAATATATACGTCTGCGAGATGTGCGTGTCAAATCTGGACCCCTCAATAAGATCACGAGGGCAGCTACGCCGGGCCGATTTGTTCATAAGGCACATGCGGGTACAACATGGCGAGAATTGGGATGCCGGTATGGTCGATACGAGATTGACTCTGCTTCCCCCTGACTCAAACGGATCAACTGGTTGATTGGCGAGGACTTAGTATAATAGTGATGTTCTGCTTATCCTACGGCTCCAATCAATTTTTCACCTTCGAACTCATGGATATGTTATACTACTATAAGAATTCGAAAACGTCTGATTTACTGGAGTCATGCTGGAGTTATATATGATATGCACACATGTCATCGATAACAAACCGAATAATATGATTCAGAAATAGCGATCAAAAATGGTGAACAGGCCTCGATCCAGCTCTAAGTTTAGTTCTAACCGTAAAGCTACAAGCCAGAAGATATTAATCTGGAATAAATCCCGTTGAACGCAATTGAACACGCCTATATGGGCTCCTTTCTTCAATCGCGATCTGCATATTAAAGAGGTTTTTGCAGCACATGGCTCGTTATAAGAGGGTGCGCTTCAAATATCAGCCTCGTCAATGGTTATGATGTTTTTAAAACCACCCGTGTGTATCCTACGTACATCGAAGTGACTCCCTGCTCGGGGCGCATGAAGTTGGTACAAAGGAAAGAAGGGTTAGGAGCTAAGTATGTTAATTTGGCATTTAGCCATATTATTCCCAGGCTTCAAATTTGCAACGACGCCATGTCGCGCGGATGTCGATGAAGATGTAAGTAACGCACGTTCCACGCATACCATGCGATTTGTCTACGTCTCGCACCGTGACCAGGCCTTGCCGCGAGTTAGCTTTGGACAATCCATTTGGACCGCAAATTGAACGTCGAACAAGACCACGCTGCCCACATCGCCGCGCCTATGTCGGTTCTCCGAGTCGATGTAAGTAATGGCTCGACTGGATGCCGTCCCAAACGTCTGCCGCGCAAACACAGCGACCAATGCTCCACTTCAATGTGCTACTCGACCTGCACGACCTGGCCGCGCCATGCTCTCTACATATATCCCAGTAAGTTGCCATGCGTTCGAATTTCTAAGCGGGCTCTATCCGTGGAGTTAATCCTGATCGTTGAACCAGCGCAGCCGTTGCTGTTGATACATGCAAAAAGTCTCAGTCAAGTTCACGAAAGTGATGGTCTGATCATGGCTCAACGCTTTGCTCAATCAGCTCGGCGAATGCCAAGACCTCATAATCCTCGTGATGTTTTACGAGCGCCATTCCTTCGGTCATGACGCGTGGGCTGCTAATATTTCTGAAGGGAACCATACACAAAGCTGTCAGTGACTAGTTTCATTCGTTCCGTTTTCGAGCACATCTACGGGCGACATGTGGGGCACTATATACTACCCCAGGGTCATGCCCTTGCTGGCCTGCTTATCATCTGACCGAGAAATGCTCAGATCAGGGCACGTTACCGCCGACGGGCCGTGAGCGGCGCGCCGAGTTCGGTGAGAGTACGCCTCCCTGGGGAGAGGCACTCTGGGCCACCTTATCGGCAGAACAAAATAGAAGCCAGGTTCGTCTATTCCGAGGTCACGATAACACACCCCTTCCCTGAACGTATCGCGCTGGCAGGGAGTACATAGTCTGCGCCCGTCGTGGGCATTCGTTATCATTGCTTTCCCTCCCGCGCCGGCACCATGTCCACTTCACCGTCGCTCGACACCAAGGAGCACGATGTGGTCGTCGCCACGCTCCCCGCGTCTGAGGGCCAGCCCGCGCCTCAGCACCGTGGTCTCGCATGGTTGTACTATCATCCTATCACGCAGGTTGTCATGCTCGGCTTCGTGTGCTTCCTCTGTCCGGGGATGTACAACGCCCTCACCGGCCTGGGAGGCGGAGGGCAAGTCAACGCGACAGTCTCTGCAAACTCGAACTCCGCGTTGTACGCGACGTATGCGTTCTTCGCGTTCTTCTCAGGGTATGCTTCCATCTCGGTCTCGATGGTATGTCCAGTCGTCGAGATGCTGAAATCATCATAGAACCGTGAACAACAAGATCGGGCCAAAACGTACGCTGTTACTCGGCACTCTGGGATATGCTCTTTATATCGGGTCATACTTGTACGTCGTTATGGTCTACTATGTCGACAATCCCCTGCTTACCAATTGTTTATTTCAGGGCGATCAACATCCACCCTAATGCAGGCGCATTCGTCGAGGCTGCAGGAGCATTGCTTGGTGTTACGGCTGCTTTCCTCTGGACTGCTCAAGGCTCGTTGATGCTAAGCTACGCGACAGAGTCGCAGAAGGGTCTCTTCATCGGCATTTTCTGGGCGATTTTCAACATGGGTGCTGTTGTTGGCTCCTCCGTGTCATTGGGCCAAAACTTTGATAGCACTGTACGTTTCTGCTCACTCAGCTGATATTACCAAGTCGCTTACTGATGTATGACATAGAACAACAGCGGTATGTCATTTTGACACCTTCAGCCGTGAACTTGCTTATCATAACGCCTCTTCTCCACAGTCGGGAATGGAACATACGTGCGTACTTATCGCACTACAGTCAGCAAACACGCTTTTCATAACTGTCTTTTGGTGGAGTAGATTGGGTTCTTGATTCTCACCCTCATTGGGGTCACGGTGCCTTTAATGATGGCATCGCCGGAGTCGATGCTAAGGACCGATGGTACACGCCCCGTTGTTGAGCGGAAACCTTCATGGGCGTCTGAGTTCTACAACCTCTGGCTGGCGCTATGGTCCGATCCGATGATTCTGTTGCTGTTCCCAATGTTCTTTGCCAGTAACTATTTCTACACGTGGCGTACGTTTTCGTTTCATCTTTCCCGGGCAGCTAATCGCTGACTATGCCGACGGGTACTCCCAGAGTTCAACGACTACAATTCGGCACTGTTCGATATCCGAGCCCGTGCTTTGAACAATCTCGCTTACTGGTTGTCGCAGATCTTCGGATCTTTCCTCATTGGCTACTTCGTGCTGGACCAGAAACGCATGCGGCGCCGCGTACGCGCGTTCACAGGGTGGGGTATTCTCGTGGCGCTCACTTTCACGGTGCACATCTGGGCGTACTTCTACCAGCGGTGAGTCCCGAAACCCCCGAACGGCTAGCTTCACTGGAGCAGGGGCTGACTCTAATCCGGCACCAAAGGACCTACACGCGAGTTTCGATCCCCGATGACGCGCAAAAGATGGACATCCACGATCCTCGATACCCGGCGCATGTGTGGCTGATGATCTTCTACGGCCTGCTTGACTCGATGTGGCAGACATGCGCCATGTGGCTCATTGGTGCGATGAGCAACGACGCCAACAAGCTAGGAGTGTTTTCGGGATTCTGTAAGTTGACGATCTTTTCAGTAAGAACGCCAGTAGACTGATGATGCCACGTGTACCAGATCATTCGATCCAGTCGGCCGGAGCTGCAATCGTCTGGAGGCTGGATGCGATCGACACCCCGTATGTGCCAGCTCAAGACGATCCGCCGGTCCGAAGACACTAACGTTCTCCATTGCACCTGACAGATACATGAACATATTCATCTCCACTTGGTGCATAGTGGCTGCGGGTCTAGCATTCGCGCTGCCCATGATTCACCTGCGCGTCAAAGACCACACAACCTTCGAGGATGAGACTCTGTAAGACTTTGAGCTTCAAGTCCGACGCTCTGACTCACTTCTTCGCAGGATGAAGCAGGATCGGGTCGAACCGGCGAAAGTCGAGAAGCCGATCGCTGAAGACTGATCACCGAGGGGTGGTCGAACATCTATGCAGGGAACCCAGAGTTTACCGTGTCGAGAATGCACGCTATACGCCGCATATGCCACCACCCGAGTCACCCGTACCAATCGTTTTCGGTACTAAACTTAAGACATTGTACAAGGGAACTTAATGGCAGTGCTCGGCTGAAACAGTGCACAGCAAGTCCGAGTCGGTGTGCCTTACAGGTTAAGCGAAGAGAATTTCCTGCCTAAAAGACGTTAATCCCGCTAGGCTGTGCAAGGAGAGGCGGCGTGAGCGCTTCTGTCCAGGGCAGATGAATGAGTTCGCTGACCGTTCGCTGCGGTAATCTATCTCCAAGAGTAAGGCAGAGTACAAACAACGCCTTCTGTGCCTGAAGATGATACGGTCGTCACTCAATATGCCATCGAAGCCGCCGGAGTCTTGCTCTCCACGGGGTAGGTCCTTCAATCAAAAATCAACAGTGAGCGTATAGGCGTTCCTCGGCATCATGCCCGAACAGATGATGAAAGGTCGGCGAAGTGTGTGTCACAACCTTACCAAGCACACGAGTCAGTTACACGGCGTTGGATGGTTCTGGAAACCATAGCCTAGAGCTGAAAAGACATTTTGGATCGAAGCCGAGTTTCAAACGTTGAAAATAAACACACATCGAAACTTTCGGGATGGAGAGGGGTGTGTACGTTATCGCACGGATCCCGAAGTCACCCGGAAGCGCCTGTATCTCGTGGAATCTAAAGAAAGCCGGTATCCAACATTTCTGTAATTCCAAAGGGCAAAGGTCGATTGTGCACGGGCGATGTTATAGGATGAATGCAGAAGGCCTAGTAAAATGATGGCGCAGTGGCTATCGCGCGGTCACCAGGTGTCGCTCAGGCTAGACGCTGGGGCTGGTCAATGAAAACAGCCTAGGATCGTGCCGAAGAGCCGGGATAAACTTGAGGGATAGCACGGAAGGCATTTAGCGAACGCGTGCGGCTTATTGCGGGCATTATGCAGACAAATGACGGGAAACCGTCGCTGCCGACGCGGTCGACTGGGAGAGGGTTGGAAGGACCAGGGCGGACCCGGGAGGAAGCCCCTGACTCGTGCGTTAGACTTGACCCGTTACTATTAGTCAGCGGGCGAGTAAGACACACGCGGGCACGTGACAGAATTTGCTTTCTATCCCCGTACGGCTCCGTTCTAAGTACTATTGGCTGTGTACGCGGACGCCCTCGCCGACGCGTCATGACCAGATCCCAGACCTTCGAGTTTCATCAGCCGCCATCTAGATTTGCTTACTGTACAACCAGTACACCTTGCCTCCCTCGCCAACCTACAACACCACTAAAGTCTAATCTGGAACCATGCGAACAATCCGCTCGCTTACTTTCGGGGCCCACTTCTTGTATAAAAGTCCTCGGGCCTGGCGCTGGTCAGGGGCCCCAACAACTCGGTGAACAACATACACTTCTCTCCTCCTCAAATGCTTGCTTCGCAATCTGGTTCTGGCTCTGAATCTCCTTCTTCCGCTGCTGCTGCTCTCCAAAGGGGAAAGGCTTGTTTGCCATGTCGGTGAGTTATCCACCTCTGCTCTCTAAACACATTAACTGAGGTTTTTCTTCCATGTTTGATCGACTTTCAGGCGAAGAAAAATGGTCGGTCGCAGTGTCTTCGTTGAAAATAATCCATTTCTTACTATTATATGCAGAGGTGCGACGGCACGCGTCCCGTCTGCGGCCAATGTACTCGGGGTAACCGATCCGAGGACTGCGAGTATACGGATGGACAGAGGCCTTCGAGGACGCAAACGCTGGAAAACGACGTTGCACGTCTACAGGCACGCATACAGGAACTAGAGAACCCCGGAGCATCAGCGCCATCAGTAACGCTGCACAATCCATATGCAGGATCGACGTCCGCACACGCGGTGCCGAGGCTTTCGATACCCACATCCGCATCTCCTATTGCCTCAACCTGTAAGCGTCATGTTTGAAAACGAATTATCATGTGCTAAGTTTCGCAAAGCTTCTAGCGAATCCTACAACGTCTATGCTACTCCTCAAACAAGTCAAGGCATAATGCCAATGGAGGAGCCACCCTATTATCTATTACGGGCTGCGTACGTGCTTCTTCGCCTGATTTCATGAAACCTTTTCTGAACTTGTCTCCCAGTCTAGAATCGACTATTCCTATGTCCCGGGCTATTGGGTTTTTCTTTAACGTAGATCGCTTCCGTCTGGCTGTAACGTCTGCGAGCGGCACCGCCCGCCCTTCCCCTGTACTTCTGAACGTTATCACGCTTTGGCATATTCAAGTAACCCAGGCGGCTGAGCTCGCCGGTATGGAATCCCTTCTTCTCCCTCGCGTACTACAACAACTACCAGACACGATTGCAAACGCTCTTCCAGAGGAGCTGTTGTTCGTTCTGCAGACAGAACTTATTCTCGCACATTACTTTCTTCGTATCGGTCGTTACCTCGAGGCTCGTTACCACGCAAATGCCGCGACATCGCTCGCGCTGAGCATGCGTTTGCATAGACAAGGGTCCATCGACCCTCCGAACATGTTCACCTACGTGGGATCGCTACAAAACTGCGAGCTCCCAGAAGCGAACGACGCGATCGAAGAGGGAGAGCGCATCACCGCATGGTGGAACGTGTTCACGCTTGATCAGACCCTCTCCGTCGTCCTTTCCGTGCCTCCTACCATCCCCTGCACTCGTCTGTCTGTCACGACGCCCTGGCCGCTGGATATGACGACATACGAGCGTAGCGCAACGCGTTCGCCCGGTTATCACGGTAGAACCGCAACACCAGGCTCTATTCCCTCGCACACCGACGTCCTGCGGGCCATGCTCGCCCATTCTGACAACGCTATCGAGCAGACATCGTCCATTGCCGGCCTTAATGCGAAAGCAGCTGCGTTGCTAGCCCACGCCTCCTCCGTCTCAAGCCGCTTCACAATCGGTGGGTACCTCTATCCGCGCTTCTATGCGATGTTTCCGCCCAACTCTAAGCTTCCTTCATTCTTACACTGACCCTCCTTCACCCTCCAGATCCACGCATCGCGCAAAACCCAGACTTCCGCACGCAACACACCGCGCTGAGCAACCTCATCGAACGGTTCCACCAGGCGCTCCCGCCGCTGAGCGACGAAACCCCGCCCGAGATCATGCGCAGCCTGCTCGTCATTTACGTCTTCACGAACCTCGCGGCCGTCCAGCTGCACCACGCCTTCCGCGATGTACTGCCTTCCTCTGCGCATCTGAGCTCCAATGCTGCCCACGCTGTCATCGGCATGATCAACAACGCGAACGCACGGGGTATCAGGTTCTTTAACCCGATACTGCAGATCATGTACTCGGCGGTTGTTCGTCAGTTCGGGTCGTAATCCCGCTCGTTGGCGGTTCTCGCTCTTTGATGCCACGTTCTTTTGCTATTCCATTATCTCCCTTTAATTTTTTTTACGTTACTTGGCTAACTTTGCTTTGTTTTGCTACCTCCCTAATTCGCTGTTTTGTTTTCGTTTTCGTTTTCGTTTTTCGTTTTTCGTTTCGTCTTTCCGGCGCCAGTAGAATTACCTTATCTTGCAGCATCTTACATTCACTCCCCACTCTCATGTATCTGTAGACTATTACCTGCTATTATCTACTTTATAGTACCTAAGCTTCATTAATGCGATATCCTCGGACCACCAGACCACCCACCGTGACCTATGATAATGCCGCAGGAGATATGTCTTTGAGCAAACGGTATATAAAGACCGTTGACAACACCATTGAACGATCACGCGGTCCTCAGCGAACGGCAACGCCTTGTTTTTTTACGTACATCGAAGGCGGATAAGTGGAGGACCCGACGCGTAATACTCACTCACTCACCGAGGCACGCCGGAATAGACTCCGTGGCGTGGAGTTCCGAGTTTTGCGGACGACGTATGTAGAAGAAAGAGAGAAGCGTCTATATTTGCACGGCGCAACGAGCAGCTTCGGAGCAGTGGAAGTAGAACCATAAAGACAGAGTCACCGAGGCGTACTTAGAGTGCAGCGTAAGGCTCCAAGTGTAAAGAGACAAACACGCAGAAGTAAGAGAGTAACCTGGCCCGTGGTGAACGCAAGTGGCAGTGGACATGGATCAGGCGATTGCTAACATTGAGTAAGACGAGTTGACGAAGGCAAGAATCTGTAAACTCCACTGTATGTATAAAGGGCAGTACCCCGATATCGGAGCACCTGCAAATTCAAGTGCCTTAGTTTACAAACGGTAGGGACTCGTAAATATAACGAGAAAACTAGGTGCATGCTCTGAGAAAAGATATTACTGGTTGAGAAAGCTAGGTTACTAAAATGTTCGTGCATGGGTCGTCCGGTGATGGCTACGTGTCCGAGTCAAAACCAAGGTACAGAATAGACATGATCAGGTGGTGGAGCGTACCGCCAACAAAGCTTTGGCCGTAGCTCTGGCCGCCACTACCTGCACCCTCCGCATATTCACTTGTTGCATTCTCCAACGAACGGCATTCACCTGCCCATACCCGGAGGAGAGGCCGAGACGACGTATATCTTGACAATATGGTGGACGATGTCCGACCAGGAATCTGGGTCTATCTTTGCACGGATGCTGCCCGGCTTGCCCTCCTCTTCAAAAAACACCGCTGCCTCGACAGTCTGGTTCGCTCCGCAAATTGCCATGATGGCTCCCTAGAAATCGGAATCGTTTAGCGCCTTCATCTTGAAAAAGGCGGAAGTGTGTTCCACTCACGTAGAAAGGCAGCTTAGCGAGCCGTGGCCTGCTGAACACGACCACCTGCCCTGTATTTCTGTACTCCACAACGACCGCGGCAGGCGGGGGCTGGGACCAGCCCAGTGATTTGGCAAATGATGCGACGGCCTGACCGATGCCCGAGGCGATAGGGTTCGCAGATGAAGCCAGCCCGGGAAAAGGGGGAGGTGAACCCGCGCCTGCGAGAGTTACGGTGGACGGAGAACGCTTGAGTCCGTTGGGGTTCGACATGCTTTTGATCGGTGTCGGTACGTCGAGGCTTCTTACTGGCCGTTCGGGGGAGAGTTAGGGCACAGCGAGGGTCCAACGAGCAGAAGGTCGGTGTATACGAAAAGTGCGCGATCGGAGTGCATTCTTGTACTTTTATATGAGCGCCGTACAGCTCTTTGTGGCTTCAAGTTGCGCAATGCAGGGTGCCCGTGGACTCCTACTCTGGCGACAGGCTCAAGCATGATGCGGATGTACCGGAGTGCGCGAAGGGCACGGACGGGTCTGGGTAGGACGGCCAATGAGGTGAGAGGGGCGATGATGATCAGTAGTGCGTACTTACCAATTGACTACCGTTTTAGACGTGTCTGCGCAGTGCATATCACGACGCTGGGAAAGTTCTGGGCGTCTCCGAGATAAAACGAGGCACATGGATCATTTTGTGGTCTGATGAATGCTGGAAGGTGTGCAGATCTTGAGGAGGGCTTGATAAGCCAGGTAGAAGGTATGGCCTACTTGTCACGGAGATGGAAACGAGGTGGACGCCGGATGGATGAGGGCAAATGACGGTAGCAAACGAATGGAAGCTGGGCAACTGCAGTCGGTAGCCATATTTCGGCAATTCCCGGCTCATTCGCACGCCGTCGGCAGCGCGATGATGCTCGCGACGGACGTCGATATGCAACTCGAAACCGGCGATACAGAACAAACGAAGTCTCCATGGAGAGCGCCCCTATAGCTATGACTTCCAGATGAATTCGATCTCTCGTTCCGCATCAGGCGGCTCTCCCAAGTTCTCCTCACCAAGTTACGGTATCTTCGGTGATGCCTGGGCTGGGGCTGCAGGCGTGTCTAGGCTAATCAACGGGAAAAGCTGATGGTACGTAGCTAATCAACCATGCATCTCGCCGATTATAGGTGATAGGAAGTACATTCAGGTAGTGCAAGTCAATGTCGCCATCCAGGGCAAAGGCGAACGTTTGACACGAGATAGCGGTCCCTTGAAACGTGAAGTGTCAGGAACGCTACGCATGCCAGTGGCGCGTTGAATGAGGACGTTCATTCTTCTTGCAATCGTACCAGCTGCCCTTATCTCTACCTCGGCAAAGCCTTCTGTATACCATGTCACTTACCCTGCGTGTTCCAGCGGCTCCATGCGTACTCTCTATATCAACTTGGTCTGGTGGGCTTATCCTGTCCCTGTCAGGCCATCATCCAAGCAGCTGCATACTTCACGCGTCACGAGTTAACCCCAGCTGCTTCTGGGGTTATCATAGACTGCCACTTCAGCCATTCCAGCTTGGCATCACCGGTCGAAAGTCAGATACCAACACTCGCTCTTTAGATACGGCAAAGCTTTCAGGCTATCATAGACAAACACCCAGAGCCGTCGCTCACTCTCTCACCATGTGTCAAGCTCGTACACTCGTCCGCAAAGTGGCGCGCCCATGTGAGTCTATGCTGCTCAGGCAATACATGATCAAAATTGAATCCGACGCTCGGGTTTAGACGTCGACCACAGCGAGCTCATGATCTCGAGCTTTCTGATACCGTTCCTCGACTTCTCCCAACGCTGAACTTTCCTGAGAAGGCGTCATACGCAATCGGACGCGACGATTGATAACTCCCCTGCAACATTCTGCAAAGTAAGTAACCCCCAGAGATTGCTTGTGGTATCCCTTGCACTGCGCAAACGGGTTGGTTCCCGGTGCAAGGTTAGACTATAAATCGTGCTGGGTCGGCTATATCGAAAGCAACTATCGACACTGAACAGGCATGCTTTTAGAAGCATGATCTGCTTCCGAAGTCACCCAGGCCCTACGCGCGCGGTTATCCTTTCACGTGAGCGTGACTTTGCAGACTTCCTTTGGACTTCCTCTGAGCCAATGCCGACTTATCAGTCCTAGATGTTTGTGCCGCCGCCGGGTGCCTGGCCAGTCACCACATGAAGCGTTAGTTGACCGTATGGTACGCGTTGACGTATAGGAACAATCTCTCAAGATCTGAGTCTTTCAACAGGGGACAAAATCGAATGGAACAGACGGTCAGGGCCTCCTGGTCTCCCTGCGGGCAACATATTGCTGTATCTCGCCGTGAAGACTTGTGAAGACGCATGGCGCGCCTGTCAAGTCGAATAGAGTACCAGCCGTAATGCTCGGGTATAAAAACTGCTGCAGTGTAGCACTCAATCCTCAGGTCATTGCCTAGTCTCAACTTCCTCTCGCCGAGCCACTACCAGTTTCGCTATGTTCGCTGCTACTCTCCTCGTCAACACTCTCCTTGCCAGCTTTGCGCTCGCAGCTCCCTCCTCCCGCCTCGCCGAGCGTCTCGCCCGTCGCCAGGCCCGCCAGTCGATGCCCCTCAGCCGGCTCGATGCCGCTGAGAACCTGGCTGCCGGCAACGTCTCGCACGTTGAGTACAGTCAGAACTGGTCTGGCGCCGTCTGGGAGAGCTACCCTACCGTATGTCGTGACGATATTGCTGTGTATCCGAGATGCTGAGCGACCTTGCAGGGCACGTTCAAGTCCGTGACTGGCACTTTCATCGTCCCCACGCCCTCGGGTTCTGGCTCCGCCTCTGCCTGGGTTGGTATTGACGGTGACACGTGCGGAAGCGCCATCCTCCAGACCGGTATCGACTTCAACATCCAAGACGGTGACGTCTCATACGATGGTGAGCTCTCCCTTTCGCCTGGTCAAAGGTGGCAGGTATCTGATCTTTTGTTCCTTCTAGCCTGGTACGAGTGGTATCCCGACTACGCGTACGACTTCTCTGGCATCCCCATCCACGCAGGCGACTCCATCACCCTGACGGTGACCGCGTCGTCGACCACGACGGGCACGGCGGTGATCATCAACAACACGACGGGCAAGAAGGTGTCCAAGTCGCTGTCGAACTCGAACGCCCTGTGCCTCGAGAACGCGGAGTGGATCGTCGAGGACTTCGAGGAGGGCTCTTCGCTCGTCGAGCTCTGCGATTTCGGCACGGTCAAGTTCACTGACGCGTACGCGACCACCGAGAGTGGCGAGACCGTCGGTGTCAGCGGGGCATCGACGATCGATCTTAAGCAGGGCAGCACGGTGTACACGTCTGTGAGCACTGCTTCGGAGGGGCTCACTGTCAAGTACACTGGGAGCTGAGCGGAGGCTGAGTCCTTTGATGGAGCATGGTGATCAGTTACGATTGCCGTTTTTTATCTTACTTGGGTTTTATGGAAGGGTGCATAAAAGAGTGTACAAATTTGTATATCTTGGGTTAACGTGGACACATTTGGGTTTATCTTTCTGCGTTGATCTAGCTTTACACGAGTGAACGGTCACAAAGTTTCACCAAAAGGTTGATATTGGGCTACGCTGCGAAGATTGTACACCTTGTACACCGGCTCAAGCAGGTGGCCGGGTGAGCGATTGGAGCATCAAAAAGCCAAAAACAGCTCGGCCGGGGAGGAGTGCTTCGTGTGCCTGACATTTCCCAGGAGCAAGTGCTCCCGGCCTAACCGGACCTTGACGATGTCAAGCATTCGTATAGGAGCGCTGCGCTTGAGTGCGGGGCCCCGCACTTGCAAATGCCATAAAACGTGCTCCTTTTCTTTCTCGACCACGCTACAACTTCACTAGTCACTGCCCAACACCGCACGGACGGACTTGCGGAGGACCTGTGTTGGACTGCTGGGCCCGGGCACAAACGAAGCGCCTTGGGCACTTTGTCGACTTTAAAGAGGTCCGTGTGTCCTGCTTGGAGCACATGCTCGTCTGGCAGCTGATCGACTGACCGGCTCCATCTGGATGCTTCAGGTCTTGAGCATCGATTTGTGAGAGCAAGTTCAGCCCAACCCTCTAATACATTCCCCGCAACCGCTACTCGACTACCATCTCCTCGGCATCTAAAATAGCGATGGTTATCCCAGACCTCTCCGTCTTTCTCGCGCTGCAAGCCTTCTACAGCATTCTCAAGGGATGGATCAGCCCCGTGATGCGCTCGCCTGGTGAGCACACCCTCTGCTGATTCTGATCCCTCTTGTCACGCTTCCCGTCATCTGGCCTCGTATGGATCATTTCATTTCTTTCCTCCCCATTCAATCTATTGTTGGTCCTTTGTTGTCAACAGAACATTGAGCAACGGGATTATTTTTACTTCCCTGTGCCCCATGAGCCGCCCTTTCTTGCCTTATAAACCGGGAGGGCGCAAAGAGCCCATTCACCGCTGCTCCACGAGAGCTAACCTCGCCGCCCGTTCGTGCTCATGGTTTGCGCTTGGCCTGCTGCGCTTTTCCTTGGCCCTCTTCTCTCCCTTCTTTCGCTCCTCCGTGGCGTTGTCGGCGTGGCGATCTTACCTAGACAAGACAGCAGCAGCGACAACGATGGTATCCACCTTGCGGTCAGCCCCGTGTGCGGCGCGCTATCCGGCAATGTCTCGGAGGTGAACGCGGGCATCGATTTGTCCTCGATCAAGACGATTGTCTCGTTTGGTGTTAGTCGTCTTCTTTCGAAGTCTGTGCTCGAGCACGTTTTGCTCGCGGCCGGCTGACGTTGACTCTTGGGTTGGACAGGACTCGTACACTGACGGTGGTCGTCATGATGGTGGGCCCCTCGCTCCTGCGGTCATCATTCCTCCCAATGCACAAGCCGGGGGCAGGTCGACGAACGGGCTGGTATGGAATGAGAACATTGCCAACGATATCGGAGCAACGCTCAAGGACTATGCGGTGAGTGCCACGTCATCGGTCCAGATCCCCTCCTCGATCATCCTCTGAGACACATTGTCCAGATTTCGAGCGCTGTAACGAACATCACGCTGTGGCCCAACAACCCCAAACCCGTCGACTTCATTCAGCAGGGTATGTGAATTTGCATTCCCTGGCTACCGTTTCGATGCTTCTGCCGCGGACTCGCGCTCGGTGCTAATTCGGCTTGACGCTTCTTGCGTTGTATCTCTGTAGTGGATCTGTTCCTCAGCCAGAACAACACCCTCGACTCAGAGTCAACGTTGTACACTGTCTTCTTCGGCATCAAGTGCGTCATCTTTCAATACGAGAGTGGCTCTCGGACTGATCCATAACATTCTGAAGTGATTGGGAGGATTCTCTGAGTACGTAGTCCTTCACCTGATCAATTCCTTTCCTCAACCAGTCTCTGATGCTCCCAACCAGCTCTCGGTGACTACCTCCCTCAAGCTGCACAGGACCTCCTCGGGCAGATGAAGATTCTCGCCTCCGCACCCACGAACGCAAAGAACTTCCTCGTCACGGACGTCTACGGACGCGGCACGGAGACGACGGATGGCCAGGCGTGGCTGCAGTCCATCTTCGACGGCCTGATCGAATTCCACAGCCAGGGCATCAACGTCGCGTTCGCCAACTACGCGCGTATCTGGGACGGCGTGCTCGGCTCGGACTCGGGCTACGAGGCGTTCGGGTACACGAACACGTCCGCGTGCGTGATCGGCAACGGGACGCTGACGTACGGGTCGTGCGCGCAGCCGCAGACGTACTTTTACTGGATACCTGGGTGAGTCTCCGTAGCTGTAGCCTGAGGTGGAGAATGGGAAACTGACGAGAAACGTAGGCACCCCTCGAAGGAGACGCACCGCATTATGGCGGACTACGTTGAGCTCGTGTTGAAGGATTGCGCTGTTTAGGGGCGACGGGGATTTAAGTACCTAAGCGCCTGATTCGTTGGACTGTTTTTTATCGCTGCTATTTAAGCACGACATTCAGACTTTTATCTTGGGCATACTCTGTCACTCAGATTGGGTATACGTTTGTCCCTGTCGTTACTTTCATGTGGATAAACTTGTATTGGTAATGAGTTTAACGTTGTCTTTCTCGTAGCTTGTCGAAGAGCTGAGATGCCTGAATCGCATTAAACAAAATACAGCCAAGTATGGAGTGTCTGTAAGATTGACGCGAACAGACACGCGGCATCGCGCAGTGTGATAAATAAAGAGTTGCCAAATGAAGGTATGTCGAGAAAGGGGTGTTTATGTGTATTTGTTCTGTGCCACGTCTGTGCGTTTTGCTTATTTCACGCGAGCTTCCCCGTCCCACCGTTACACGTCCACAACTTTTCTCTTCGTCCCCCGCTCTTTTCACCATGAGCGGTTGTGAGTCTCCATCTCACTCTGAACAGTGGCAGATTGCTCACAACTTGCTCTACAGTCCGGTTTCTGAACCTTGTCCGCCCATTCCTTCCGCTGCTGCCTGAGGTTGCGTCGCCCGACCGCAAAGTATGTAGCGACACGCGCAAACGCCCGTCTTGTGCTGACGCCTCTTGTCTTTCAGGTTCCTTTCAACCAGAAGGTACTATGGACCGCTGTCACCCTCCTCATTTTCCTTGTGTGCTCGCAAGTACCGCTGTATGGAATCATGTCCTCTGACTCGTCCGACCCGCTTTACTGGATGCGTGTCATCCTCGCGTCGAACCGTGGAACCCTCATGGAGCTTGGTATCAGTCCTATCGTCACCTCTGGCATGATCATGCAGCTTCTCGCTGGCGCCAACCTCATCGAGGTCGACTTTAGCTTGAAGGAGGACAGGGCCCTGTTCAGCGGTGCACAGAAGCGTACGTGGTTTGCAGTTTCTGGCTACGTGATGACGTTCTGACGATTTCCACAGTCTTCGCTCTTATCATTTCACTCGGACAAGCTACGGTTTACGTCGTCACCGGTCTCTACGGACAACCCAGCGACCTCGGCGCTGGTGTCTGTCTCCTACTCATCGTCCAACTCGTCGCCGCTGCACTCATTGTCATCCTCCTCGACGAACTTCTCCAGAAGGGCTACGGTCTCGGCTCCGGTATCTCTCTCTTCATCGCGACCAACATCTGCGAGTCCATCGTCTGGAAGGCCTTTTCGCCTACGACTGTCAACACCGGCCGTGGCCCCGAGTTCGAGGGTGCCTTCGTCGCCCTCTTCCACCTTCTCTTCACCTGGAACGACAAGGGCCGCGCGCTCCGCGAGGCATTCTGGCGCGACAGGCTCCCCAACGTCATGAACCTCATCGCGACCGTCGTTGTCTTCGCCGCCGTCATCTACCTCCAGGGCTTCCGTATTGAGATCCCCGTCAAGAGCAACCGCTTCCGCGGCCAGCGTGGCTCGTACCCCGTCAAGCTCTTCTACACGTCCAACATGCCCATCATGCTGCAGTCGGCGCTCACTTCGAACGTGTTCATCGTCTCGCAGATGCTCGCTACTCGTTTCCCGTCCAACTTGTTCGTCAAGCTCGTTGGTGTTTGGGAGGTTTGTTATTTCCATTTTAGGTCATTACCCCTGAACAAATCGACTGACGCTGGACGTTTTGCAGCCCATGGAGGACTCGCCCCAGCTCCGCGCTGTTTCTGGCCTCGCGTACTACATGTCGCCTCCGCACACCATCGGGGAGGCTCTCCTTGACCCCATCCATGCCTTCCTTTATGTGGCCTTCATCACCTCTGCCTGCGCCCTCTTCTCCAAGACCTGGATTGAGGTTTCGGGCAGCGGACCCCGTGACGTTGCCAAGCAGCTCAAGGACCAGCAGATGGTCATGGCCGGTCATCGTGAGGGCTCGATGTACAAGGAGCTCAAGCGCGTCATCCCCACAGCTGCTGCGTTCGGCGGTGCCATCCTTGGCCTGCTGTCCGTCGCTGCTGACCTCATGGGCGCCATTGGCAGCGGCACTGGTATCCTCATGGCTGTTACGATCATTTACTCCTGTAAGTGCCCTCCCCTACATCTTGTACGCTCATGACTGATGACAACTGTCCTATAGACTGGGAGATCGGCATGCGGGAGTCGGGTGGCCCTGAGATGGCTGCGCTCGGAGACTTGATGTAAATCTGACCAGTCGATGGGGTGATTGTTGGGATAAAAAGGTTATCGCATAGAACGCACGCAAGCGCGGTTAATACTGTTGCCTAATACTCACGAAGAGCTCCGCGCCCCGCGCTGGGAGTCGGCTGGATGTACGTCGGATACACACATGCAGTTTTGGGCTGCTATATTATTATAAATGCTTCATGACGTGCACTCCAGTTCACATGAAGGAATGTGGTGATTCATGACGCGATTCAATACCGTCAGTCAGAGCCGCGGCAAACTGAAGCATGGTGAGCTTTATGGATCATCAGATGCGGGAAACTCTTCGCATGAGATCTTTTAGCGCACCAGAGCAAGCATACAGCAGCATACTCGTTGAGCGCTGACTAGGCTTGCCGTCGGCTTAGTCACACATCTAAATGCCTACGCTTTCGACCTTGCCTTATCACGGCTGTTGTTCTAAGTGTCTGTATTCTTTATGGTTCTTCTGAAGCATCATTAGAGTAAGCAGCCAATTTGATCTATGCTGGTCCTACCAGCCAACTGTTCTTATTCACGCGTTTGCATTCACATGCAAGGCTATAGCTCAGGCTTGTGTCACTATCAGCAGCTGTTCCGCGAGACGGCAGGAGTTGTTTTACTTCACCTTGAGCCAGGGTGGATAACGCGTTCGTTTTGTACAGACTGCGTACACAGGACATGCAGTGAATACGTAATATTGTTTAAGGTACTACAATGAACACGATGAAGAGAACGTACTTATAACTCGAACATACTAGAGTAGTCATACGCTATGTCGTAATGAAAGCGCTAGACATCGAGCTCCGCGAAATGAACGACAAAATCTCTTCATCTGCCCAAAGTCGAACGCGAGCGAGAACTCTCCTTGTCCTGCCAGTGTTCTGCTCTGGGAGCGACCATGACAACGCCATGGCATCTACTATTTTGACTTTGAGTTGGGGCAGGCTTTTGCATGTGGATGAGTTAACATTGGGAGCTTGCAGTAACATGGCCTGGCAAAGCCGGGGCACCCGCCTGGCCAGATGTGTTGTCACGGTTTCTCAGTACCACCAAAAGCGAGTTACTGTATACTTTTGAAAGTAAGAGTGAAGGAACAAAGTAAAAATGATTTTCCTTGAAGGCATAGAATAAGGCGATGCAGAGGATGGCAGTGATAGCTGAACGTACAAGTAAGTGATGGTATTGGCCATGAAAGAAGTATAGAAAGCGTACCAGAGAGCATTCCGGTCCCTACGACAACCGATATAACACGGTTGAGGCGTGTCCTGTTTGGATTCCGCTGGTTGTTAAGTGGCGTGATATTCAGCCCCTTCTGGATTATCTATTGGTAAATGCACATCAGTTGGTTAAAAAAGAACCTCAAACACAGTTGGAGCCTACATGATAAGCTATGAGGGAGAAAATGACGATGTCGCACGCGGCAGTCCCAACCAGCCATGGCTGAGCGCAGTTGAGCAATACGTCAAAGCCGTAAAATCTCTAGAAAGCACACCGTAAATGTCCAAGGAAGGTTGTGGGTGGCTTCCGAGTCGTCCGCGTAGTTCCAGACACGCTCGAGGACTCCAGCTAATAAGCCGAAAGAGCCTTGTACAACCGAAAGCTGGAAATAGTGTGAGCGAAAAGCTAAGCAAGCAGGGATATAGATGGCAATTCACAGCTACGATCATCATGGGTTGAACCGTCGATTTGCTCACCGTGCGAACTCGCCATGCGGACAAGCACTGCACAAGTATGCCCGCTGGGCCCTAATCAGAGGCAATTACGCTGGACATACAGGACGACTCACTAACGCTCGGTAGAATGTTCGTGGACAAGTAGGTTGTGTTCAATCGGTATAGACCCTCGCTACATCCCCAGCTCCCGACAAGAATAGCGTTGGCGTCGTGTCCTGCCACCAAGGTTTGTGCAGTTTCAATCAGGAACGTTCCGTAGACGACCAATCTGATGATCTTGTTATCCTGGCGCTCCGTGGCATGATAAGCATCTAACGCCATCAGGTTTAGAGTCAGGATAAAGCGAAGAAGCATACATAGCTGAGCGGCCAAGACGCCATAAAGCGTCCAGTTTAAATTCCATGCTAGCAGCTAATTGGAGAGAATGTGAATGTGAACGAGATACGGAAGCTTGTGACCCACATGAGGTGCCAGCCTATGCGCATATTGGCAGTACCGGTGGTGATGGTGGCAGAGAGATCAGCGACAGCGATCGAAAGAAAGGTTATCCAACTTACATGCTGGTGACGTCCTGAGCTACAGCACAGACAGCCATGGATGACCAACGACAAAGGCAATCAAACTCAAACTCAAACTCGATATAAGTACTGACTTTGCGAGAGGTTACATAACTATCCGGCCTTCATCCAGGACGGCTCTGCAGCGGACGGTGCTGGTGGACACGCGTCCGCACCTCGTCCACAGTAGCACAGTGTCGCGGACATAAGAGTGGACGTGACATCTCAATCCCGGTGATAGGATTGACGTTGTGCCCCTCCATTATGCACAGGATGACCCATTGAATAATAGCGAAAGCTTGATGTTAGATAGACAGAGTGTCCGCACGGCGCTAATATGGGCGTGCGGGATCTTGCTGGGTGCATTCATATGGCACTGATCAGGAGGTAGAGACGATCCATGTGAGAGGTTCTATGCCATGAGAGCAAGTGTATGGATATCATTCAACGGCCAGTGAACGTCCACCGACCATAGAAGCGGACGAGGGCAATGGGCATGGATATGTGGTGATTCCGGTCAGGTCGGAAGCGCCGGAAAATCTTGACGTGCGGAACATCCAGTAGAACCCCTGACACCCCTCCCCTCGTAACACTTCGCCCAAGTCCACGATGTCCACGTCCGCAGAGGAGCTGCGTGCATCTCTCGAGGCTCACAATTCGACCTTTGAGACTCTGCTAAGTCTGATTCCTGCCAGGTACTACCTCCACAATGAAAATGCGGGACCGTCAACGAAGTATCAAAAACACACGCATAAAAACAAGGACGCCGAGAAACAGGCGGCCAGAAAAGTACGGCGCGACAAGGTGGGCCCATCATGCTATCGCTTTTCTTCTTTACCACCTACACTTTGATACGGTGTACTCATGAATGATATCAGCTCGATCCTTCCGTCAACCACACACCACACATAAACGGTGGTGCAGACGAGGACGACGAATCGGACGATGACGCCTCCGCGGGCGAACTCGACGATGCGATGCAGGTAGACGGCGGCGATGATGGCGATGTAGACGATGCTGAGGAGGAAGAGGAGTCGCTCGTGCCCATGCCACCTGCTCAGGGCATCGCCGCCCTCCGCGAAAAGCTGCACGCACGCATGACCGCTCTGCGGCGGCCTGGCGGGAGTGGAGACCCCGATTCGCGAGACGCACTTTTAGAAGAGCGGAGAGCTCAGCGTGCGGCGTTGCGCGAGCGGAGACGCAAGGAGACGAAGGAGCGGCGGAAAGCGGAGAAGGAGAAGGCAGGCAAGAAGGCCGAGGCCATTGTAGCGAGGACGAAGGGGCCTGTGACTAATGTGAGCAGACTATTCGTTGCTCTGCTGTCCGTCTATGATATACTGATTCATGCGTCTGCAGACCCAACTCATCGTCCCCGACGTGCCCTCGCACCGCCCAACCGAGACAAACGTCACTTTCTCCGCGCTCTCCTCAAAATCCCCATCAAAATCAAAAGGCTCAAAGTTTCTCCCCAACACTACGTCCTCGAACCCCAAAACAGCTCTTGACCAGCTTCACGCACACAAGAATTCTCTTGCGTCTCTCCCCGAGGAGAAACGCAAGGCTGCTGAGGAACGCGAGCGGTGGGCAGCTGCGGAGGCGCGTATGGGCGGCACGAAGGTCAAGGACGACGAGACGAAGCTGAAAAAGGCGGTCAAGCGCAAGGATCAGGAAAAGAAGAAAAGCAAAAAGGAATGGTACGTGTTCTGGCTCTTCGTGTCCCTATTCGCTATGGCTCGCCTGTTTCCGTCCTCGATTCTCTCCGTTGAGAGGCTGACGTTGCTTTCCTAGGGACGAGAGGAAGAAGCAGCTCGAGACGTCGATGGCTGCCAAAGTCAAGAAGCGCTCAGACAACATCGCCCAGCGGCATGAACGCCGCAAGGGCGGCGCTTCGAAGGGCAAGACGAAGAGTCGGCCAGGGTTCGAGGGCAAGTCGTTTGGCGGGAAGGGCAAGGCGGCGGGTAAAGCTAAGAAGGGCAAGTAGTACCTTTCGTCTGCCGATGTATCGAGCTGGGTGCTCCATGTCCAATGCATACATTGGCGTTTCGCCTCAAGGCTATCACACAGGTTTGCAAGTCATTCTCCCAACACATATATGGGTGCATTCACCGTCGGCTAGCGTCTCTCCTCTCCTCCACCGGCTGGTTCGTATTCTACAGCGGGCGTCACGTACGTGCCGAGGACGCGTCATGGCAATCTCTTTGATCTGTTCCTCCAAAGCTCCAATATGACCTCGCCTTCATAAGGCAGATGTCATTACCCAAAACAACGTCGCCGCCGAATTCTAGACGAGGTAGGATATAAGCCTAGTAACTTTCCGCGGAATTCGGCGAATTGGGGGCAAATGGACTCTCTCATGGCTCGTGCCCTTTCGGCTACGTCTCGGCTGCGCCGGTCGGTATTTGCGCTCAGGGTCGATGCGAGGTTTCATAAAGGAGTGACCTATTGTTCTCGCTGCAGATATCCTCTCTTCCCTCCTTCCTTCCCTTGCGTCACCATGTCCGCCCCCGAAGTCGATGTCTTATCAAGCAGGTTGGTATGCCCTGACTGCTCGCAGTGGATCACGCTGGACGAGTGGTCAACGGATGAAGATCGGTTCAAAACATGGCACGAACACAGGAGTCAATGCCAGCAAGCTTATAGTACGCAGGTAAGAAGTTTATTCCTAGGTCTAGTTGTTTCAAAGGACGGGCTTGGTGATCAGCTTTCTCTCTCTGCCGAACTTAATAGACATTTAAAACTGCCTGTCAGCGCTATGCGATCCTCAAGGCAGACGCATATGTTTCCGACGTTCATCCGCACGAAGTCCTTTGTCGCGCATGCGGTTTATGGATTGGTCTGAACGTAAAAGGTCAGTATCATCTCAGGGGCTGGCACGCACACAGAGGGAGATGTCCCAAGATTTCGGATTTAGAGGCGCGTCTACCTTACGATTTGACCTCAGGCGTAGTAGTTTTTGCATGCTAATGCGCTTTCGTTAGGCACGTATTGAAGAACCCCGCGAAGACTTGGGACCTAGGACGTATCATGAAGAGCACCGTATTGCCTTCTTTCAAGATGAGGAATACGTAGACGAGTTCCGCCCGCATAGGGTACGTTGTCGGCCGTGCGGTAAGTGGATTGCATTGCGGTCGCAGCTAGCGGCCAGGTATTATCCTCGGAACTGGATCAATCATAGAGGGCGATGCAAGAAAATAGAGGAAATAGAGGTACGCGGTCTCGTGCTATGCACATGCGTACAGAAGGCTGACTATCTACATAGAGGCTAGAGGTTGTTCGCCTTCTAACGCATGAGGATTCCTCAAATGAGTTCCCTTCAGATGAGTCCCTCGAGCTCGCGGGCACTCCATCGTAGAGGGTTCAGTAGTTCCCCGCTTGGATTCCGATACGCAAGCATTGTGCGGGATGATGTATGTTTTACAAGAGACGTCGTAATCAACTCAACGAGAAGAGTTTCTGCGAGATATTGTACCAAGAGACACACGGCATCACGCACATCCCTACCCTTCCTTCGCAACACGTTCGCGACGCGCATCTGTGGCAAAGCAGCAGCTGCAGCTCCACAAGGTAAACCACTTTATTGGGGAAACGACCTCTCGTTGGGAATGAAGCCCAAGCGAAACGTCATCGGACAGCTATCATATGAATGGCGAGGACATCTTTCAGCCCATTCTGGTTATTCCTCTTCTCTCCTCACTGGCACCATGCATGCCGTTCCCGAGAGCGTCTACCGGCCTTCTGACCGCCACACAGCCATCCGTATTATGCAGTCGGTGATACATTTCGCTCGAGTCATAAGCCATAACTTGTTGCCAGAGCCAAAGTAGTTCCTCTGCACTTTCCACCGAGCATTTGTTTATCGAATGTCTGATCTGATGCCTGCAAAATTCCTGATGAGCTTGATGGTAAATGATATCACCTAATGGGATGCAATGTTGGCGGAATGGCCGCCCAAGATGTGCACCACAGACTCAGTAATTGGCTTGCCATGTCTGGGTCTCAGTGGGAATTCTGGCGGAGCTCGGAGTAAATAGCCTTCCTCGTACCTTCTCGTTTACGTGAATCCGATATATGTAGTCCAGGGTTGACGCGACCATCGCGACGCCTCAAAAGAACTTGGCCGGTGCTCGCTCTCGAGTTGTAGGTCTCCTCCCTCCCTTTATGCGACCATGTCCGGTACCGAGGTCGACGTCTCCCCAAGCAGGCTTATATGTTCTGGCTGCTCGGAGTGGATCATCTTGGGCGAGCGATCGACGCACGAAGACAGATTCAAACCATGGTTCCAACACCGAAGTCAGTGCGAGCTTGCCCAGAACATGGAGGTACGTTATGTAACTTTTGGTAGGTATAGTCACTGGCACGGAGATCTGATTGACAATGGGGGCAGCTTTCCCTCCTTTTGCGTAAACAGAAGCGGACGTGGACGGATGCACATCAGCGTCTTGCGCTCCTTCTGCGAAAACAGAAGAGAACGCTGACGAAAGCACATCAGCGTTTTGTACTCCTCAAGGCAGACGAGTACGTGGCGGAGGCTCATCCGCAAAAAGCTCTATGTCGCGCGTGCAACTCATGGGTTGCTCTGGGCTCAAAAGGCCAGTACTGTCTCAGGCACTGGCTGTTGCACAGGCGGAAATGTTCCAAAATCTTGGAGTCAGAGGTGTGTCCGGCTTGCATCTTGGCCTCAGGAATTTCTGAAGAGCTTTGGTTAGAGGCTAGCTGAGAAGCCACAAGAGATAGTGCAGCCTAAGACGAAAGGCGAGGAGCAGCGTATCTCATTCCTCCAAGCTGAGTACACAGACGAGATTCAACCGCATAAGGTCAGATGTAGAGGGTGTGGCAAGTGGATCGCTCTGCGCTCAGAGCAAAGGGCAAGATATAACTCTTATAACTGGATCATGCATAGAGGCCGGTGCAAGGGAATTCAAGTTGAGGAAGCAGAGGTACGAAGTCTCGTTCTGCGTGCATACATGCATAGCTGATGGATGAATCAGAGGCGGGAGGTTGAGCTCCTTTTGACATATGCGGACTCTGCATGTCATTCATAATATCGTGAGCATATCACGTATAGAGGCCCATCATGGCCACCATCTTAGCTGCAAGGGCAGTTGTAAACAAACTGCCATTAAACTCGCTGTCTGTGCTGAAGGTATTCTGCGATGAGGACATTAGGCTACTCAATACTATAATAATCGTACCACTGCAGTCTGAACGACGATGGGGTCGCGTGAACGCGTGAACACTGCTGCTAACGAAGAGTTCAAGAGTTTAATGGACGGAAGAGGACGGGCATGAGCGCGCTTCATTGGACGCGCACCACGTGACCGTTCCACGGCCCTACGTCATGTGGTCGCGCTGACTGATGACCGTTGCCCGAGTCTTGCTCTTGCCCGAGTTATCGGTTTCTACGCGTATCCTTACTCTTTCTACACAACATGCCCGTGACACGTACACGAAGAGCAGCTACTACCCCTCGCGGCAAAGCCACTGCCACGAAGAAGAAATCTCTCTCCAAGGACAGCGAAACCTCTGCGGGCGACCCACCTAGTGAAGACGCGTACCATGAGGAGAGCGCGGAGGAGGATGACGATGACGATGTATCCATCCATAGTGACAACCTAGATGACGATCCACCGCCCAAGAAGCGGAAACGCGCTGCAATGACCAGTCTGGCGAAGAAGTCGTCCCCTAAGAAGGCGGCTACCCTTCGCAAGAAGCGACGCACCAAGGCCGACGAGGACGAGGAAGACGAGGAGCCAGAGCTAGAGGAGGGACAAGAGGTGGTAGGGAGGGTCATTCAGGCTCCTAAAGACGGGTGGGCGCCTGAGGGCCAGATATCGCAGCACACGTTCAGTTTCCTGAGCGATCTGCAAAAGCCCGAGAACAACGATAGGCAGTGGTTCAAGTTGCGAGGTGCGCTTTCATCGTTCTATCTCATCTGCATTGAGAGCTTAAATGAGCAACTTCGCATTACAGAACCTATCTATAGACGTACAGAGGCTGAATTCAAGGCGTTTATTGACGCCTTCACGGATATGTTGACGGAGGTGGACGACGAGATTCCGCCTTTGCCTCCCAAGGATGTCATTCACCGGATATATCGGGATGTGAGTTGCATGTCATCCTTTCGCTGGCACGTTGTCAAGGCCGACTCATGGGGGGCCATTGCTAGATACGATTCAGTAACGACAAGACGCCCTACAAGACCGGCTTCTCCGGCAGCTTCTCGCGGAGCGGACGGAAGGGCAAGTTCGCATTTTGTGAGTATCCTAAATTGTCCTTTCGAACGAGTTTGCTGATTGGCATTTGAAGATCATGTGTAAGCTACGGCTATGCCTACTTTCATTCAGCCACTAATGAGAATGGTGGCCTTTGCAGTATGGGTGCGCGTCCTCTCACTGCAATATTACGCCCTGTTTACTAATTGATATCTACCAGTCAAACCAGGCGATCAGAGCATGCTCGCTGCAGGATCATGGTGTCCTGCTAGAGAAGAATTGCAGACGATTAGGTGAGCCCGTCGACCGTCGACCGTCGACCGTCGAATCCTCCCTCAATCTGATATACTGACGACATCAACAGAAACAACATTCTTCGCTCCCCGGACCGACTCCGTGCGGTCATTGCACGTCCAGCGTTTGTAAAGCTCTTTGGTGAACCCCGGCCTCATCCCAAAGGCAGCAAGCAGAACATCTTTGGGGCTGAGGACGAGCTCAAGGGCGCACCTAAAGGAATTGACAAGGGACATAAGTACGTTTCGCCAGCCTCTCTTCTTTCGCAGCGCAATGTGCTGACTACGCCTGCAGGGATATCGATTTGCTTCGGTGCAGGTCCTTCATCGTTTCGACCAGGTTTCTTATTTTCTCCTTATCGCGTTGCGTTTTGTTGCTGATACCCTTCGCTGATAGATTCTCCGACAAGGTTGTGACCTCACCCGACTTTATTGACGAGCTCAGGCGCATTGCCGAAGTGCTCATGCCCTTTGTGAGATGGTGATCATTGTCTTGATCATCTTGTCACGGGGATTTTCTGACGCGTTTCCACTAGTCTCAATGATATGATCACCATTCAGCCGGACTCGGACGAAGAGGGCGGGGAAGATGATGAAGAGGATTGACGCTCTTAACCAAGGTCTCTTCAATTCTCGCTGTAGCCGTCACTGACTCTCCTCTTTTTCAAACACATTTTTCTCGATGGCATCGGAGATGTTGTCCCTTGATCCCTCTTGCCTTGATGCTATGCCGCCTTGGTTCATCTCGTCCCATATGTTCGCACTTGTAACCCCAGTACTAATTGTATATATGACAGTGTCAATATAGTCGAGTCATGTTATCCTCCAATGCTACCTAATTCACGACTTTGCTCTCAGCACTGTTTAGGTAACTCGGGCGTCCCTCAGACCATCAAGGAGCCAGACACCTGAGACAGCGCCCAGCTAGTTTTTCATTCATTTCAGTGCACCTAACCAGTTCGCATACATCCTAGACGTTCTCGAATGGCGGTGGAGACTCATGTATCGTTTTGCTACATTTGGAACAAAGGTAGAGCGACGCGTAAGCCTTGACTTTCCTCGGCAGTCACTGCATAACGCCTTGATTGACTCGGTATGGGCACTCTTCTGTTACCATCCGATCGGAACTCGTTGATTCTTTCTGTAGCACACTATGAAATACTAGTTCGATGAGATTATAACAATTCGGATGTGGACGTCCTCTACTGCTCATTCTCTGGGCGTCTAACGAGCGTTGGTAGAACGCTATGATGTATCGTCCCAGACACACACATCACCGCTCTTCAAACAGGGAGTTTTGATTTAACTTGCTTCACAGAATCCCCGCCGAATATCGCCTATCTCCCGTGTCACTTGGTCAAGGTGAAGGAGTGCCTAGGAAGAAAGATCATATAAAGACCGGTACGCCCTCCAGGTAGGGATCAATTCGTTTCGACTATGTCGAACGCAGGCCACTTATGGATCATCAGGCTACAGCGTAAGCATTGTCAGCGATGATGCAGAGCTGGTCGCACCTGCGGGACCGTGGTATAAGTCACTTGCTCAACAATGGTCTTGCAAACCTCAATGGTAGGGTAATCGTGCTCAAGAAACCTGGTGGTGGCGTCAGCATGGACTAAGCTGGCCTCGGCAGCCTATTGTCTGGTCAAATCCCAAACTCACGGTTCTCCAGGGGTAATGAACTGGACCTTTATGCCATCACTAATTGGACCGAAGCGCCATGCTCTTTCAAATAAGTTTCTAATCGTCTCTCTGTCTTTGTCGGCCTAAACGGACACAGGCAGCACGCGAGTGGCGTCACAATCAAATGAGACCTACTGTTTTTACGTCCACTTTTGCCTCACCTTGAGGCTTCGGAAGGCATTCCTGTCCGTCGATTGAGTGGTTTCTGCCGTTAAGACATGATCCAAGTTGAAACATCGCCGGGAATGAAGAAAGGTGTAGGAGGAGAGAAGCTGCAGCTAAACGGAGTGGCACTTTCTGCGAACATTGGAGCCCACACCGTGTTTGAGCTTCTAAATGCGGGCACGCATCCGCACTCATCGATGTCTTGTTGATCGTCACGAGTTTACACTCAGCTTTCAATAGTCGGACAAGGGAAGGAACAGACGCTCGCCCCAATCTTCAGGATCTCGTATTCATGGCGTAAGCAAGAAGTGAGTACCGCTGACCGCACTGATGAGGTTGCAGAAGTTAATCACATTCCTCTCGGCTGTCTCCGACGGCAATTTGCGTAGGATATCAATCCTGTCGATTGGCTTGCGAGTGGCAACTCCAGTACTCGAGCTTGCCGTGATCTACTATGCCATCGCCTTTCGTCACATACAAGCGATGTTGATAGCATCCCACACTCTACATCTAGATAACCATCCACTCTGTAACGTCAAAACGTCCCATTGCCGGGCACCCATCCAACACCAGTTCATCTATTGTCAACGTCATCGGATCGGTCCGATCTCAGAGGATCTCAGTATGTCAGCTAAACCGCACGCGATTTTCCTTTAGCGATAACTATATGTCATCAAAGATCAATCTACGCGAATATCAGAGATACAACGTCCTCGTATGCTGCACTATCGCCTTCATCAATCATCTGTGAGCTGACTGATCACTGACTATGCGGTAGATCCTCGCACGATTGTTTCGTTTGTCCGAGTTCATCGAGGACTTCTTTACAAGCACCTTCAGCTGCAATGGGTGGTAGAGATGAGTCTGACAGCTGCATAAGAATTCGTACGGGTGCTCACCGTTCCGACAGTGCCGTTCGATATGCATGTGTCAGCGGTGAGAAGGCTCCGAAACATTCAGGGCTGCCTGACGTTTGGTACTTCTTTCCTGAAACGCCCTTCAGCAAAAGTTGTGGCTCATGGGCGCCTCTTTATTATATGAGAGAGTGCGGAGAGGGCGAGCGAGAAGTTTCTTCACAGTCAAACGTGCGGAGAGTATGTTCTTATATGTTTTCAGCCGACAGCCTCTGCCGCTCTGAATCCAAGAGCCGGACTTGGGGAGGAAACTATAGTCGGCACCCCTTCCACCTAAGACGCGCTGACGTGTCCCTATCTAGCTGTCTTATGCCATGCTTTCGAGCGAAAAAAGTTGTACCACTCGCGCAATCTCTGTATGGAGAATGGCAACCAGAACAAGTATCTATATCCACTATATTTATCTGACCGCTGACATATAGCGCGAACTTCCTCAAGAGTAGACTTCAAGTGTGTATGTGCGACTTCGTAACCTCCCGAGTCCATCGACATCCTCTCTAATGAGGACTACGATGCCGACGCCTGTATCAAGCGAAGTCATCATTACCGCCGTCAGATCTGTCTCTGGTGTTTGTTGGTTGATACTACGCAATCAATAACAGCAGAGGCTGGCACGACGGCGGAACGTACTAGTTGTGGTTGGTACGCTCATTCTCAAACAAGGTCAGGAGGATACAACCTCTGAACGGGGCCCCGGAGTCGTAATTCTGTCGGCGGAACATTGATAACGAACTGGGGGAGACTGGCGAGGAGAAAGGCGACTTACTGCGACCATTCGGCTGGAACGGCGGACGACGAGTTAGCGGGTGATAATAGGATCCATAGTGGCGCTGCTTTGAGGGTGCTGTGCTGCGTTGAGGGTGCTGTGGTGGACGATACTGGAAGGTTAACGAGACAAGTGTTTCACGTTTACGCCTTTATATCCTTCACCTTATGACATACTTTGATGTCTACAGTAACAGGTGTCCCTGAAAAAGTCTGCCTTTAACAAACGTTAGCTCACGCCCTCATGGCGGAGAACGTTGATATCAACCAGCGGACGGTATAGGTGTTTGACGGTTCGACAGAAGCATCAAACCTCCGAGTTACTCCTCATTCATAGCATTAGTACTTCTTTCAAAAACTACTTTTGCGCGTTCATCTGGAGTGAGTATGGCGACGCGATTGTTGACGCATAAGGAAAAACTGATCCAGTGCCTTTCAACGCGGCGAAGGGAACGCTGACGGCTGCTACTGTGATCCTTTTTACAATACTCCCGATGAACGCCCTGGAGATTCTCAAAATCAGAGCTTCTTACGGTAAGGCCATTACTTCCGTGTTTACACGCAACGGGCTTTTCGCGTGAGTCGGCATTGGGTGTCAGCGGATTGTGCCGATGAACAAGGGATTACACAGGACTGGAGCGCTCATCTCAACAACCTCTAACGTTCTCTTGCGTTGGCGCCATTCAATGGACGTCCGCACGTTTCCCAACGGTCTTCTCACGCGCAGGTTTTCCCAATCAGTATTGAAGCGCTGAAGCTCCGATACTGCGGTCTCGCCCGTCGCGAATGCACGCAGTGGGCTTGATATGGTCAGATAGTACACCAACAGGGTCGATGTTGTTAATTTTGGGAGCGCACCACGATCCACTCCATCGCACTTGACAGTTGCATTTCTTCTCAGCGACCCTGCACTCGTTCCCATTGGCCATCGGCCTGTATCGCCGCTTCTTAATGGTGGGAGGTCGGCGGAGCATTACAAATCGGGAACACCCATTTCAACCTTACCATTGTCTCGCCTAGTCCTGTAAATCTGGGTTTGAATTCCCTTAGTTCCCGAGGCTTCCCAATGTAGATAGAGCATTTGTAGTAGCGCCGATGTGAATGTAATCCGATTGGCTAGAACTAGCCCCTGAGACGCGACGCGTCTCGAGCAAAGTCCTGCTTCACCGTACATAGCATAGCTGCATCCCTGATATCTCGACACACCACCGTCCGATTCTTCTAAAACCTCAAATATATCATCTAACATCCACTATCATGGACTTCATGAGCTACGATCCGCATCCCACAAAGAAACGACGTACAAAAGGTCAATACAACGGGGTCCGGGTGGACTTGTCGCAACCTCCTCATCCAGAAGGTGCATCTTCGTTGGCAGCTAACGACACGGTCTCTGGGGCTTCCATCAACGCAACAGATGAGTTGAATACGCTTGAATTCACAGGTTTCCCTCAGAACTCGCCGACCACGCAAGATCAGACAGCGTTCACCTTCACCATGCCATTCTCACCTAGCTTTGTACCTGGCAATGAGCACCCAAGGAACACCTCGAACTCGTCTTCTGTTGCGTTTCCTTGTTCTATCCCTAACGCTCCTCCATCTCAACTGGCTTGGCGGTCACTGTCTCCTCTACCTGCAGAGTTTGGCTTGGATCAAACACAGCAGGACTCTTCTATTGGCACACATGCTTCATCTCAAACTCTAGTCTCAACATCTCTGAGCACCATATGTAATGAGGACTCTGAGGCGATTCACTACCCCGTTTCACTTGATGACTATAGGAAGCTTTCTCATTTCCAGCAAGACCAGCACATACTTCAGCTATTCCGATCACGTTCTGATTCTTCTCCACTAGATTTTGTCACTAGACTTGTCTCAGGCAGTAACACCGAGGGCTTTGGGTATACGAATCGCTGGTTTGCTGATAAATCTAAGGTTCTTGGTTGCTTTCTGGATGCGTTGGTCTCGGACTCTCGGGGATTTGACAAGCTGTCAACCTGGCTTATCGAGTCTCAGGTTGCTATCAGAGTAACAAAGACGTGCATTGTTTCAGAAATGAAGAAGGTACATGATTTTCTCCTCATGGATAGCGTCAAGCAGGTGACACCAGATTTCTTGGATGCTTGGTCTCGCGAATCTATCCTTGAGCCTCTCGTACCTATGGCTCCAATCCTGTCTGAAATCCTTGACGTCGCTGGTACTGGTCTCAAGTCTGCCAAGAACACGATGAAGAACTCGCGCACGGTGTGTTTTTTGAGGAATATTTGTGTATACCTGTAAACTGAGTTCATTGACAGCTTGTTCCTATTATGCTTGCTCAGCTTGCTCGCCAGCAGTCGAACAAGTGTCTCAAATTTGCTGTTGTCAACGGTCTTGCGCTGTGGAGCTCCGGGGCTTCAAGAAAGACTATAGAGATGATGGCTGCTGCTCGACTCTGTATCTCGTACACAGCAATCTCAGCTATGGTCAACTCCCTTGCTGCTCACTGTGTTCGTCTCGCTGCTCTTGTTGCTCTGGGTCCTCACATGCTGGGCTACGATAACATCAATATCTCCTTATCCACGTTTATCGAGCAGCGCGGCTTGCTTGATACGCCATACAAGGTCCAGTCTGGGACGTTTGGGCTTATCTATGAGCTTCGAGGAGATGATCCTGCCACTCCAATTAATCCAGCTCACTTAGACGCTTCTGGACTCATTAAACGCTTTATGATGGCGCCTTCCCTCGACTACAAGCATGACGTACAGCTCACGGCTGCACAGACATCAATACTCAAGGCTGATCTACAGGCAACAATCATTGAGGCATTATTTCGCCTTTTCCCTGACATGTTTGCTGATGAGCTCAAAAACAACGATCAGCTGAAGCGCCCTGTTGTTCTCGAGTATCCTCATGGTCTCAAAACGGCGTTTTATGCTACTAGAGCAAGCACCATCGAGGAGGCAACGCGCGCAGGGAACAGCAAATATCTAGATGAGCTGTACCGACTCGAGTTTGGGATGACACCGTCTCAGCTTGTCAGGCTTGCCATCTTGACGATAAACGATGTCCTAACCAACCAACGAATACGAGCTGTCCAGTTTGTTCGCCGTAGGGACATAAACTCTTGGGAGCGCCGGGAAGTCTTTCAGGTAGCGCTTGCTCTCTTCCATCTAGTCCTCAACTTAATCTGGGCGGTGCATGTCAAGCATCAAGCAACTGTGGCAACAACAGGTAGCCTTAGCTGGTTCTATGCGCTCCTAGAGAAGTCTCGACTTGCCAATCCGCACCCGGACTACCATAGTCTTTTGATGGCTCTTCGGCAGACCTTGGATGCTCTTTTGATTGATAGCTGGCGGAAGATTCTCGCACGAAACGGATACTCTAGTGTCACTGCTTTCGCTAAATCTAACCCTACTGCAGAGATTATGAAAGAACTCGCAGATCAGCTGCACAACTCATTTGCAAGCACTGTGCCAGCTGCGGAGTCCGACGAGGATGTTGTCAATCGCAATGTTGGTCTCCTCTTCCGCGACCTTCTCCATGTATTCACACTTGTGTCTGCAATTTCGGATGGTGACTATGGTCGAGTGGAGAACATGTTCCCCTCACTTGCATGCATGTTCCGGGGTGCAGGGGGTAACAACTATTCGAGTGAGATACTCCATATGATACACAACTTCAAGCATGCCTGGACACCCGAGTTTGCGTAAGTGTGCATATTTATCTGGTTAACAATGCTAAATGAGGTTTTAGTGCAATTGTGAGACGCAACAGTATTATTTGTCCCTCGGGCCGTGGTCCAGGGTTCTGCATGGCCCCAGATTTGAATGCAGAGCATGGAGTTGACGCTCTCAAGGTACGTAAGTTCTGTTAAACCTCAAAAAACAGGCAAGTAATGTTATATTAGACACTTTTCCTTGCTAAAGGTGTTCTGGGTGACTGGGATCGCCTCGGAGACGGTGCAGCCTGCATAATGCATGCTGAAGCGGCAAAGCGCAAGATATCAAGTGCATTCGGACTCTCATATCAGTCACAAACTCACACAACACCGTCCACTCGTGCTCTTGTTTTCAAGGTTGCGGACAAGGTGAAAGAGCACGACCTACTTACCGCTGATTCACTCCGAAAAAACACTCATGGTGTCAAACCTACTGTTGACTTGCTCAATGATGGGCGTGCACGGTTGAGGTCGCAGAGCATCCCCGCCTTCAACAAGCGTCTTGAATTGCTTCAACAGGGAAAAGAGTGGACGGAGGATGTAGACGAGCTACCACCAATGAGTATCACATTTACTAGCGATTCAGACGATGTTATATCTAGCGATGACACTTGAATGGCTTGTAAATAAATGATTGGTTGCTATTACATGCAACTAAAGTTGTACTGAATAAATAACTTCGGCTACCTCCTGACCCCATCTCAATCGCCATTCCTCCGTTTCTCCCAATGCATCTGTGACGGACTGAGCATGTACAAGTGTAGAATGAATGGTAGACAACTTCTTGATGCCATCGTCATCTAGAAGTTCGTCTGGGGCTATCATGCAGCGGTCAGGGTGAGCTTTCCATGTTGAGGCCCTCCAGTCCCTGAGTGCTCTATATACATGCTTCCTTTCGCCTTCTGGGCGTTTAGGATCCCTTCGGTCACTGGGATTGACACGGCGAGCTGCTGGTGGAGGGACAGTGAGTCGACTGCCTGTAAACCATCTCGAATAATCGATAGGATTTGCTGGATGACGATCGCAGCACCACATGTTGGTGCAGAGCGTTCCTAGTGCTCAAATCAGCTAAAATACAAATGAATAGATAGTACGTACTTTCGAGGGTTGTGTCATCAAAGTAAGCCGCCAAGAAATCGCGGACACAGAGGCTTGTATTCTTCACAAGCTTGATCATGGCGCTGCCAACCCTTTGGTGCTTAGACGCGGCCTTGTCGGGGAGTGGGGATACGAGTGGTGTGTCTGGGTCACCATCAATCTCGTCTGGAGGGACTTTTCCCTTGACCCATGACTCGACAAAAGTTATGTACAGGCCTTGAATGCCAGGAGATCGAGCAACTCGACCGCCTCGCTGACGCCAGTCGGGGATATTGCAGCAGACACCCCACTGGATGACTATGGTAACGTTTGAGATATCTACGCCCTGCAAAGAACAATTGAGAAACCGAAAACAGATGCAAAAGCATACTCACTACTGCGCAAGCAGACATTGTTAAAAGCACCCTGGTATTACCATCCGGGCAAGAGAACTCTTGATAGACACGTCGCCTATACTCGTCAGACATCTCCGAGTGATACTCTCTGACCACTCCTCGAATGCGGTCTTCCTGCGAGAGAAAACTTTGCAGATATGTAGTCGCAGCTGCCACCTGATTGATGTCGTCAAAGTAGATGAGGATTTTTGCGCCATGAGCGAGAGGGAAAATGAAATTGAGGTTCTCAAACGTGTTCAAACTGCCCATTACCTCCCAGAAAACGTATGTGATGTTAGAACGGTTCGACGTGTATTTGATGAAGTCCCAAGTATGAACAGGTCCAAAGTGAAGAGTCGCCTGGATTACCCACTTGATATGCTGAGGAAGGGTGCCCGAGAGTGCTTGCACTGGTGTATTCTTGGGTAATCGAAGACGAATGGCATCACCTAGTTTACCATAAGCCCTTCGAGAAGGCTGAGCACCATGGAGAAGAACGCCGGAGGTGTAGATGAAGTGAGCCTCATCAACGAAAACACGAGATATGCGAGAGCCGTAGCGCAGGTAGTTGTCCGAGAGCATAGAGGCAAAACGAGGCATCTGTCTTCCACCTTCAAATGGTCCAAACGATTCGGGGGAGACTATAATGATCGGAAAGTCGCCTTGTCGAACCCTCTGTAAAAGATGTGAGTATATGCGCCTGTAAATCGCTTATATGAGGCGGAAAATCGTTCTTACAGCCCAGAACTCCTCGGCATGACGCTCCTGGGGTGTATCAGAGTTTATGGCCGCGGTGGCTATACCAAAGAATGCGAATTCGGTCACCTGAAGAGATATCCACTGTGGATCTAACACGAATTTTGCGAAGACAAGCTCACCTGATTGGTCTGCAGCTGTTTCAGCGGAGATATGACCAGAGATATACCTTCCGGCTCCAAGAGAATAGGTAATAGCATCGCAATAGTTTTACCAGACCCCGTAGATGCATTCACCATCGAGTTTTTACGAGCAGCCATAGAGTGAAGACAGTCCAGCTGCATCTCGCGAGGGACCATCTGCTCCCTAGATACAGTGAATAGCAGCAGAGAGGCACGAAGAGCATCCTGGAGCTGCTTGGAGTCGAGTTCTTTCAGGTATCCATCTAGAGACTCGAGTCGAGAACCAAGACGTTCTCGCGCAAAGCCGAGAAGGTCATCAGCTTGTAAGTTATAGATATGCTCGAGTTTGGTTCGGATCTCCTCCTGGAAGCGCTTGTCATCCCAAGTAAAGCGTTTTGCCCGTTTAGTCGCCAGAGACTCCATTGGGACTCGTTTTCCAGCAATGAGAGGAAGAGATAAGCTTAGAAAGACGTCGAATGCAAGTCACTCAGGCTCTGGGGACACTCAAAAGCGTCGCGTCGCGTAGTTAGGGGCTATTTTACTCGAAAGATGTAATCCATATTGGGCGGCCACAGGAACTAAGGGGATTCCATCCCAAATTTACCGGGCCGTATACGACCCTCTCACGTAGTCGACAGGTGCTAAGTATACGGAACGGTCACCGGGCTATGTCTCGCCCTGTTGTCGAGGCACGAGGTTGTCGGGCACTTCATGACAGGATTACGTCCTCTGCTCCGGCGGTCCGGTACGGCGGCTTCTTGGTCTCGGGGTTCGGTGCCTTTGCCTGAAGGTTCCGATGGGAAATAGCCATATATGGAAGCGGATCGTAGATTCTGGGGCTCCGAAGTCTCTGATCCGGTTGTCACATTTGATCCGCCAGTGGCGCCGATTAAGATTCCCAGGCCAGAGATCGTCGCCCGCCGACGCGCGGCCACTTGTCATTACGGGCAAGTGCTCGTGTTCGTGCCAGTTAGATATTCCACTCAACTCCATGCGCCATCACCCCCATCGTTGATACTGGGCGGCAAGTTTATTCCCCTCGAGCTTTACAATGTCTACACACAGGAAGGTACTGTAGTCTGTAGCTGGCAAGAAACGGAAGACGGAAAAGGGGCACAGGTGCGAGAATAGACGCACAGTTGCCAAATACAAGCAAACGCGCACAATAGTATAGATAATTATCAGGAAAAATAACAAGAAAAGTACAAGTTGTCGACGGCGAGGTTTCTGATAAATCCAAAACATGATAATACCTGGACGAATCACAACGATCAGAAACAATTTCACGAGGGAAACAGTGGGTGCTTACCGTACAAGATGAGAGTGTCTATAACACGACTATAGTGGTGTCGGATACTGGGTAACGTTGACAGCAGCGTTTCTGACTTGCGAGTCGGCCGTTGACGAGGTTGTGATACGGATAAGCTAGAACAAAACGTCAGACACTGACGCGAGAGGCTGGGTAACGGAAAAGGCTGCGTACTTTGTCATCCTCAATATACAGGCACTTTTTCTTGTGACGCTTCCAGTTGGTGTCATAGTACCGTCCCTTGCCGCAGAGCTTGATGGGGACCATACAGCCCGCGCAGACGGCCTCCACGTGGTCGAAGTAGTAGACGCACTCGTCGGCTTTCAGCTGGGCATAGCGCTGAGCTGCATTACGAAACTTGCGGTCCCGAGCTGCCCGATTCTTGACCTGCAGGAAGTTGGTTGCGCTGTATGAAACGAGCTTCATAGGAGGGGAGATTCGGCGCTTGTCTGGCGGTGGCAGAGGCAGCGAGGAACACGATGATAACGGTGAGGAATAGGTCGATGACGATGAAGGCAGCGGCGACGGCGGCTCGTCAAACGATGCCGGTCGCAGTATCGGCTGAACCGATGAGTGGTCACCATACGGGTGGTACCTAGACGTGGAAGACGATGAGGTTCTGCGCTTGCGGCGTGAAGGAGGCGGTGATGGAGGAGAGGGGAGATTACTAGGCACAGGAAGGATGAGGCGTCCAGGTTGAGATGGCGGCGATGAAGACGGCGACGGGTAGTCACGAGCTGATGATACTGGGTACGACCCAGAATAGGAGACAGGGGACGGGTGACGCGAGAAATCCGAGGACACTGAGGATGGTGATGGCAGCGAGGAAAACGACGCCACCGATGGCGATGACGATGATGAAGGAGGGGGAGATGGATAGGTGTACGCGTTGGGTGGAGCTGTGAAGAGATGCGGGTGGTGCTGGTATAACAGTTCTCTCTCGCGATGGAGTAGACGCGATGTGAGAGAAGGAAGAACGCCCTGCTCGTCGAGGAGAGCAATGAGATCGTCTAGATAACTAGGCGACGTCGAAGGGATAAAGTCGCTAGCGCTTCGCCAGCAGCCGTGGTGCGTGAGCGTGATGCCACCGGCAGTGGATAGGGATGAGGCAGAGGGTAAGGTGGGTGGCATCGTAGAGGATAGCAGGCCGTGAATTCCGGGAGGGAAACCGGTGAACGTGCGAGATGAAGAGGAGGAGGGATAAATGCTGAGCACTGGAGGTTGAATTTAGGGACACAGGTGGTTTAAAAAGGTCCCGTCGCTTAGCTGAGCTGAAAGGGTGCTTTCGTCCCTACCTCAGAAGGGCGACGGCCAGGTCTGTAAACGTCACGGCAGCGAAAGCAGACATATCCCCGTTTCCCATTTTGGTCTCATTGTATAGTGTGGGCTTGGGCCCTTGTCTCCAATCGTGATGCGGTGGCACTCGGCGCTCTCGCTTTGTTCTTGTTGTTTACCATGATTGTCGTTTTTGGAAAGCGCCAACAACTCTCCGATACTCAAGGCGTTCGAATCACACGCACGGCAATGCACCGATGCTGATGGCATGGGAATTGGTGTTTTTCATGTAAGGGTTTTCTTCGGAAACAAGGTCCGGTTACAGGCGTAGCAGGTGGGAGCATTACTGGGCCCTTTTCGCGTCTAATTTGCTGTTTACCTTGGTTTATTTGCTCATATTTGTCGCTAGTTATCCTAAAATGTGTTATGCTCGATACTCCGGGAACGGCGGAGGGACCGACAAGTCCCTAAAGCGAACAAGGAGCGAGTTCCCATGGCTCACAGCCCACCTGGGTGCTGAGCGCTGAGCCATAGTGACGGTTCCGTACCGTTGAATAACAGTGGCAGCCAGCTTAAAGTCCGGTATCATGATAATCTATGTAGTTGGCATATTCTGCGGTAGAAAGATGTGCATCCGAAGAACAATGTTAAATTCCAATGTCTGTGAGTGTGAAGAGGTATATAGAGAGAGTATTCGAGTATAACGAGTGAGGGAGGACACCTATCGGAGTCAAAATGATGCTAACGGGAGAAGCTACGAATTATCGTGCAGAAGTACGTAGACATGAGCTTCGACAATAGAAGAGAGTACGTCCTCAGATCTTCTTGGTCCTAGTGAGATAGGCCCGAAGGACGGCATTTGAAAAGCACGGGCAGAGATATCGCCAGTCTATGAACACATTAGACGGACTCGTTGGATGTACGAACTCGCACTTACCTCACGAAGAAAGGCCATCGTCTTGGTAGGGAGTTAGGGTCCGAGGGTGGAGTGGGCAAGGAAGTGAAGCTGCCACTGTACGACTTACAGTAGGGATGATCCCAGTACTGTGTCTCCTTTTGTACAAGCGTCAGTAAGAGGTCTAAGCCAGTGCGACGACGCGACTCTCACCTCGAGTATTTCCACTCCAGTGCATGAGCTTCGATGCTTGAGCCATCTCGTCAGGTCGTACTCGTTACCGCAGATAATTATGTCCCCGCATCCACCGCACTCCAGAGAGTTCAATCTAACTTTGCGCGTACAAGGGTCCTTATAAAGGAGCCATTTGCGCTGGAAACTTGTGAAATGAGCGATAGTAGTGGACATGGTAAAAGAAAAAGAGTGAAGGAGGTTTGAGCGAGAGTCGAGGCGAAATCAAGTCCTCAATTCTATACCACCAGCATATCGACGAGTAGGAGGACAAAAGCGCGACAGCATCCGTCCGAGGACATAGCTACCTATACATTCCTGCTGGCTTAATTCTCGGAGATCGGAGATCGAGATCAGATTCAGTGACACGGGAAACGATACAAGCGAGCCGCGCGGCACTGGCGAGGCGTAAGCGGGAGAGACAACAGTCTGTTTCCACAAACATCCACAGATGTGTCAGCGAGATCAGAACGGGAATAAGATGAGGAATAGACCGCCCAGATTAGTAAATGCAGCAATTGCTGGGATTGGATACTCTTCTCGTGCTCCAATAAAGGTGCGAGGCTGGTCCTCGTACCTTCTCAGGTTCCATAATAGGACAAGGACAAATTGACGTTAAAGCTCTCCGGATGATTGGCGACATACAAATCGTAACATGTGGCGAGATACTGCCGACATACGGTCTGGAGCTCGTATCATCGGCGAAATAGTTCCGTGAAGGGGCCGCCGTCCTTTGACAGCTTCCCTGAAAATGGGCCATGCATGATATCAGCGGAGACAAAAGGGACGCAATTTGATACTCCGCTAGCCGTTTTACCAACTTGCTGTAGCACTGACAGTATTCCGTTCCGGTGCATTGGCATGCATCCATGATAGAGGGTCTTATCAGAAAAGTCTCCATGAGTCGATCGAGGTCAGGCCGCGAGAGTGGCACTCGCGGGTCCAAGAGGCTTCCCCGGAGTCACAGGCATGGCCAGTGTGACGTAAACTGTTGGCAGCGTATACGAGGGGAGGTATGGTCTAAGCCTCCTGCGGTGCGAGTTTACGAAGCGTCCCTAGCTGGCCAATCTCTTTACCTGGAAATATACCCGCATTCGGGACGTTATACACGCTCGAAAGTCCTCAAGTCGATCTCATCGGCTTTCCGTGTCGAGAATCGAGTTCCAAAGAAGATCAACTATCATTATAGGGAAGTGATTTAGGCACGAGGCGGGATGACATGCTTTAATGCACATTAAGGAAACATTGGCCTACCCATGAAAGGGTAAGAGCCGTGGCAGACTCCCATATGCGTGACTTGGAATTGACTTAATTGAGGTACTCGGATGTCAGAGCATCTTCGAGAAAGAAGGTAGTGGAACGAGTGCAGCTCGCTGAGCCGAGCTAAAGCGGAGAAAATGGGGGCCCAAAATACGCGCCCATAGGCTGGGTCGGGGTCTAGAATGGAAAGGACTGTCACCCGCGAACGCATAAGAACCTGCCCTCTGCGTTCACAATAGTAACCCATCTCCCGCCACCGACTCCATTCCAGTACTACCCAACAAAATGAGCCTCCCGGTATGACTTCTTCTCTACTAGGTGGTCCCTCTTCGCCTCACGCATTGACTTTCTGCAGTCTAGGAACACCGACTCCCCGTCGTCTCCTGCACACAGCAGCGTGGTGGACGCACCTAATAGCTCGATTGACAAGGTGAGGGTGCTCTGAACGTTGTTTTCACCTTGACAGCTCACCGACCGCACATGTTTTTGCAGGATACACTGTTTCTTCTTTTGCTTCAAGAGGAAATTGGCCAACGTGGCGTTTCTGACGGCTACGATGTCAAAATCGAGTCTCCTTCAGAGACTACAGCGAGATGGTTGTTAGTGCCTTTTCATCGTATTCATCGCCGAGGGTACTCGTTTCTGACCGCCGTTTAGCCAAACAGAAACGAGTACACGCGAAGAGGAAAACGGTTCTGCCTCCCCGCGTCAATTTGAGTTCAGAATCATGGTCTCCACGGAGACCATCACAGAGACGCGCTGAAGAGCATCGAACAAGGTGCTCAAGCATCCGTATACCCCATGACTTACCACTTCATTAATATTCCTTCACCGTTCGGCCTTGTTTGAGCCCATCCCCACACTCATTTCTGTTCTCCCCTTTCTTCCTCGTCTTTGTCTCTTGCTCACCCACAATACCGACGTTCCTTGCTATCTCTTCTCTATACCGGATCATTCAATAGCCCTGTTACCTGCACTTACGTTTGAATGGAACTGCTTCTGTCTGTATCAACTTGGTCTCGATTGGAAGCGAACATGTTCTAAGAACTTGCGCGAGATTAGGCGTACTTTCTTCTTATAGGTCTAAGATTGGAACAAACCTTGTAGCAGCACAACTTGGGCGCGCCGTGACTTAATCGGATTGGTACGAACGAGGGTGATCTTGGCTTTGAAGCACCGAGGGTTTGATAAGATAAGTAGCACGATGCCGTCCGTAGCGGCCAAGGCTACTCAAAGCTCGTCTTGATACTCCCGATATGATGCAGAGAGGAAGGGCAGGTGGCTGGATGTCAATGTGATGAGCGCGATGAGGGACGTACGGGTATCGCGGCGGACGTTTACATCTTGCGCGCAATCCGGAGACGCGCTGTCCCGGAAGATCCCGGGATCTCTACAGGTATCGCCGTTCGTGTGTTGCACTGCACACGGACCACTGGTCAGATCATCAGCAACTCATTCAGCCGCAAAGGTCGCTAGCATCCGTTGGAATTGACACACAAAGCAGTTCATCAGCGAGGAAAGCAAAAAGAGGAGAAAGGAATTGAACCCGACCCGGATTGAACGGATGACCTTGTGGAATTCCCAGGCTGGAATCACACGCGCTACCACTGCGCCACGGGTCCATGCCGTAATCAGATGCATGCCACTCTATGGACCCACAACTAATGCTCTGCCTTGCATCTCTGATCAAAACTTTTCGGCCCCATTCAGCTTTTAGGCCATTCGACATTTCCTCTCCTTCCGGTCACTCCATTCGACAATGGCGTCTACATCAACAGCGCCGCCTGCGGGGCCGACACATCCTGTCATCTTCACTACCAAAACGCAGTATGTTCTGCCCTCGCAAAAGTTTATGGTCCCGCTCGCCTGGCGGCGTTATCACCTCTCTCAACTCGTCAATCGGGCGTTGTCTCTTCCTTCGCCCGTACCATTCGATTTCCTCGTTCAAGGGGAGATCCTGCGGGGGACGCTGCAAGAATGGATGGTAGAAAGGGGCGTGGGTCCAGAAGAGACGCTCGAGGTGGAGTATGTCGAGAGTGTGCTTCCGCCTACCAAGGCTGCGGAGAGGAAGTCGGAGGACTGGGAGGCTGGAGTAACGTGTGCTGTACCAGGGTACGTCTCCGTCTGACTGTGGAGAAACAGGATGTGAATAACGTGATAACATAACCAGACACTTCGCCACGGCCTCGTATGACGGCCACATCCGCGTATTCGACTACGCCCACTTCCAGACTGCGAAACATACCGCGCGCATACATCCTGCCCCTATCACTTCTCTCCACGTCGTCCCTTTGCAATCAACATCGAGTGACGAAGAGCAGACTTACACGATTTTGACGTCTTCGCACGATCTCACCGCCCGTCTCTCTACCCTTTCTCTCTCCCCGAACTCTCCAAAACCTACCACAACCAAAACCCTCGCCTCTCTCCATCTTCACACAGCGCCCGTATCCCATGTCACCGTTTCGCAGGATGGCTCTACCGTCCTGACCTCGTCCTGGGACACACTGATCGGCGTGTGGGACACGCGCATACCCCCATCAGATGAGGTCCCGGACGATGCGCCGGATGGAGAGCGCAAGAAACGCCGCAAGCTCGCCAAGTCTGGTGAAGAGGAGAAGGTCGTACGCAAGGTCCCGACGGCGGTGCTCAAGTCGCACACGAACCGTGTTTCGGCGGCTGCATTCCTGCCTGGATCAAACGAGAAAGCGGCGTCAGTTGGATTTGACGCAACGGTGAGGACATGGGATGTCGAGAATGGGCTGTGTACGCATACAATCGTGGGTTTCCTTCCGTCTTGTAAGTGTCGAGTGCATATATTGACCAGTGGCCAATTTCAGACGGCACCAGAAAAGCCATTCCTGGCTCTCGCTATGCACAGCACGAACAACGCTTTCGCAGCATCTACAGATCGCAACGTCAGCCTGTTTGACCTTCGTTCCGCTGCCTCCGCACCTCTACTGTCGCTGCCCCACCCAGCCACACCATCATGTCTCGCCCTTCCTCTCGCTGCCGCATCGCATCCAGGAAACCCGGACAACGGAGGAGGAGGAAACGAGAATCAACTGATATCTGGCGCGTACGATGGTGTCGTCAGGCTTTGGGATGTGCGCAGTACGCGCGTGGCTCTTGCGTCGATGCGCATGTGGGAGGCGGGCGATAAGGTGCTGAGCGTGGATTGGAGGGGGGAGGTGGTCGCTGTTGCAGGGGAGGGTGGCGTTGGCGTTTGGAGAGTCGGACGGCAGTGAAATCCCGGCGAGGCGAAGTCATAGCAAGACATCCCCCCAGAAGCCGCCGTCATCGCTGCTAGCCCTCGTTCGTAGTCAGCCGAGCAAGCACCATGGGCGAGACGAGGCCGTTAGCAAGAGCACCGCGAGAGGAAGCTGATATGTCTGATTCACCTGCGCAGACACTCGATCTAAAAGTAGTGAGCACGCTGTGTCTGTCTGTAGACGAGAATCTCATTACATTGAGTAGGTCGAACTCGCGTCGACCTCGAACAACAACATTCCGAATCTCTCGGAGTAAGGCTGGGCTGAAACCGAATAGAGTTCTGCTCCAACATAACCTGAATCTGCATTCGGTAGGTAGTCCCCATGAGCCGATGAAAGGGGCTTATAACGCGTCGATCTTATTCAGTCGTCGTCGACGATCACAGACGATCACCGCGCGTCGCGACTTAGTGATGCCGAGGCATAATCCGTCAGTGAAGGCAACGAACAAGGGCGCTCAAAGTCCCCTTTGATCTTCATTAAAACGAGCAGAAAGTACAGGGTGGCACGGCGGCCCTGTCGAGTTCGTACAACGTCCAAGTCATTCGAGAGGTAGGAAAGGCAAGGAAAAGGGGAGAGGACGCATGGGTGATGACTTCTACTCGACGCGTCTTTGAGTCTGACAAGCATAGCATCCTTGATGTATGGGTGAGTTATGTGCCCTTTACAACGAAGATGACGAACTCACGACCAAAGGAAAACAGTTCCATTTGCATGGCGGGTATATTGGAGGCGAGACAACTTCATTGCTTTCCTGAGCGGATGCTAGAGCTACAGGTCAGCGAACTCTATTCATGAAACGACCGGTGTAACTCACTACTTGGATGGGTCGAAAGGCTCGTCGTTGAGAAGATCTTGGACATCAATACGAGCGCGTGGCATCGATGAAATCTCGCTGTCCGACTGGTTGACGTATGTGTCTTCCGTCCCGCTGTCTTCCGTCGCACTGTCTTTCTTGTCGCTGGGCTCCGGCGCCGCGGGCAGGGCCGGAGACGGGGTGCTGCCCCACAGCAGGGAGTCTTCGAACGAGCCTTGGGCAAAATTCGCGAGCGCATCGTACGTCTATGCAGGTGTCATCAACAACAGCATCGACGAACAAGAAGAGCGTGCAACTTACGGGTGTCATCGGACGAGGTTGAATCGGTGGCAGAGTCAACGACTCCCTCAAGGGCGACTGGGTGCTCACGGCAACGCTCCGTCGCCACTCTTCTATCTCCTAGAATCCCGGTGTCAGAGATGTTCACGTTGGTCTTAGGTTATGGAAGAGGTCACCTACCCTCCGTAAGTCAGGTTCTTCGCATAGTCCCTGGCATTCAGGTCCCCACTGGCCGTATTGGTCGCACGCCTTCTGGATCCACTTTGCGCAACCTTCGCAAAGAGATCTTGACGACGTGATGCCCATGACGCAGGGTTTATCCTGGACAAGTCTTTCATGTCCGGCGCTGGAGGGTCGTTGGCTGGGTAGCAGCCCTGAAAGACGTTTAGTTAGCGGTCGGAAGGCCGTGAGGAAGGCGCGGTGAGCTTACGAAGTGCCCGAAGAGAAGGGAGCCCGCCGTGAGGCCAATGGCGCCAGGCAGGTGAGGTGGGGAGAGGGTAAGGAGAACTCATGACTCTGGGGAGCTTGCGGTTTGTGACTTGCTTTCCACGTCCTACTGCTTCTGAGTGACGGTGCGGGCGGACTGGTTGAATGGGAGGGCTGTCGAGATGGTGAGCGGACGGGGCTCTGTGAGCGCCTTCTAGAACCCCTTGAGCCCAAAAGTCTGCTGGAAGTAATGGTAAACGACAAGGTACAACATCGACACGACGCATGGGCGTACCGGTCAACTCGTTGTCGACGCCACTCACGGCCCGTGGGATGGACTCGCGGGTCACACCCTCGACGCCGGAACTAATCCACTCGTAGTTTGTCATGTTGATCGACGGTCTCACTGAAGGGCGTTTTTGTAGGACGAGGTGGACGTGAAGAATGGGTTGGTTGGAATCAGAGGCAAGTCCCTGGCGAAGCCTCGCTACTCACCTGGGTTTACCTGCCTTAGTAGGAGGCCCGGGGACGCGCCGTTCCAGTCCAGTCATGCCGGCATCCTCCCCTTGTTCCCGCGCACGTCCCCTGGGAAATGCAGGTTCCTCGGTTCTCTCGGAGGTTCGGCCCACAATTGAATTCTGATTTGTTCGGTACCAGCAGCGACGTCAACAAGAGTGAGCGCGGTTAGCATGAGCTTCTACGCTCGCGATATCCGCACGGCGGGCGCCTTATTGGATCAAAACGCCATCTATCTCCCCCGAACTGGTATCCAAGAGAGCCCTGACTGTCTGCATGAAAGAACCTGAGGTGAGCCATTGGAACGGCGCATGCCCTATCTTTTAACGCCCATGCGTATGCATTTGGTATCATTCTACGCAGTTGCTTTGTCGGAATTAAATGCCACCGCCCTTTTGGGCGACTGGCGATGATGTTGATTTCTCTTCGCGATCAGGTGGTCGGGAGGCTCACGCCTTACTCAGGATACGAACAGCAAACTTCCGGAAATTTTACCCGCGACAGATTGTCTGGGTACCCTGAGTTCCCTTGCCAGTGTATCGGGTCTCAAGAGACATAATAATATGGGGTTTGTTTATACGGAAGACCTTGAACGGATTTGGGAGGTATGTAGGCTTAGATCCGACTCGGATAGATCCCTCGCTTGTTTTTTTTCTATGGGAAGGTCCAAACGTGAGGGACGGACTCCAACGCTTGGGTAGCAAGGTCCCAGACCGCTCCGATGACGAATGCTGAATTCTTTCCCGCTTCGTGGTTCTGTATGAACCAAGCGTACAAGGGCAACCCATGTACCCATGCGTAAGCCGGTCTCAACGTCGTAGCAAAGCAACGCGACTCTAATTTGATTGAGCGGCGCGCGATTCACCAGTATACAAGCCGAGTGTCTAATCTGACTGGATTGACTGTTTCCGCTAGTCAAACCCTGAGGACCACTTGTGAGCACCGCGCGCAATCTCCATTTAAGAGAACAGTCACCGAGAAAGAGGTTTCAGATCAAACTCGTTTAGGAGATTGTCGATGCGGAGGACCGACCTCCTCCCCTGGCCATCGGATTCTAAAGGCCGTGATGTCTTGTCTACACAGAATGGTAAAGATCCCGAGGGAACAAGAGGTTCACGGACTACGTCTTCGAGGAATGAGAGGAATACAATACAGCAGCGAAGCAAGTAGACGAAGAGAAACCTTTATGTGACGTACGACCTTTCCCGGGAGCCTCCCATCCCCACCACATCAAATAGGACGTGTTTTATGAGCGCATGATCGAGATCTTGGCTACGTGACTCGTTGCTTACTAGCGCTCATCAATTGTTCGCGCTCTGTCTTTGGTTTGGTGGCGTGATGGCGTTTTTAGCAGGACAACGGGCATGGTTCTAGGGCCCGAAACATAGCTAACGAGTGCTGCGGTGTAGATCTCCGTGTCCCTAATGCTTCGCGCGGATCTGTGTGCTTATGCAGAAATATCATCAGGAACTACTAGTAAAACGTATGCTATGTGCTGCTGAAGAGACTCCGGAGCTTATATACATGCGCAAGTTGGTACACAATAACGTATAAGGTATCTGACTCTAGGGTATAATTCGACATAATCCTCTAGGCCTTAGTGTTTATGCGGCATCGTCGTGAGTCAGATACGACCTCGTACGCTAGAGTCAGATGCTGTTGTGCCACAGACGATGAGCGCTAGGCTGACATAAATCATGGAGAAACATACCGCGAAGTCGGATGTATAGACTCTTTGTTAAGTAAGCGATCGAGCCACCCGCTCCGATCATAAGTAGGAAATGACACCGGAGCCCCACTATCAGTGTATCGACGTCTTTCTACCTTTTTATCCGCTTTGTTCTACGGGGCTGAGTGAGACCGATACCGACTCAATCAAAGTGGAGACTGTACGCACCATGAGGCACCTAACTTTCTCGCAACCCTCCTTGTGGCGAGTCCAGTTGCCGGGATAGTAATCCCTGCGTTTGCTGAGAGTTAACCACTTCTTGCAACCTTTACAGAGGACGCGCTTTGTCTCGAAGATGGCGACATACGGGTCGCTCTGGAGGACTATTCGACGTTGCTCCAGATTACGTAGGTGACCTCCTAAAAGGCGTATCCAGCGTCGCTGAATATCTCGTTCCAGAGTGAAGGGAGGAAGACTTACTGGCACGCAATGCCTCAATGCCCTCGAGAGTCAGAGTGCTGGAGGCCACCCGTAGACTACGAGAGGGCACGCTAGGAAGCTCGGAGTTGATAGCTTTCCGAGCGTGTAGCATGGCGTGTGCCGTCTTTGGGGTAATCGGAGGAACAAAGGCTGAGGAACATAAGTCAAAGGTGGGCATCTAAGCAAGAGGATGAGAGGAATACCAGGTAGTTCGCGGTGTCCACCCCAAGGAGTGTCGGGTAGGTTTGAGTAGTGAACGGTATGGCCGGTATGGTCGTTGATATACATGGGAACCATAGTTGTCTATCGAGTCGAAGGCGGACGGAAGAGGGGCAACGGATAGACTAGTTGTGCAGAGTGAGAGCTCAAACTCACTGTGGTCTCAGACCAAGTATCTAACTGAAGAAGCGGAAAATCTACTCGATCTCTAAACATGGTTGCATGAAGCGGGCTAATAGAATCCGGTAACATTGTCGATGCCACTTGACAGATCGCGTTGGGCGCGGCTCCTCGCGGAGTCGGTTAACTTTTCCGACGGTCAGTTGTCCCGAACAATTCGCCTCGCGCTCCCAGAACTCCTCCACGGAAGTTAGTTATTCCCGACATGTCACGATGTTGGACTAGTTCCGCAAAATTGGGCGACATATCGGAATGTTGATGATATGTTGCGCTTCTTTTTGTGATGGGAATTCAAGGGAGTGGCACGTCAACTGGATGACTCCCAACTTTTTACACACGAGCCTACATGGTACCAGAAACGCCCATATGAAACATTTCAAATTCCAATTTAGCAATCTCTTTTGCTTCGGTCAGATCCTTTCAAGGCACAGGCCTCCGTTGTCAAGATGAGCGCAGTGAGAGAATGACATGTTTCCATAACTTGCTAACCATTGAATTTCAAACGGATTCGTTCAGCCCACACCCATCATCCCCTAGTTCACAGCAGGGTCCCTAACCCTGTGGAGAAGAGAGCATAGATCTGTACCGATCGATGAGTGAGGCCCAAGACGTACGCGCAATACATTATTCCTTAAGAGTAGCTGGTTCTCCCCTGCTAACGCCGGTGAGAGCTGTCGTCGTGCCTTTCATACCCTTCATTGACCGCAACCAAGGTTTACAAATATAAAGTTAACTCCGTGCCGTCGGTCTAGATCTCTGAACAGATATGTCCGAGTCAGCGCCGCCGCAAGCAGACGATTGACACCAGCTCTTGTCCCAAATTGAGCGCGCTCACTTCTACCACGGCAAGATGGTATCAACGGAGTCTTGTGTTATTTAAGGTTCAGAAGTTACAGTAATGCAGCCAGATTTGATAAGGAGTGCAGAAGAAGCGGGGTAAACGTAGGCCGGGTGGCATGAACAAAACGAGGGCAACGAATGTAATTTGCGTGGTAAGAACCAGGGGTGCGCGAAAGGCAGTACTATGAGCGTGGTAATTACTAGAAATGGCATTTAGAGTTGGCAATGATGAGGAGGAATTACTTACAATGTTTATTTCTCCTACAGAGGACGTAGACCAGGAGAGAGGAAGCCGAAAGGCCGGAGGAGACAGAGCAAAGGACTGCATAGTATCAACGGTTTAGATCGCGAACAGTTTTTGATAAACAGCCACTTGCCTTCGCGATTTGCGTGTATAGTATGTAGCCATTAAGCACGATCCAATCATCTCAACAGGGCTTCTAGCTTCTCCGCCAGTATTTTCGCGAAGGCTAGGACGTAATCTTGTTCCCTCGGAAGAGGGACCGTGCCGGTGGGGGTGTTTGGGGGCTGGCGCTGAGTGAACATGTCGCGTCGGATGTCCTGAAAGACAGAAAAGATCTGATGGACGTTGGCGAGGGAAATGCTATAGAATGTCGAACGAGTCTGGGTGATCACCGACGCTTTAAAGCGTCTTTCTCTGCCGAGTCACGTCGATCGGCTGCGTATGTTCAACCATCGAGGCCTGGAAAGATCCTCAGATAGAGCTCTTTGACCCTTGAATGATACGGGGCTTCTTTGGGCTGTTTCCCGCTCGCGAGATATGTCCAACAAAATTCAATTCAGTCTATCGGAAGGCACGCGGTTTCGCGAACGCAGGGCATGCACCGATGCAATTTTATTGATAATATGAAAGGGCCCATACCACGGAAGCGCGATGCAGTTGAAATACTTGACATGTACATACGTCACATTTATTATGACAGAAGTTTCGAGGGGCACTTTGATGCGCGCTGCATCGTACCGAATCTCCGCATCCCTTGCTCAAACCAACGAAAGGTTTTCTCACTCATCGAATTGTCATCGAAGGCAGTGCGCTTTGTAGGATGATTTTGGTAAATCAGACGAACGGCATCCCTTTAGCACAGTAGGGTTATCCAGTTACTTAATACCTTTTGTGGTGTTTATGACCGTCAGGTATAGTGAACGGACTGTCAGTGTCTTGGAGTCCCGCATCATGCATCAACTCTGAGCATGGCCGGCATTTTCCGTGGCGACAGCTTTGCCATAACGGGATCATCGATCATCGAATCCGATCATTGCTGAATTACAGCACTCCGAGTGCCACTCCTGCCTATCGCTCGCGTTCGCTCTCTTGTCCTCTCTTCTTCATGCTTGCCACTGGCCTGGTAACCTGGCTTCACTACCTATCTTCTCTTGTGGCGAAACACAGTGGATCTGATCAGGACTTTCATCGCGGACTTGATCCCGAACGAATCATGCTTGATGAGAAGACGCGCGACCCTGAACTCCTTTCATATCTCAGATCCACATCATGAACATTGTAATGCACAGGACAACAGGTACTCATTTGCTCCTAAAGTGAATAACGTACCATCTGACCGAGTCTCGACCTCAGTCGTTACTACGACTCCACTCCCAGGGTGGGAGCCAGTTCATTTGTCGCCCTTCTTCGGTACCTCGATCTATGATACCCCGCGGACGGTTAGGTTCCGCTTGTTGCGTCTGTCAGGTGGGGCACCAGTTATCGAGATCGAGACCACTTGCTGCGGTGTGCGGGTGCCGTACGTACGTAAATCCCGACCCGGAACCTGTGCCCCGTTCCATGTTGGTCGCATCCGCGTATTTGGCCGATGCGACGCACGGGGACCACGGGCCAAGCCACCTGTCCGCCGACTGGGGTTCGTCGCCTTTCTCGAAAACCATTACTGCTTATGTCTTGGGTGGTTTCGAAGGTGACAACAGTCTAGCCGACGCCATAGGGGATCGGATAACGGCACCCATTCGGCGATATTTATAACCCAGGTCTTTAATCGTTTCTGTGAAAGAACAAGCGACATGTCGCTTGTTCTTTCACAGAAACACAGGCAGGGAGTACTGCTACAGGATCCTCTATGCAGCAATGTGACCAGATCCTCTGCTAAATGCGGCCTTTGCGGTTATGTCGTTGACACCCCCGACTTCGCTCTAGAGCCCTGGTTCCAACATAGGAGAACCTGCGGCAGGGTTCGGGAAATCTACGTAAGCGACCTTGCTTTACTTATGGCCCAGGCGCATTATACTGATCTTGTACATAAGGAAAGGAATTGGTGGGCAGACCCGCAGTTTCTGGATGACCTGGAAGCGCTGGAATCATATACGACTCCCCCGAAATCACTCCCTCTTTGGTCGGTAATGTCTACGTCTGCAAACGAAGTTTATGATTCTCATTTCAGGACTAAACAGGCTGGAAAGAATTGCCACCGTACTGTTTAGCTCTCGACAAGCCTCTGCGGACGAAGTCGACGACCACGCTCAAATCAGCAGCCGGCTGAGTTTCCGTTGTAAAGGCGACGTTGCCTAAAGTATCGCCGCTTTCTTCGCTTGCTGGTGTGGCGATACATACCTTAGCCTTCTGTCTTGTGACTCGTACTCTTAAACACCAGAATACACCACCAGACGGTCATTACATGGTCCTTCTTCGCTTCTCCTCTCCCCCTCTCCTCCTCTCCGATTGCCTTCTTGCCCGCCAAACATTCTCAACGATACGCGTCATTGGTTCTACGCTGCCTTTTATTGCACTCCGAACATTTCGAATACGCACACCCTATACCCAGCTATATCACACCCACTCCTTTCACTCGTTCATACGTACTTTGAAGCCCTACTGTGCATCTGTTACTTTCGTTGGTCAATGATATCTCGCGCGTCGCGTTCCTTTCCCGAGCCCGAAATGATGAAGTCCTTTTCAACCTGAGTTTCTGGTATGCAATTGCAAGAGCCAGGTGAATACAGTGAAAGGTAGATGATACGAGTAAATATAACGAAACCTGACGCTTTTCTCCCCGCACTAAATGTTTTGCGACGAGATAAAACGCATAGAGAGGACCGAAGCTTGTGACAGCCCGTTTTCGCTCATAAACTATCTCATTCTATTTCGTAATCTACTTTCTGTCGTGAATGGACCAGAGAGATAGTAGGACCAGGGTAACAGCCACGGCGAGGAAAAGAACGCCGATTGCCTGTATGTTCGTCGTCTTGAGCTACCAATTCTTCCTCGTCTCGCCGAACGTGCTAGATATCTTCGTCAACGAACACGCTCGTTATCCGGGGTTATTGTCCGAGCTGAGTATACAGATAACCTGGAATTACGTTGAGGCCATGCTTATGTAGGAACGTTATAGATACCTACATTATCACGTTTACTTTAGCAGGTACCAATATCTAACGCTCGCGTAATGGAGCGCTGAGAGACATGTTGGTACCTGATAGATGCACGAAATGAATTTGAGCAATAGCGAAAGAGTCGGTTAACGAAGACTGACCAAAGATGATTCAATATCGACACGATATCATCGGACGCGTATTGAAAACGAGAGAAACATGGCTTCTTCAAGCCAGCATATTCACGACCTGCGCAGCTGAGGTCGCTGAGAATTTTGAGTGGAGTCGCTTGAATCTTAAACGCAAGCCGGGTCTGCAATGCGGGATGTTGGAGGGAACGTCGTAAAGAAAGCGAATTATGTATCGCTGCTGAGTCGACGAAGATGTGCATAAGGGCTGTTGAAGCTTTTGGGTTAGTTCTTTTCGCGTCAAATTAAAATTATATTTCATACCTAGAGACGACGCGAGAATATCCTTAAAGAGTGGAGATGTCCTTGGAAGTTTCTAGAGACCCTTGAAAATATTTGCCGCTGGTCGCTAAGGTGTCGGATATTTCTATGGCGGTATTGAACAAGAAATAGAGGTAGAGACATGTGTCACGATGAGGCGGACGAGGCGAAGCTGATTAGCGATGTAGAAATATTGACGTCCAGCTACTGCCACGGATGCATCTATAGATCATGAGGTGAAAGTAAGTAAGGCGCCGACAAACATTATAACGAGATCGCTGAAACGGACGTACCTGGAATCGGAAAACCCGAAGACGTTCCCTCGAGTCCTTGAACTCTCTAAAACAAGGAGGCTTTCGTGGGTGGAATTGTTGGCCAAAGTATTCGAGTTACCCGTCAACGCTGGAACCAATATGAATAACGAACAGCAGGAGGGCTGGGGAATCTTGTCTATAGCTGGTATAGCGCTTAGTTGACCGCGATTTCTCTGTCGTTACTAGCGAATTCTTAGCAGAAGAGCCGGAGGTTCGGGTAAATGGTTTGCGGACTGTCGCTTATTGAAGTCGAAGAACTGGAGAGAATTCCGAGACCAGAATAACTCCAACTAACAACGACGTCAGGAATGAACAGCCAAAGACTATCATGGCGTAGACCAACCGCGTCGTCGTAGCTGTGGCTACAAAATTCGGACTCTACCAGACTGAGAACACGACAGCCATTTGTACTTCTAGCTTGAACGTCGACGACCACTAGTTTCTGTAGTCCATAATTAGTTCACTTTGGTAGGACATCAAGGGGTTTGAGCTTACATGGTTTTGGATAAGATAGTTTGTGATGGAGAACCCGGTTGAATCGATGTTCAGTGCGACGAGCTCTGGGTGGTCGAAAGGAGGTTGAAGTCCGCGAGTGCACTCGAGGAATTGCTTGTCGGAAGAAGTTGAGACCATGTGTACTGCGTGACAGTGGATTTGATGCTTCATGAAAGTGAGGAATTGTATAGGGTATTTTGGGAAAAAGACGAGGGAGAGTCGTAAGGTGGGATGGGCGAAGGCATGAGTGATGGCGCGCAGCGCGCAGGCACAGCGCGGGAAGCGCCCAAGAACTCCAACAAGGGCGCTCGGTGAGACAGGGGCTCATGTCCAAAAAAGGTCTATTTGTCAGCACTCAAAGCTTTCGGTTGGCTGAACTCGGTTCGCAAGTATCGCGCGGCCAATTTCACGAAAGATCTAGTAATGAGCGTGTTTGAAAGCTAATCTACTTGCACACCGAGTAATACGTGGCCATAAATACGATCCCTTGATAATGTTAAGAATAAACACCACAGAGCGTCAGACTGCCTGCCCCATGCTAACGTCCCGGAACCTGTCTTCGTCCTCGCCTTCCCTCGATGAAGGTGTGGGAGAGGGGGAAAGGCGGCGCCTGCTACCTGTCGGCGAGGATGCACGCGAGCCCACTTGTAGAGCAGACAAGAGAGCTGAAAGGCCACCCGGAGAATGCCTTCCATTATCACACCTGCGAGTCGCGAATACCTCGGGCCCGTCGACGTGCGTAACTGTAACCTCGGGTATGTCTGCCCCCTGGACCTCCTTGCTCGCTTGATCACGGGAGTCATCTTTTTGGTACTCCACGATATCCGAAATCATGGTTTCCGGATCGATCCACCGCGCGTCGTCGAGTCTATGCACCGTCTCGAACGGATCCTTACCAAACTCGTCCTCAAACGCGCTGCTAGCACGAGCGCTCAAGTCATCGAGCTCGATGTTTTCCGCACCCACGGGCGCTCGAACGCCGCCAACATCTTCACGCCTCGCAACCTCCCACGGCCCGAGCGAGTCCCCGTATCGGACAGACCTCGCGGATCCTGCAGAACGTCCGCTCGCACAGTTGGCGGAACCAGGAACACGAGCAGACTCGATCCCGAGGCCACCAGAACGGGGGGAACGGCGGCTGCTGGGCTGTTTTCCCGAACCCTTGGAGGGACCATTGAGGTTGTACTCGGACGAGGGGAAATGCCACGCGTGATCGTCCTGCGAGACCATGATGCGCTGGCGCTCGTTCCACTCGCGGAGGTCGAGGAGGAGGCGAGCGGAAAGGAGGCTTGAGAGTCTATTTTTAGTATGTCAGAGGTATTATGGAAGTGGGATGGACAGATAGACGCACGGAAGAGTGAAAGCGTTCAGAAGCTTTCCCAGAAACTGATTCACTATCAGTGTGGAGTCTGGATGCCAATGGTGATGATGCTCGTGGGACATTTTCGCATTGACAACCTACGAATGATGCGAACAACGATCAGCCATCGTGATGTTAAGGGAAGGAGTCCTTTAAGACATACGAAGTTGAGCACCGCAGCGGCGCACGTAAACCCAAAGACGAGGCCGAAATATACTAGACCCTCACGAAACATGAAGAACATGATGTTTTTCGTAAAACGCCGCTCGCGGTGCGTCTGTGACCATAGGGCCATGATGCAACGTATGGCGGTTAGAATGGTTGCAATGAGCTCGAAGGCGCAGACTAGGACAGAAAGTACTTCGTCGACTAGGAGAATAATGTATTCAGCACCAAGACGATTCATTGGAAGGTAGCATACCTCTATAATGGTTCATTTGTCAAATGTTGGGACACTGTTGTAATCAAATACGACGTACGTGGGGCTAATCCTCGGTGGTGTTCCGGGACATGTTTCTTCGGATGCATGCCACTACAATTCAGACGTGAGGTGCCGCTCGCACGTGAAGAAACCAAGTATTCACCAGATCCATAGCCACGCAAGCAAGCGCGATCGAGCCCAATGAAACGAGTATGGGTTTGCTTCTCGCCCAGACCGCCCACGTCCTCGCGGTAAAGATAGCTGGAGGACGCCAGATGATCAGCAGAAGTTTGGCACCCCGCAGACGAGTACTCACTCAGCACAGACGCCCTTCCGGCTACGCTCAGAAACCCAACGACTTTATACCACACATTGCAACCGTCGATTAACCCAGCGATGGCGAGAAGGTAGATCACGTTGGCGATGAGGGCATAGCGGCAGCAGATGTAGAGGATGGTCGAGAAGCGGAATCTGCTCTGCCAGATGTGCTTCACCTCGAGCGGGAACGTAAGGGCGTAGTCGTAGTACACCAGTGCTGACGGGGTGCGAAAACGGAGATAAGACATATGAAAGCTCGTGATAACTGAACGGACACGTACCAATGCTAGACCATTGTATACAGTATTGCACAAAGCTGCTTGGTCCAGGTCGGTCAGCCCACACCTTCGGACAATGGACTCGGAGATACTCACTGCGTCCTGGACATGGCCTACCGCGTCATGGAGAAAGGGGAGCGGAGCCAGCTAGCGGATGGATATGGTCTGTTTATTAGCGACCAGATGCCCAGCCGGATCGACCGCGCGCTCTCCGTTCTCGGTCTCAGTGTTTGCTGACTACTCCACAGTGGCGGTGCCCTTGCTTACCAAAAGACGGAAGCAAAAGTCAGCACCACGTGATGTACAGATGATGCGTTACCAATATAAGCTAATATATGTTCGAACCTCCAAAAATCGCAATGTTCCGGTCGATCAGCGCTAATCTTCTGTTCGAGCCTCCTTTTCGTGAACTCTTTCACTTCTCGTTCTTCTTCTGCATTCTCGCGATAGCGTTAGCCTCAGCGATACTACACAGGCACCGTCCTGGCCCCTTGTCGTTAGGATGCTACGTTGGCCCTCAGCGACATGGGATCCGAGTCCGACGGGGCCCATTCGGCGATAAGCCCTTAGCCGGAGATGAAAAGGTACCTAGCACCCTCATGCGCTGGCAACCTCCCAGTCAATGAGGCTTTATCTAACAGCTATGTATGCTCGCTGCTCTCGGCGCGCTTGGAGCCAATGGTAAGTGGTTCGTGGCTGTCCGCCGCAGAGTTTGAAAACGGATGTGCGCCAGATATGTTCTATCCGGCACTGGTCAGCCCGGCTGCGCTGCTTGGGAGGAAGAGTCCCGATGGAGACGTCCAGCCTCATATTGGACAATTATTGACCGACCTTCAACAAGGGCAATCGACGAGTGTGAATGTAGCTTTCTGTGGGGAAAGTCGGAGCCCTCAAAGCTGGGATTGTGACATGATCCCTCGATGTATCAACGCGACATACACACAAAGTGATCCGCGATCGACAGCATGGGTTCCAAAAATAGGGGCCTTTTTTTACATCAGGATGGCTTGGATAATCCGCGAGTCCCTGCCAGTGTGTCTGACTATTAGTCGTCGTTCAGAGCTTACAATCGAACCAATGCCTGTATGCTTTACTAGCAGATCACGACCTATCTTTTCCTCTGGTAAAATGCCTCTGACAAGCAGCCTCAAAGGCAAATCCTTTTGTCCTACATCGAATGTGAATTGTACATCACTGACTGCCACTCTCAAGCTTTCTCTCGGTCCACGTCAAGCATCTGTTCTACAATGACACCATAAGTAGGCAGAGTCTTTGGCGGAAGTAACAGCGACTCACTTTCTCGAAACATTTATCTCCTAGGCTTTTCAGCGTGTTCACGCCTGTTGGTAGTGTTCTGAAGTCGCCAACTATATGACCATAAATTATCACATCCACGAAAACGACTATTCAAATGACCGTTCCTGGTGGTCGAACTGTCTCGCTCAGTCAACCTCTAATGAGTGCAAATCATGATATTAAACTTGGAATACGGCTCCCTGACTCTCAGCTCGCTGCATGAACAGATTAATGAAAAGGACGACAATCATGGGCATTCTGCATCACTGCCATCAATATGACAGAGGATATAAAGGAAGGCAATGATTGAAGATGCGATTCAGTAGGGAAAGCGTTGGTATTGAAGTTTACGACGTATGCCACGCAACCTTGCCATTATCAATGTGAAGACGGGCAAGTTTCAAACAACCACAGATTGGTATTACTAATAACTGAGTGATAAGAACTAGGTCAGCAACGCTCTCGCAGGAAGCTATAGCAGCACCACGCATTAATGGAACTTACAACAACGGGTTCTTTGGTTTGCGCACCCCAACAACGGACGGAGGCGCGTCCAAGTATTTGAAATAGGCCTTCAAAACGCCTGGAAACCTTTCCTTGAAACCAATGAGGGTTAGCTTGATGAGAATATTGTTCGGCGCTTCTGGTGAGCTTACATCAGATAACGTCCTATCCCCGAATGCATAGCTGTAATGGTATCTGAGGTCGACCTGCCAGTAAGGCTTTTGATTCGGGATCTGAGTACCGACATCACAGCCGCACTGCTGACAGCAGCCTTGCTCGATCTTTAGAACCGGGCTTTCCTCCATGATTTGGGGACACCAGATAGGTGGTAGCTCTGGCGTTGGTGGAGTAGGACTCGTAGGACTCGGCGGTCTAGTCGGCGTGCCAACAACATCAGTGACTTGTCCGTCTGGAGTCCAGACACGGACAGACGGAGGCTCTGGAGTTGGGGGAATAGGCCTTGTAGGCGGGGGTGGTCTACTCATCGTTAGCACATGCTATTCCTCCGTCCACCTGCTGTATTTCACGGATATCCTTTGACTAGAGACCAGAGTGCTGTTACCCACCTCCCTATTCTGAGACGTTCAACCAACATTGCATGTGAACATGCAGCCCCAGACACGAGGATAAGGTTCGTTGATCACCCTTGTTGCGCGACTTCTAGCCCCTCAGATACCGAGCACGCCTCGGACTAGGTTCCGTCTCCAATATATTTCAATCCGAGGCTCGGGTATCGAGATTCATGCAGTTCATCGCTGTGTGTTGTAGGTACGTAACATAATTTCGCCACTCGCCTTTGATATTTGGGGCGCGGACACAAATTAGGAAACGGATCGGGCGAACATTCCACATTCCGCATCTCACAAACGACAGGAACATGCGGGACCGCATTGACGCCGGGACGGAATCAAATTTGCTGATTAGAGGCGCTCTCGCTTAGTTCAAGAAGTCGAGACACAAGCATCACGGTTGTTTATCTTTGTTGGAAACAAACCTGACCCTAGTAGGGACGAATTGACCGGGCGTCAGTTTAGTGGCACGCCCAGATAAACCATTATTATAGCTTGGACCTCGTTCGAACTCGTTCGAAGTTTAGGCCCTTCCTTCCCTTCTCCCCGCCACAATGATTCTTTCTTTATCCCCGAAAAGTCGTCAGCCTACCCTCCACCGCGACCAAGTTCCCAGCAAGAATCCTCGCTCTGACATTGTTCAGTGTAGCGTTGGGTGTTGTGACTTCGAAGCTGAGGAGTACGACCTATCTGCTTGGTTCGAACATAGGACGACCTGCAAAAAGGTCAGGTGCCTCTACGTGAGTACTTCGCTTCGTTATCCATTCTCGCTTTTGGAACTAACGGCGGCATGATGGTTTCGTAGGACTTGGGACAGTCACGTCCGTCTACACCGAGGCAAGAATCTCCGAGTCCTCCATCGTCCCCAAAGCCATTCTCGTCTACGTAAGTAATACGTGCCGTTTCTTACCCGGTTTGTACTTACCCCTCCTTTGTTTCAGCATCCGCAAAGTGGCTTCCGGCGTCTTCAGGTCACGTAGGTCGACACTGAACAGCAGCTACGAAGACGATGATGACTCCCGCATGGATTTTTGGTGCATGGGCGAGGACCTCTAGCATGCCACTATCCGCTCGCTACACTTACTGCCGTCGCTTGCTCTATAGCGCCACCCTCGTTATCATTTGACACCCGCATTGTTTTGCTTTATCCCTCTAAATACCACGCTCGCTATCATCAAACCATGTCTTCTTACTCGTCATCTCTCTCTTTCTCTCAGAGCATATCTTTCTACTATCCTTTCACCACCGTCGCTCCTGTACAAGTACAGCTCGCATTCTCGTCACTCATTCACAGTTCTCCCTTTTCAATCCTTCTTGTACTTCAATCCATCGCCACGCACTCAGCGTTCATTCCCATTCTCATAGTCACTCTGAGAATGTTGTTTTAACCTACAGTCTTTTTTATTGGCACCCGTTCTTCATTATCGACATTGCTGTCTTTATATGTCACTGATCAATCAACGTTATGGTCATAAAATCAACGACTTGCGCGAATATATACCACGGCGTCAGCCTCGATCTAGGAAGCAACCTATGAGCTTTCTACTAAGCGTTCAGAACGTCTACGTAGCTTGGGGCATTACAAATTGCAAAGAACGCTCGGCCAGATTATCCAACGCGCCCACAGGACATAAGGAGAAGTCCGCTTCTCATAGGCGGCGCACGTATGTCTTACGGGCTGGATATTTCCCAAGATTATTAACTAAATATCAGTCTGAATCATATCGTCAACTACAAGAAAGGTAAAGCGCAGCAACGACGTACTGACCTGGTCATTAGCCAACAATCAAACTTTGAAATATCACCAAAGGCTAACACTTGGCCCGCATCTGCATTAACAGCGGAAGTCGTGACACACACCTCTCGGTAGTTGATAGAATAAGTATTCAGCGGCGATCAAGGTAGAGTTCTTAACTACGACTCAGTCGAGATACCTAGCATGAGTAATAGCTAATCCAGGGAAACGCATCTGTATCGAGCATCGAGAGACTGCGTGCAAGAGCTTGCAAAATGACTGGTAGGTAGAAGGAGTCCTGAAGCATGCGAGATCAAGGGTGATTTCATGCTTGTCGAACAAGGCCCACGAAAAGTAACACATCTTACACCAAACAAGAGCGCAAATCAGCTATGAAAAGCAAGCTAAGTTTTAGAGTAATTCTCGAAGATGGTAGAGCCTGATCCTCTGGGCATCAATCTAATTTATTGAAGGGACCAGCGCGACTACCAGAAGGAACAGAAGTATATATTTTCTACTCAGCACATGAACGCAAAAAAAAACCGTTACATGCAGCCCGCGTCAATGATGGTAGAGGAAGTATAAGTGCACAGGTCGTATTATTTGTATCTCTGTCAGACCGTTTATTGAGCCAAGGAGATGTTAAGAAAGAAATGGAAGAGAACTATCCGCTCACACGAACCAACGTGAAATTGATTTTCAAATTAGAGCAACGTATATCGACGCAAAATCGACGATATTCTCGGACGGAGATTACGACTTTCTTCGTGAGCTACTAGAGACTTTCCAGTGGTTCGTCTGAGATGCCCCAAGGCGGTGCGACTTTGAGTGAAGCTATGTGGTCGGATATTGGACTAAACCTCAACAGCCGGTGCAAGAGTACCTGAACGAGAACCTGCTTGCGTGCAGAAAATCCCCAATTATTCCTCTTGAATTTATAAAACATATCATTCGAACGTACCACTATTCATGGATCGCCACGGATATGCGGAATGCATGCACCAGACATCCATGAAGCACTCTTCGACAGGTATTCGAACAGTTAATGTTGCGGATGCTGGAGCATATCAAGAGAAACGTATAAGTTAGTCAAGTTTCAGTTGCAGAGTAAATTTCCTCACCTCATAATTCTTGAAAGCTATAATGTCCAGTGCCATGGAAGAATATAGATGGCAGAGACCGTATAAGCGGACGCTTCATGAGAGTATGAAGGGGACCTTCGTCAACGCAGGGGAAGGGTAGCGTGACAGTGGGGTCTTGTTCGATACACGAATAATTTCTAAAAGGTATAAGAAGTTGGTCGACCTGGCGACTCAGGAAATACAGAGCAACGAACTTCACGTCGCTACAGTGAAGCCTCCTCGATGATATGGACGGTGTACTCGGGCTTGAGTCCGTAGGTAGATCATAGCTAGTGGTATGTGAAAGCGTGGACGAAGAGTCGTCAGCCTGAGTCCAAAACATGCAAGGCAAAACGTATTCATGACCAGCTGATTTCTGTATCCGAGTCCCAGTGAGCAGGTATCGCCCGATCTCTGGCGGTGCTTGTGCTGTAAGTGAACTGCAGGTAACCCACATTTCTAGTACACTCCTGGCAAGGCCGCGCAAGTGCTGGTGTTCAAGTTGCATAGGCGATGCTTCATGCTTGATTGGAATAGATGTTGAAGCAGGAGGATGTAACAGAGAATGAACGAATAGAAACTAGAACAGTCAGGAGGGAATTCAAGAGGGTGAAGGGACAAGAGATCGGGAACGACGACGCGAGCAGCTATCGACAAGAGCGTCAGAGTGGAGCGAGACAAGTTGCTGAGGCCGTAAAGGGAAGGAAGGAGTTGACCTAACTCGAATACCGGAGAACGGAGAACGTATCTCGACGCCCCTTCCGCCTCCCTTTGCTTGTGAAGAAATCGATTTAAGGATGATCAGAACGCGTGTACATTGATGCTGAAGGTACTTCTATGCTACATGATTCAAGAGTCCACTAGAGCAGCGTCACTATCGCCGCTCATGAGATAGTAACGCTACAACGTATAGTCAAGGACAACAGTCTTGCTTCAAACAAACCCACCGGCCCCAGCAGCGCTCGCGTCAGCGTCAGCCCCACTTACAGCTCTCTCCTCGTTCACTGTCCTCGCATCGCGCTTCCGCATGGCGAACACCTCCGGCCCACCAACGCCCGCGAACACCTGGTCGCCTTCCACGTCTTCACCTCCAGGCGACTCATCAACGTCCACGACACCTCTAGGAACCACCTCTCTCCCCGCCGACGACACCCGGGTATCCGTCCTCGTCAGCGTCCGCGCAGCCTTAACCGGATCCCCACCAAACCCGAACCCATCCTCCTCCCACGACTCCAGAGTCGCGAGGTCATCCTCGAGCTCAGGATCCAAGTCGACGGCGTTGAACGTATCGACGTCCTCGCGCCGCGCGGCTTGCCATGACCCAAGCCCTGGGTTGCGCCCATGCCCAGAGCCCGAGCCCGGATGGCCATGGCCGGAGGAACGCTGATTGGAGGCCGATGGTGGCCCGGCCGTGGTGCCAGAGAGGGGGAGGTCGGGCGAGTTATATAAGGAGGTTGAGAAGTGCCAGGCGGTGTCGTCTTGTGAGATCATAACGCGCTGGCGCTCTGTCCGTTCGCGGAGGTCGAGGAGAAGGCGGGCGGAGATGAGGCCGGATACGCTAGTGGGCTAAATGTCGGAGTTTGATTTGAAACGAATAGATAGAGACATACGGGAGAGTGAGCGCGTTGAGTAGGCGTCCGAAGAAGTCGTTTGGCTGTGTAAGTATGGTAAATCGACAAATTATCATACACAGGCAATGTTCACATACGTTCACTTCCTGCATGGTCATCAAACGTAGTCAGTTATCGATGGGGTACGCTTGAAGAGAGAGATATTCACAAAGTTGAGGATCACAGCCGTAAATGTGAACCCAAACACGAGGCCAAAGTAGATCATGCCCTCGCGGAACATGAAGAACATGATGTTGCCCTTGAGGCGGCGCTCGCTGTGTGGATGCATGCGGAGTGCCTTGATGCAGCGCCAAGCGGTGAGCGCTGTTGCGAGGCATTCAAACACAACGACGAAAACGGAGAGGAGGTCGCCAACTGTAGGTGGTATATATTAGTACCGAGGGACGCTGCATGAAGGATACAACGCATCCGTACCTCTGAAGAAGACAACAAAATTAGTATATGACATCGACCGCAGTGGGGGAGAACGTACATTTGATCAGTTTTACTTGGTGCTCCCGCACACTGTTCGCTCGAAGCATGCCACTACGAGCGAATAGATGTGTGTCAGCAATTTTACTTAGGGCAGACACTAAAATATGCGCACCAGGTCTAAAACGACGCAAGCCAGCCCAATCAAGCTCAGCGACGCCCCAATAATATTGTTTCTACCCCAAACGGCCCATGTTCGACCGACAAAGATAGCTACAAGAGACGAAGAAACTTCCTTGAGCAACAGTCTTTATGAGGCGAGGTAGAGTAATACTTACTCAAGACGGAAGCTCTCCCTGCGACGCTCAGGAATCCAATGACCTTGTACCACCCATCACAGTTGTTGATGATGCTTGCTATTGCAAGGAGATAGAGCACATTTGCGAGGAGCGCATAGCGGCAGCATATGTAGAGAATAGTGGAGAAGCGAAACCGGCTGTGCCAGATGTGCTTGAGCTCGAGTGGGAAGGTGAGGATGTAGTCATAGTACAGCAGGGCTACACGACGCCGTCGAGAGGATGTGAGGGTGTAAGGAGCAAACCGATATTGCACGGTAGCGGGTGTTTCAAGTTATGAGTTATCACAAAGCTGAGGCGTAAGCGGTGACGCACCGAGACTGGCCCACTGGATGGCGAATCGCACAAAGCTGTCGCGACATTGCGCTCAGTTGAATGGCCTGCTTAGTTCATAGACCAACGGGAAACGTACTGTGCGTCCGCCATGGTCTACGTTGACATCAATGGGGGAGAGAACGGAGCGAGTGGGTCTTCATCGGCGTGTTTATAAGACTCTGAGCTACGGGCCCCCCTTTGCTCTTCGGTTGATCTGCCAAATGGGTTATTTGACGACGTAACATTGTGGAAACACGTGATGCCGAGATGCGGTGTTGCCTAGCGCGTCTCCCCGAGATGTTTCCCTCGCTATGTTTTCGACATCCTCCGCGTCAGCATCGATTGATGCAAATCCTATCGCTGTGGTTTGCGTTTCATCCTCTCACTCCTAGCTTCCTTTCTCAGCAACCACCAACTACCTGGTCTGGCACCCCGAGGACCCCGACGTAGTCGACCTCACCCAGCCTCGTATAGTCCTGTGGCATTGCGAATAGGAATAGAATACTCATTTCCATACTCTTTACAACCCGTAAAAAGCCCAGTAGCACCTCATAGAACCGAGGGGCAGCCATGACCGGCCTCCCAGAAGAGCCAGAGCTCGCGCAAACGCATGGGCAAACGACAGGACCCAGCCAGGGCGTTAGAGCCCCGCCGAAATCAGGACTACCCAAGCCAGCTACAATGCCGTCGCTGGCCACGAAGATCAACAGTCACGCCGCTGTGCTGACCGTGCCAACCAGCGGAAAGCTCGACACACCGACACTTGAGTCGGCGAAGCAGTATCTAAAATCAGTGCAGTGGATGGACGAAGGCGAGTCTTTTCAACCCGAAGTCATTTCCGCTGCACTAGCAGCATTCGCAGGATCTGCAACTGCCAAGGCTGTCACTCGCACAGCACTTGTCTGCTACGGAGTAGCCTTAGGCAACAACAGCATCAACACGCACTACGCCGCCCTCGTTGGCGCACTCACCACAGCCGTCACCAACGGCGTCGTGGCAGCAGTCTCCCCCCATGTGGCCCAACTCAAGGTAACGGCAGACAAGTTGGACTCATCGACGACCAAGCTCGGCAGCACGACAACCCACCCAGCCCATCCATCCCTCGCCACCCCCGCAGCACCCCACTCCTCCACCACTAGCGCGCCCCCCGTCCCTCACCACCTCCAGGCCGGCCAAGCCCGCTACAGCGCGGCAGTCTCCAAAGGATACCAGGGGTCCCAACCCAAACCCGTGGTTGACCCGAGCGTGGTAGCGGCACGGCAGCAAGCAACGAAGAGGCAAGTCTTCCTGGAGCGCCAGGAGGGCGATGTCGTCTTCCCCCTGTCGCTGCCACACTCAAAACTCGTCGAAACACTCCAACGCGCCGTTCACCTAGCCAAGGACGGGGATGGCGGGCCAGACCTGAAGATCCACACGGTCTCCCGTATGCGCGAGTCGTACATTCTAATCGAGTTCAAGACCGAGGAGGCGGCGGTGTGGCTTCGGACTGGTGATGCAAGGCGCCGACTAGATCAAATCCTCACGGGCTCAGCCAAACAGCGAGTACGCACCTACCCCCTATTCGTTCGATTCATCCCCATCGACTACAAGCTGGACGAGCCCACCACACTGCGAGAATGCGAAGATGACAACGGGCTGCCGGAGGGATCAATAGACTCTGCCCGGTGGGCGAAGAAAGTCTGGAAACGACAGGAAGGCCAAGGCGTAGCCTGCGCCATCTTCGAGTGCCTCACAACAGAGGCCGCCGACACCCTCATCCGCGACGGAATGGTAGTCATGCACCGCAAGCTCCGCCCCAGGAAGGACCGCAAAGAGCCAATCAAGTGCGCAAAATGCCAGCGATGGGGCCATGTCGCCGCACGATGCAAAGCAGAAGGGGACACCTGCGCCCACTGCGGCGAGGGGCACCGAACGGACAAGTGTAGCCGGGGGACAACTGTACGCTGCGTGTCCTGCGATAGCGATACGCACTCGAGCTCGGACCGATCGTGTCCCGAGTTCTTGATACGGTGCGCGCAGATGGACGCACGCAACCCGGAGGGTGTGCTCCCATACTATGGGGTGCAGGAGGTGGTGACTCCGTTCGCCACTGCCCCACCACCGATTATCGGTCACCCGGCAGCTCCAAGTGAGAATGCCGGAGGACACGAGACGCCCATAGAACACGAGACCACCCTGGACGCCTCCCCTACTCAAGTCACCCTTGACGACATGCCCCCCCCCGTGAAGGGGTTCCCTCCCGCTCCGGCCACCCCACGCCCAGTAACCGAGAAGCGTAAAGAAACACCCATCCCGCCTCCTCCGGGAGCGCCCACGCCACGCACGCGCGCCCGAAGCGCATCCACGGGCACACCAGCACGACCCTCCACGCCCATGCGAGACATGCTTCAACCCCCACTCCCATTCCCCCGCGCTCCTAAGGCATCACGCACAATAGGCCAATCAGCTGCCGCTGCCTCGCGGAGCCGCCAATCCCCACCCACCGGACCCTCCCTATGAACGAGACACCCCTTCAATCTACGATGAGAATTTTACAGATCAACATGCGGAAATCGCATGACGCCCATATTGACTTATTTCACGCAGACTTACGAAAGGACTATGACATTATAGTAATTCAGGAACCGTGCCTAAACAAGTTAGGCCTGACCAAGGTCAATAGCCACTGGAGTGTGGTGTACCCGACAGAGACACCTAGCTCGTCGGCTCGGGTAAGGGCAGTCACACTAATTAGCACCAAGATACGATCCGGCTCGTGGTGGTCAAGCCCATTTCCGTCATCGGACGTGGTGCTGACGACCTTCGAGACGTCGAATGGCCGCGTATCCGTATTTAATATATACAACCCGGGAGACTCACGCCGAGTTCTCCAAACGTTAGATGACTGGTACAGAAATGCACAAGACACGCTGGAGGACGGCAATGACGCTGCTGCGCAGCTAGCCCGACACGTGCTCTGGATGGGAGACTTTAACCGACATCATCCCATGTGGGATGATGATGCAAATGCGCATCTATTCACGACAGAGGCGATCATGGAGGCAGAGGTGCTGGTACAAATGGTCGCCGAGCACGGTATGGATATGCCGCTGGCCAAAGGTATAGCGACCCTCGAGGTGTCACGCTCGAAAATCTGGACGCGACCAGACAATGTATTCTGCTCGGAGAACACCATGAACTGCATAATCGAGTGTAACGTCTCCCATGAAACCCGTCCGTTGAAAGCTGATCACGTCCCTATTCGCACAGTAGTAGACCTCTCCCTCAAGGAGACGATGGAAGAACCGCGTCGGAACTTCAGAGGAGTCGACTGGAAGAAATTCAAAGCGGCTTTAATAGCCGAACTCGGTGCACTCCCCCCATCACCTACGATAGCTACTGACGAGAATTTCCAACAGCGCACATCAACACTAATCACCGCAATTCAGCGGGTGATAGAAAAACTAGTGCCGTACACGAAGCCAAGCCCATTCATGAAACGCTGGTGGACCAAAGAGCTCTCCGAGCTGAAAAAGCGAAAGAACAAGCTAAGCCGCGCTCACCATGAACTTAACGATATACCGCAGCACCCTGTTCACGACGAGCTCACACAGATATGCAAAACCTACGCTGCCGCAATCGAACGGGCTAAGAAAGACCATTGGAATGACTGGCTGGAAACGGCAGATGCAGACTCACTATGGACAGCGCATCGATACATCGCTATGCCGGCGGGAGATGGTGGCCGCAGCCGCATCCCTAACCTCAAATGCACCGGTGCAGCAGGGCAAACGGTGATGGCACAGACAGACGGAGCCAAGGCGGAGGCGCTGGCATCGACATTTTTCCCCCCACCGCCAAATACGTCGTCAGTCCCAACGGCATATGACTACGACGCACCTATAGGGCTTTTCCGGAAATTCACACGGGAGGATCTGGTGAAGGTAATCTCGGGGCTTCATTTGTACAAAGCCACGGGACCAGACGGTATCCCCAACGTGGTATATGCTCGATGTCAGGACGTGCTCGTGCCACGCCTGCTTCCGATCTTCAACGCCGCGGTGATCATGGGATTCTACTATGATCCATGGCGCTTATTCACTACAGTGGTCTTGAGGAAACCGGGTAAACCTGACTACGCAATACCCAAAGCGTACCGTCCCATCGCACTGGTGGACACCGCAGCCAAAATCCTATCGGCGCTAGTGACGGAGCAGACATTGCGTCTCCTCGAAAGTAACAACCTACTGCCAGAAATGGCCTTCGGCGGACGCCCTGGGCGCTGCACCACGGATGCACTCCACGTGCTCGAAGCCACCATAAAGAATGCGTGGCGATCCCACAAGGTGGTCTCAGCCTTGTTCCTCGACATCGAAGGCGCCTTCCCTAACGCGGTGAGCGATATGTTATTACACGAGATGAAATTGATGCGCATTCCGGCAGAGATTGTACGATTCGCGTCACTGATGCTCACCGGCCGTCGAACGCGCTTGCGCTTCGACGACTACACCTCGGAAGATATAAAGATATTGAATGGAATCGTACAAGGGGACCCATTTTCCATGCTTTTATATGTTATATATTGCTCACGACTAGTTACGACAGCAGATCCGGCAAGTCGGAAGGAGCTCACTGTAGCGTACGTGGACGATACCACCCTCATTGCCATCGGAAAGACTTTCCACGAAACACACACCACGCTCGAAGACATGGTTCACCGGCCCGGTGGTGCGCTTGACTGGGCAAGACAACATAACTCCAAGTTTGAGATATCAAAATTTGGGCTCGTGGATTTCAGCATGAACCGGGGCAAGGACCGCCCAGCAATGAAGATAGCAGGTCACATCATCAGCCCGAAGCACCATCACAAACTACTGGGAGTCATCCTCGACCAGGAGCTGCGGTGGAAGGAACAGGTAGCGTCAGCGATAGGGAAAGGAGCGGCATACGCGCAGCAACTATGGCGCCTCTCGAGGACCTCAGCCGGGCTCTCACTCAAAGCCATGCGGCAGCTACATCGGTCGGTAGTCACAACGAAGATACTCTACGCCGCTAGTGTTTGGCTACCGCCACCGATCGTAGGGGACTCAGAAACAGCAGGGCGTGGTTCCATCACCACCCTCAAGAAAATCCGATCAGTACAGCGGCTCCCTCTCCTATCAATGACAGGAGCGCTACGCACCTCGCCTATAGACCTACTCGAGGTCCTCACGGACGTCGCACCTGCGGTACTGACAGCCCAACGCGTGTGCCACACGACAGCCATTCGAATGGCCGCACTGCCGGCCACTAACCCGGTGACCAAGCTCTTCGCGCGAGCGGCGCGCATGTACGTCAAACACCACAGGTCGGCCCTGCATTACCTAGTCCATCGGTGCGGAGTCCACCCCGGGGAGGTAGAGAGCCTCCACTACCCGCCACCCTTTGTGTCCCCAACACCGCTCGTCACGGACATTGCCGGCTCCAAGAAGGAGGCTGTCGAAAAACACAACAACCGCGGTCCTGGAACCGTAGTATACTCGGACGGCTCTAGTCATAACGGCAGAGTAGGGGCAGCAGCCATCCTGATACGCGACGATGGATCGAGCCGTTCGCTGCGGCACCACCTCGGAACCGAGCGGACCCACACCGTATTCGAAGCGGAGCTAGTGGGGGTGATACTGGCCCTCCACCTCCTGAGCGTCGAGGAGGGGATCAGGGGAGATGCGACGATCTACGCTGACAACCAGGCGGCCATCCGGGCGTCTCAACGCCCATCCACGAAAAAGCCGGGCCACTACCTGGTTGGCCCTGCCCATGCGATAGCGAAGAGGTTGAGGAGCCGACGAGTGGAGGAGCGGGTGAAGGTGACGCTGGCTTGGATAGCGGGGCATGAGGGGGTGGAAGGGAACGAGTGGGCGGATGAGGAAGCAAAGGAAGCGGCCAGAGGAGAGGCCGAGGCGAGCCCAAAGGAAGACTTACCAGCAGCACTACGAAAACGGCTGCCGGACAGCATCTCTGCGCGGAAGCAAGCGCACGCAGCGAACATGAAGGCGAGGTGGGGAAGGATGTGGGCAAACTCGCCGCGAGCGCACCGAGTGGCAAAACTGAATCTTAAGGCGGGTGCCCGATCATTTCTGAAACTCACAGCTGATCTACCGAAGCGACAGATCAGCACTCTGGTGCTCCTAACAACGCGGCACTTACCGCTGAACGCATATCTATACCGGTTCAAAAGGGCGGAGGAGCCCTTCTGCGACCACTGCGACGATGCCGCCGAAGAGACAATACATCACTACCTGTTTGACTGCCCAGCATGGGGCCGAGCACGACACGCCCTCATTAGGGCCCTCGGACGCGACGCGGAGTCGCTGTCATTCCTTTTGACAAACACGAAAGCGACACAGCCGCTAATGCGCTACGTCAACGCGACGGGGAGGTTCAAGGCGATCTTCGGCGACTTGTGCAGAAAAACATACTCGAGCTATTAAACATGTTATACTGGGGGCTTGTGGCAGATGGGACCAAGGAGGAGGAACGGAGAGCGGAAAGTGGCTAGAAAACGAAGACGTGGAAGAAGGCGTACGGATGCGGCGGTGCCCCATGGCCCTCGCCCTTAGTGCATACACCCCGAGGGGTGGCATGTACGGGCCCAGATCACATAACACTCACGGACACTCATACGATTACATAGATTACGGTCCCATGGACCCGGCACAGTAGCGTCCGTCATGAGGCTACCGCCCCCTTGGACGATAATTGAGACAATAATAATAATAATAATCCTCTCACTCCTAGTTTCTATATTGTAGCTTCCCTCGTTCACCTCAGCCTGGACAGGGCATTGTGCCGTTCAAAACGGTTGGGTTGCTCCAAGTTGATATCTTTCCCCACGATCTGCCGCCCGCCGAGGTTTAGGAGACAACCAGCGTAGGTAAGCGAGATCGACACTGCGGGGCTGGAGCTTGCCATTAACGAGACAGCTCGAACCTTTCAGAGCAGGCAAACGACGAATGTGCGCGTCTCGGCGTGATAGGCTCATTGAGGTGAATCGGAGATAAGCTTCGCAATCGGACCTGACCACGTCGTCATACAGCTAACTTCTCACAGTCGAAGTTCGATGATAACACGCGTTCGACCGGAGAGGAGGACTGCAAGGTGCTATAACATTGTCGGAGAGGATCATGCATCATATTGATTAAACACAAGGGGTGAGCGAGCTCCGCACCCGCATCTTCTCATGCTTTCAAGCCTACTCGCACGTCCTGATCGGCATGAACTTATCTCATACTCCAAGACAGAATCGCTCGTCGTCCCTGTGACGAACAAACTTTTTCTGGAAGCCGTTACAATAGCTGGTAGAATTCTGTGTGTTCTTCGCGTTATGTTATAACTGGCTTACATGCGATGATAATTGAACACAGGCTTCGAAGAAACTCGCAGTCGCCTCGACCTCCAGAATCAAACTGGAGTGACCTCTCGGCGTGTTTCCTCTGATATCTAATTAGGAGGACAAGGCTACTCAGGTCCGAGGCACAGCATTGGTAGCAGCGGTCTCGAGTGTACGTGCGCAATTTATAAACATATGAAAAACCATAGGGGCTAGGCATCAGTCCAAAGCTGACATGGCGAATTGATTCTTCAAGTTTCCCTGAATCATCTTTGTAAAGCGTCCGTGAAAATCAAAATAAGATGTGGGTCAAGGCACGCCAACACTGGCAGGCCGCACAAAGGTTCATCTGCGTTTGGCTCCCGCCGTGAAGCTGACTCGGATGCTTGGCTGACGCGTTTCAAGATCGACACTCTACTCACTGTGCTCGAGCCATAGAGCTAGAAGGATACATCGCAGAATTTTTTTCAGCCCTATTGGCGGGTACAGCCTTATCATCAGCGAGCCATAATGGCAGTATGTACATCCTTGTTCACCATCTCCACTGGCAGACATCAGGCCTCAGGGCCCACGGGTCGGACATCATACGTGCGTCCGACGTCCGGCCTCCCTTCGCCTGGCGGTGTTTATGAGGGAGCAAGCGCCTGAAACGACACTTGATAGTCGACACGTTCACCTGCGGTAATGAGATGGGTTAGCTCATCTCTTTCCAGGCTGGTGACAGTGGGTTACCCCTTCCTTACATGCTATCCATTTTGACGAGTAACGCAGTAGGGATACAGGGATCACTGAAGGTGGGCATGTGGTTCCTTTTTCTGACAGTCCGGCGAATGGAGCTATGACTGAAAGTCTTTGAAGATATGAAGTGTACGGAGCGGAACACCTTGAGGATGATGTATGCCGCGTGGTTCCGAGCCTAATGAGTCTTCTAATCATGGCCTTAGACCTCTTATCTTTGATTCACATTCAGAGTCGTAAACCACAGCGATCCCGACAGCATTGCTCTCCTAAGGTTGTCATATCTCGTTTTTGGCTCGTCGATTTCCGTACAGAGCCCCGTGACAAGGTCAGGGTCCTATAAGGACGAACTGGCTCTCTAAAGCTATCACAGTCGGTGTTCCGATTCAGTTGTACCTCCCCAGACGGTCATCACGTCCGTTTCTCCTGTGTGATGAGACATTTGTGACGCCCGATCGCTGGCGACGAACAGCTTTTTGCTTGCAGTGAGCCTTGCACATGTTTTTTTTTCTTTTTCTTTTGGTTTACAAAGGTGTAAATTGGAAAAGAAATACAACTATTATCACTAGCACTGCATTAGTTCATCTCGGAACCGCCTACTACTCTGTCAGAATCTTAAGGAGTCAACCCTTAGTAACCTACCATTAGCAAGTTTCGCCCTGTCTTTAGGAAGTGAACGGAAAATCTCCGAAAGTACACCTAAGGTGGCATCGTGTATATACTGCACATCATATTGATGGTATAACCCTAGCACAGCTCTTCGTTATTGTCGTAAGCCCGGCCATGAATGTCCTTTACACCACAACCTCAAAACCAGCCTACACATCCCCTTCAGCAGCAACAGTCTCCGCAATCATCGCCTTCTTATCCACCTCCAGCCGTTCCCTCACCTTCCGCACCTCCTTCTCCCAGTCCGAACGCAGGCAGAGCCACAGGCTCACAGCCGCGCCGTACACCAGCGCGACGGTGATGCCGATCCAGAGGCCCTGCAGGCCCATGTCGCGCTTCAGAGTAAGGAAGACGCCAAAGGGGATGCCAACGACGTAGTACGCCGAGAGGTTGAGCACCGCGCCCGTGAACTGCATCCCGCGTGCACGCAGGATGCCGGCGGTCACGCCACATATACCGTCGAACACCTGGAAGAGGGCGACGAGCGGGAGGACGGAGGCAACGAGGTGGACGACCTCTGTCGATCGTAAAATATTAAACGCTTGTAGTTATTTAGGTGCAAGCGAGTGCACACGCACCAGTGTCGCTATTGAATAGGTACGCCCACTTGTTGCGGAAGACGATGAAGGTTGTACTGGTGGATCTTAGTTCTAGGACTAAATGTATTATTCGCTGTATAACGCACCTGAAGATCGCCGAAATCGCTATAGCGAACACGATCGACGCGTTGGCCGAGATGCCCGCCCGTCTACCTCTAGCTTCTCCTAGGAGATTGCCAACCCTAGCAGAAATTGTATCAGACGGGAAACATATCACAGCACTTATCGTGTGGAGGTAGCTTACCGCACAGAAGTGGCTACGCTCAATGCGAACGGAGCCTGGAACGTCGTTGACGCGGATGACAAGAGCACGGATTGAGCAGCGAGCGCAGTCGGTCCCAGCCTGCAACCAACTATCTCAGCAAATCACTACAACCCAGTCATTGATCAACGTACATGCTAGCAACCACTAAAATAACCAGTCAGCCCTCTCAATCCCGCAGCACCAAAAGAGAGAAAGCACTCACGTCCGCTAAGCTCCCAGCTCCACCACTCGCTCGCGACCTGGCCGACGCCCGCGAAACCGAGCTTGACCACGATGCCCAGATTGCTGAGGCACCGCCGCGAGATGGGGTGCCACGCGCGCTTGTCGACGAACCAGACGCCGTACACGATGGATGCGATCGAGATGAGGTTGTACGAGATCGAGGTGGCAATCGGGGCGCCGATGAAGCCGAGGCGGATGGGCTCGGGGCCCCAGACTGGTAGAATAGTTCACGGGTGATCAGGGCACGAGACAGGGGAGAGAAGTTAAGGGCTCACCGAGAAGGTAGTTGAGGAGGATGTTGATAGGAGCAACGGCGATGATGATTCGCGTCGGGACAGCAAAGAGACCTGGGGCGGGTCATGATAAGTTAGGCAGGGCTATGGGTCGAAAATGTATGACTGACCCTGCGCTTGGAAATACCGTCTATTCATTATTCAGTCTAGCTTAATTTTCAGCCAACAGATGTAGAAAGGTAGCGAACCTGGATATGCAGTTAAATGTGTACGCCGGCAGGCCCAGTGACTCCCACTTGAGATACACCGATGCAAGATGTGCGACCTCCGGATCCTGCCTGAGAAGGAGAAGGATCGGTTCCGAGTTGAACCATATCGCGAGAATCGGCTGAGGGGAGAAGGATTATGTCCGACGAATAAGTAAACGGACGACGGCAGTTGAATATGGAGAAGAACTTGAACGTACAAACATTGTTGCTGCTCCTACAACAACTGTCGAGAATCATTAGTGGGTAAATGGCGTCATACAGGAGAAACTAGCGAGCTCACTCATGCGCTGAGTCCACAAACCTACAAGCTGTGGGTGTTCCGAAGTCCACGCGCCAGGCAGGAGTGTGTCGAGTGTACTCGCGAGTCCTTGGACAATACTGAAGCCCGTGACGTTGACGGTCATGAAGCCGAGGGTGCTAGCTGCAAGTGCGATGGTCGACAGGTGACCAATAGAGACGACGGAAGCGAGGATGAGACTGTGCTCGAGCAAGTGTGTCCTAAGAGGGTAATCTCATGAGCCTTTACCGGTGGGATGACGAGAGCGAGAAGTTGAAGGAAGCGAGTACTCACCCGTACACAGGCAAAGTGTACTTGACAAGCGTCTTCAGCTCCTCAAGCAACATCGTCGTGCTCCCCTGTCGGTCCTCCTCTAGCCACTCCTCGCCTCCACTGCCATAGGCCCCGCTTCCTTCCGATGCTCTTGACCTCCCGAGTAGCGGCGATGATTCGCCAGGAGCGCCATCCTGCCAATTTTCAGACGACGCGGAAAGTGCTTCGCCAACGTCAGAGCCTGAGATGATGCTCTGAGGGCTCATAGAATGCGAGCCCGCCCTATGCGGGACGAAGGAGTAGTCTCTGGGAAGGGGAGGCGAGTCGTTCGCACCAGGTGAACTTGGGTTGACGGACATGACTCGAAGGTGTGTGGGTGACAGAAAACTTGAAACTTAAAGGATAATGGATGAGCGGGATTTGTGTCCTGCGAGCACAACCCAAGGATACGAGGTGGTGATGGTAAGAGCAGAGGAGATGCCTGTCCAAGGTGCTGTTGTGTGAAAAACGCGTCGGTTTAGTGTCTTCTAGCGGACACAGAGATCGGAGATGACGGGAAACCGAATAGAACTGCTAGTTGAGCTGATGGTGATAGAAGTAAGAAGGGAGCCTCGGTCCGCAACGAACGCGTTTGATGGATCGCTTCACTGAGTCAGCTGGAGCAGGCTGGAGCAGCCGACGTGTGAGAGCAAAAACCTGTGTTTCACGTTCATAATGGCAAGATAAAGCAAGCGCAGTGGGTACAGAGACGACAAGATGGTGTATGACGCGGATGGCTGTGCACTCCGGCGTAACCGACACGCGTCACTTGTCGTCAGTTTCAGCAAATGGCGAAATCAAGAGCCGCCCGCAGCCATGGGCACCTCACAGGCTCCGAAGTCCGAAGTCCGAACCACCGAGAGGCCCGAGGGCGACGGGCCTTTCGTCTTTGTGACCACAAAAAGGCGAAGATGAAAAGAGCCGTTGAATGGAGTCTTAAAAGTGGAAGGAGCAAATTCAGTCAGCAGTTTGAACATGAGATGCAGAAACTTGCCACCACCCACTATACCATAGCAGGAACAGTATTGGATGGGTTGACACAAAATCTAAACCGCGCGGGTGCACCAGGGGAGCAGTCTCGGATTGGACGTTGCTCCTGAAAGCAACCAAAGGCATCATAACTCACACGTGCATCAAGACCTCATGTTGGATGCTCACACGAATGTACTCATGACATAGGAGAGGTCAAGAGCGCGCGGCAAACACCATATGCAGCTTCCTCGAGCTCGATGCTGCCATCCAAAGTCAATTTCCAGCCTCTTGGCATTCTTTCAGGACCGGTTCATGTAGAGATCAGCGTGGACACACCGACGGCGTGGAATATCACTTAATAGGGCCCACGGATCATTGGGTGAAACGTACGACGCAGCCTAGGGTCTCGTTTACCAGCCTAAGGACCTGATCCAGTGCGACGTGACCTTCTTTCTTAGGTGCCATCGGACGCGACAGACAGGTGCTATTGGCTCATAGTCTGTGCAAGCGCACTGTAGACGAGATACTGGCGGGTCTAGAGCGGCTCAACACTTCGATGTGGACGATAGTGGGGTTCCATGCTGCGTCTTGACAGTGACCTGCATTCACAACGAGCACGAAAGAGAAGACGTGTTGACGTTAAGTTATTGAAGCAATCGGCATTGAATCTATCAAAGATATGGCGCTGCTTCTAAGGACTAACGACCTCTGCCCGGTCTCTGTATTGCTTCGCCCACTGCATACATCCAGTCAACTGGCGACTCACGCGTCAGGAAGCAATGATAACTCACGCTCATGGAGGGAATACGCCTGCTAGGCTCGACGTAGCGCACCTCTCGGTCAGCGCTGACGGTGAAGACGCCGTATGCAACAGCGAAGATGCCGGCGAATGTGACTACGGTGTTGGCGCGCCAGTTGGCGGGGCGGGTCCACCAGCCACCTAAAGATCGCGAGACAAATGTCAGCCTTTTGATCCATTGTGTAATATTGATAAAGTGAGAATGAGGGAGAGCTGGACGTCCGTCATATAAGGAGAGGGGGTGGGGGTGGGGCGTGAACGAAGGAAGGCGATTGTACCTGCGGGGGTCCAGACGTGTTTGGGAAATGGGAAGCGTCCTCCACCGCCCTGTGACGCGCCAGAGATTCAGTCACGCTGTCAGTGAATACAACTTGGAGACTTACCATGATTGTGAGTAGAGTATTGAGGATGGGTTGGTCAATGCCCTAGAACGCCCGCACGTTCAACGGATGGAAAGCGGCAGTTGCCGAACAACGCTTCAGCTGGGTTAGGGTCAGAGTTCTCGGAGCTCGGCGCGGTCCTCCGCGCGTCGTGGAGACTCGTCCACGCGTTGGGCACACGTCGGTGGCCTTTTCTTTGAGCCCTGCGGTATAAAGACAAGCACATTTTCTCTCTCGTCCGCACTTAGTAGCTCCTCCACGAGCTTTCATAGCTCTATTTTCTCTCTGCTCGAAACTCCAAGTTGATGGTGGCTCCCGCGCATATAGCGAAACGCGCACTGCACAAGTCCACGACCTCGGGAGAAAGCTTGCACTCTTCAAGTAACTCGACCACCCAAAGGGGAACATCGACGGAACCGAGCGCTCCCAGTCAGCCTGCGCCGGAGACGTCCGCGCCGCGTTCTTCCATTTCCCACACGCTCGAGGAAGGCGAGATCAACGAGGACCTGAACCGTATGCAAGTCGATCCCGCTCCCGCTCCCGCCCCTGCTCCTGCTGCAACTTTTACGCCTTTGGTGAAGACCGAACCGAAGGAGCCATCTCTGTCTTTCTCTCCAAGCTTAGCAAAGGCGAAGACGAAGCTGAAGCCGAGTGTTGCTATGAACTTGAACATGGATTCCTCTAGGAGACTTTCGATGCAGCCGCTTGCAGACGTGCTCAATGCGAAGGTCAACGTGAAGCCAGACCCGGACGCTGCACCTGACGCACCGAACCTGTTGGCACCTGCTACTGTTGCGCCAGAATCCACCAGTACCTCCGACCCTCGTAAGTGTTTAAACTATATGCGCCTCCCATTTTCCTCTTCCGCTCCGCTTTTGTGGATGTATGCGCGGCTATAACGTGCTGCGGACACAATCTAGGCTGTATGCTTACCTATACTCGTCTTAACAGTGTCTCCTGCTGAACTCGAACACGCGAAGGACCTCGTGCTCGACCTTCTAGGATGGGGCGTCTCGCCCGAGTACCTGCTCCAGGCGGGCCTCTCCTCGGAAACGATGTACCGCATTTTTACGGACCTCCGTCTGCGCCTGCCTGACAACTTCCCCCTGCCTCCGCCGCCTGGCTTGCCTCAGCCTGCTCGTACAGAGGGAGGTGTCGTCATCAAGCAAGAATGTCCGGACGCTTTGCCTGAACCTACTCGCAGACAGGAAGACGCTATTGTTAAGCAAGAGCATCCGGATGCTTAGCTCCTTGGGTCACTGGCGCTTTTTCACTGTATTCATCATCGCTCATCATCATGCTCTGTTGTTCTTCTACTCCGCACTGCTCTCGCTCTCGACTTCTTCTCATTGTTGCTGTTTCCTTCCCCGTCGCATGTTCATCGCTCGCAACAACTTCTCGTCGTCTTCCCGTTCGAATCAATCATCATCGCGCCTTTCGCATTTTCTGTCTCAAGCTCGCTTTAATAACGCATTTCCTCACGGCATCACTCATCTTTCTATCGCAATTTTCCGCAAAGCTCGACTCTCGCATACAATCGTCATACATGGACCCAATTGCCTGCATATCAACTCGCGTATCTTCCGGACCGCGATAGCTCTGTTGTCGTTCCCATGCCCCAGGCACCCAAGGTACCTGACACATCCTGTCATCCATCTCGAAATCAGGACGCGCAGGGCCCCTCGGTGAAATTCGAATTAGCACGGCAAAGCCACCCCTCACCCGACTCTATGCTATGCGTTTCGCTCGACTTCCTAGATGACCAACACCTCGTGTTCCTTTCTCACAATGCTTCACGAGACTTTCTAGCACACGACGCATCGCTTACAACTTGCCACTGCCGTTTCTCCGTCAAATCAACCCTTATCTGTGCTCGTTCGAGGTCCGCATCGGCAGCACCCCCGGTATTCTGATGATGATGATTTCTACCAACACTAGCACCCTCGTTCGCGTTCGAAGCAACCTCAGGTTCTTCATCTTCTGATAGATACATTCAAGAGAGCGCCAGCTACTACCACGAGACTTGGGGCAACTGATGGCCGCTGGCTTCTATCCCGTTGTTTTTCCTCGCCAAGCAGAATCGTTTCTCCGCGCTGAATAGCACAACTGAAGGTCGGCGATATGCGTCTTCTTCCTGGCGCGTAGGTGATATCTCTGGCATGCATACTCATACACATATCCTACGGTAATGATACACAAAGCTCGTAATCCAGTGTGGTATTCTCTTCTTTTTTCGGCAAAGGATGCATATGTGCGTGCCGCTACGCTTCCTCGCGTTCAGAACTCGGTCGCGCTCAGCCCTGCGCGACGAGCTTCGTAAGATCCACGAGCGACCCGTTGCTTGTCAAGCCAGCCTGGATGAGCGCAACGTCCTTGAGCGCCTCCCGCGGCTCGCCCTTCCCGTTATCGCTCCCGTTCGGCCTAATCCTTTCAAAGAACCCCTCGAGCTCCACCGTGACACCGCTCTCCTCCCCGTCAATGATCTCCTCCACCTCCTCGCCCTTGCCCTCGGACGCCTCGTCCTGCACGCTCTTAATCGTGACGCGGAACACGCTCTTCCCGCCCGCTTGCTCGCGCGGCGGGCGCGTGAGGGTGAGGAAGCCCTTGGAGCCGGTGATGACGGCCATGGGCCCGTTGGTGGCCGAGCGCGACGGGACGGGCGAGGCGAAGGAGAGGTCGAGCAGGCCGTGCGCGCCGTCGGCGGTGCGCAGGACGGCGTTGATGGTGTCATGCGGAGCGAGCCACTCGCGGTTGAGCGAGGCGAAGCCGGTGAGGTGGGTCAGTGGGGAGGGGAGCATGACGCGCAGCGAGGCGGCGTTGTGCTAATGATGTGTCCTCTTTCATCAGGACTTACTCGTTTTTAAGCGGGCTATGGGTGACTTACCACACCGCCATCGAGCTGTGTGCGTTCAAGTCAGTCATCTACGTGAGGCATTTGGTAAGGCAAACTTACCAGGAAACCGCCTTGGTACTGTATTCAAGTTACAAGCGCTCACAAGTCAGCAAAATCGTCATCGGGGATGCGCAAAAAAGGGAGTTGTTGAGATAACGAGGTTACGCCGGAGTCGCTCCGACGCACAAATAGCCCCTGAGCATACTCAAAGGGCCCACTCCTGTCGTTATCGATAACACCACTGACAACACGCACCTCTGGGACAGTCCTCCATGGCGTCTTGTACCACTTGCTGTCTCGATCCATGAAGTTGCACACGCTCGCCTTGAAGAACGTCACTTTGCCGATCTTGCCGTCCCGGATCGCCTGGCCTGCGGCGATGAAGCCTGGCTCGACCTCCCAGTTCTCCGCGACGCGCCAGACGAGGCCCTTGGGCTTGTACGTCGCCTCGTATTCGGCGATCAGCTTGAGGCCGGATGCGACGTCTGCTGCGATGGGCTTTTCGGATATGACGTGTTTGCCCGCTGCGAGGGCGCGCAGGATGATCGACGGCTGCTGCGTGATGGGGAGCACGACGATGACGCTGCCGATGTCGGGGCGCGTGAGGAGCGCATCGAGGGTGCTCGATCCGCCGTCGTAGTACACATCGGGCGTCGAGCCGAGGACGGAGGCTGCTTCAGCGGCTAGTGACGCAGCGCTGGTTTGCGAGCGTGAGTAGACGGCGAGTAGGGGCACGGCGGTGCTGGCGCCGGCTGTCTGGAGCGCCTTGAGTGCGGGGAGATGGGCTGTTCGTCGACATTGGTGACGTTTTTTGCGCGGTGCGGATCAATAACATTGTCAGCCATTCGAGGCGAGACGGGAGGCGAGGGAGTGGTGAATATTCGGAACGTCAATCGGACGATCAATGAATTGTGAGTGGGTGTTGAGTGGGCTGAATGAATATCGTTGGGACTGACCTTCCTTGGCGAAGATGCCCGCTCCAAGGATTGCAGTGCCAGCTGGGGTCGACATGTCGAGTTGTGTGTGTTACTGGACTTGCTTGTGTCGGTGTTTTATGCTGAAGATGACGGACGAAGCGATGGCGAATAAGACGAGGTAAGATGGCACTTCAGGCAATTCAGCCAAGCCTATCTACAGGGAAGGGCCCCGCGCCGGTGTTCCGCACATGATGATGCGGAGAAATGTCGGTTTGCGCACGCCCCCACTTACTGCTGGCCTATCCCATCTGTCCGCACAGGTCCTGAGACCTACTCTAACGCCTCGCCTGGAATAACAGCACCTCGGGCCAATACCCACTCGCACCCGAAAAAGATCTTTTCTCAGTTCTGCACAATCACAGGAAAAGAGGTGTGCACTCTCTATCACCTCCAAACCGGTTTATCCAGGTGTATCTCACTGCGGATAGTTTATCCTTAGACTTCTCTTGCTCGGTCCAGCATCATGGCGGACTATTCTCGGGCACGGTGCCTTTGTGGAAAGCCCGCGTCCCGCTTAGAAGCGCCGTTCTAGGAACGGACACGATAGCCCTACGCCTTCTTCCGTCCTCCCTTAAGAGCAACTGACCTTGCCTCGAATATGCTCCCACCTACATCCCGTGCTCACCTGAGTTCGCCTTTTGAGGGCCACCCATAACCGCATCGCATCTAGTGACCGCCTTCGACGCGTAAACTCTATTGTCTTCCGTCAAGTCTAAACAATAACATGTCCGGAGAGGTGTCGAGGAAGCTGCCCAAGGACTTTATCTGGGGCTTCGCTACCGGTACGTTGCTGCATAGCCCCTGTCTCCATAAGTTCCTTCCCTCGCATATCATTATTCCCCGCATTGCTTTGCCGATATCTTGCTCGATCCCCCTCTATAGCAATCCCAATTTGCCGACAATGTGCTAACAAACATTGCCTCGCCTATCACAGCAAGCTTCCAGATCGAGGGCTCGACCAACATCGACGGCCGCGGCAAGTCCATATGGGACGACTTCAGCAAGCAGCCGGGGAAGACGCTGGACGGGCGCGACGGCGACGTCGCGACGGACTCGTACCGCCTCTGGAAAGAGGACATCGCGCTGCTCTCCCAGTACGGCGTGCGCTCGTACCGCTTCAGCATCGCGTGGAGCCGCATCATTCCCCTCGGCGGGCGGGACGATCCCGTGAACCCGAAGGGCATCGAGTGGTATTCGAATGTGATTGACGAGCTGTTGAAGAATGGGATTACGCCGTTTGTGGTGCGTACTAACCTTCCCGATGTTTGTCTTAACAGAAAGAACTGACTGAAATATATATTAGACGCTGTACCACTGGGACCTCCCGCAAGCTCTGGACGAGCGGTACGGAGGGTGGCTGAACAAGGACGAGATCGTGCAGGACTATGCCCGGTACGCACGCGTCTGCTACGAGGCATTCGGTGACCGTGTCAAGCACTGGTGAGATTTTTGCCATTGTGTGCTCCACCCTCTACATAATTCTAACGATACCGAAAGGTTGACGATGAACGAGCCGTGGTGCATCTCAGTCCTGGGCTACGGCCGGGGTGTGTTTGCGCCCGGTCGGTCGAGCGATCGCACGCGGTCGCCCGAGGGCGACTCTTCCACCGAGCCATGGATGTGCGTGTTTCCCATTCCCATTCACAATGGATTTCCGTGCTAATTACGCTTAATCTGCCATTTCTCTTTCTCTCTCGCACACCTTCAACTGATTAACCGGCTGCTATTGCGGGGTAATGTGGGGTATCCGTGATATGCATGGTCACAAAATATGCACACAGTGTGGGGCACAGTGTCATCTTGGCACATGCGACCGCGGTCAAGGCCTACCGCGAGGAGTTCAAGGCCGCCCAGAAAGGAGAGATTGGTATCACGCTCAACGGAGACTGGGCGATGCCATACGATGACCAACCGCAGAGTGTGTTTTACTCTCTCTTCTCTTTCCTCTCTCACAGCTAAAAATTCTCCACCTCACAGACATCGAAGCTGCGCAACACGCCCTCGACGTGGCGATCGGCTGGTTCGCGGACCCGATCTACCTGGGTCACTACCCTCCGTACATGCGCGAGATGCTCGGGGACCGCATGCCCGACTTCACTGAGAGGGAGTGGGCGGTCGTGAAGGGGAGCAGCGACTTCTACGGGATGAACACGTACACGACAAACCTGTGCCGCGCTAACGGGGACGACGAGTTCCAGGGCAACGTCGAGTACACGTTCACGAGGCCAGACGGGACGCAGCTCGGAACGCAGGGTGAGTGTTGGTGTTTCATTCGAGATCTGGTTTGGGGTGCGGGGTGGTCCGATGATGTGCTTCAACGGGGCCGAGGCGAGGCGACGGGCGAGCGGACGAGCGGGTGCGGGAGGGCGTTACGCCTCTTTGTCGGATGTGGCGGATCATTTCTTTCCGTCTTCGCTGGGCCTGAACCCATTGTGTGGGCTTCCTGCTGCTGCCAGTACGCTGACTGTGCCTTTCTCGTTTGCCTCCGACAGCGCACTGTGCCTGGTTGCAAGACTGTGAGTGTCTTTCTTCCGCCCTTGCTGGGTTCTCGTGACCGCCAAGCGTGCTGACGGGTGCTGCGTGTCTTTCCACCAGATCCCCAAGGTTTCCGCGAGGTAAGCACGCTTTGGCGCTCGCGCGGTGGTCATGCGTTCGCTGACGACTCACGACACGATTAGCTGCTTAACTACCTGTGGAAGGTGCGCTTCAAAGCTGCTCATGGTCTCTCACGCGAGGCTGACGCCGTGGTTGTTTTTCTCAGCGGTACAAGCTCCCGATTTAGTGCGTCTCTGGTTTTCTTCACGCGATACGTGCAAATTTACTGACGACTCGCCTCGTGTGCAATAGCGTGACCGAGAATGGTTTCGCCGTCAAGGACGAGAACACGAAGCCGATTGAGGAGGCGCTCCAGGACGTGGACCGGGTGAACTACTTCAAGGGCACGACTGACGCACTGTACCACGCTGTGCTTGACGATGGGGTGGATGTCAGGGCTTACTTCCCGTGGAGTGCGTTTTCTCCTGTCACTGAAAGACCGTTTGCTCATGGGCTCTGAATATAGGTTTCGTGGACAACTTCGAGTGGGCAGATGGGTACATCACCCGGTTCGGCGTGACGTACGTCGACTACGAGACGCAAAAGCGGTACCCGAAGGAGTCCGCCAAGTTCCTCGTCAAGGTGCGTTTTCCTGCCGCTATCCAGCCTATCTCTTTTCTCCAGCTCACGCCATTTGGTATCAGTGGTTCAAGGAGAATGTTGATGAAGCCCCTGCTGCTAGCCAAACGGCCAATGGCACCTCGCTGTCGCAGAAGCGAAAGTCTACCAACAGCTCGCAGCCGTCGCGGGTGTCAAGCCTGCGTTCTTCGTTCGGCCGGTTCGTTTCCCGATTGTCGAGGTCGGGACGGGCTGTTTCGCCCAGTCGCGCTTGAGTCTCTTCATCCCGTGAAGAGGCATTAAGCGTGCATCCGCTTTACTTGTGACGGTGGTGCGGTAGTGGTTTGTGTCCTGACCCATGAGGACTCGGTGACCATGCGAGCGAGGATGGGCTACGGAGAGACGAGCAGAGTCCCTGAAGCAGGTTGCGCTAGACGATGTCGTTTGATTCGTTGTCTGTTGGCCTCGGTTCTGACAGTGATCACGAACTGGCTGTGTTTAGTAGGGCGCTAGACGTTTATTTATCAAGTTTTGATGTCCTTTTGTACGATAACCTCTTGACTCTTGACCTTACACATCGCATTCGATACCTTCATACCGTTGTACATACAATCCTCGACTTCCTAAAATATAACACAAGATTCATCACTGGCTTTGTGATCGTGGAGGTGGTCTTGATTGGGTGTCGCACGCTGAGACTCCACGCGGATGTCGCGGAGGTGATGAATTGTTGATGTCAGCAACGAAGTAAACAGCTCCCCACGGCCGCTTGACTTGTTACTGATCGCACACTCGCTTGCTCCTTGACCTCCTTATCCCTTTCGTCTGCTTTCCATATTTTTCTGCTCCTACAATCATCCACGCAACAAATCACTCTCATAACTCGACAAACAAAGCACTGGTCACGTCACCGCCGCCACTGCACACGATGGCGACGTTCGCAGTTCAGCAGGCTTATATGCCTACTATGCAACAGCAACAGTCCAATGCGTCTGCCTCAGGTTCTGGCTCAAGCTCGGCTCCAGGATCTGGACCATATGGAGGAGGAGACCAGCAGAGCGATCAGAGAGGACATGGGCAGGACGAGGGTAGCGCAGGCGGAAAGAAGAAGTCGTCAAAGCGCAGAAAGGTCAACCATGCCTGCCTCTACTGCAGGCGCAGCCATATGACGTGCGACGAGGGACGCCCATGCCAGCGCTGGTGAGCCTCCTTTTCTCTGTCTACCTCGACGCCGGTCTGCACTTTTGCTCATGGCTTGGTCCCTCTCTTTGACTATGGCGTTTATGCTCGTCCGACCACGTCGCATACCGTTCATTTGTCGCCCCATCGCTCTCGTCGTTCGCCACGTTTAATCTGTGGACTCCTTCCTGGATATGCGAACGCCAGTATCAAGCGCGAGATCGGCCATCTCTGCCACGACGAGGCGCGCCCGCCAAAAACCGCCTCCAAAGCGGCCGAGGGCAGCGTGCCGCCCGGCGCGGACGGCTCGAGAGTTATCCCCCGTATGTCCTCCTTGTTCCCTTAGCTCTCTCTGTTTTCCTTGCTCTTTGGCTCACCCACGTTCTCTTCGTTCTTCCCTCCTTATCACGGTGGTGCTTGATCGGCCCCGTGTGCGCGGCATATGGTTGAAAACGTGGCATGCGTGGACGGACTGAACTCGGATGGCTGGATGGCTGATGCCTGGGACGATGCGACGATAGAACCAGCGTACGGCGCGAACACGTTCACGCAGGCCCCGTCAGCATGGCCCGGTATGGGCGTTGGCGTCCCGCAGGGCAGCTTCCTCTACCAGCCCGAGACGCTCGGCAACGAGTTTTCCATGCTCTCGTGCGTCATACCGCTCAATTTAATTCAGCGTAACGAGGGTTGACCATCTTACAGAGACTTCCTTGAAACACTCGATGATGGTTCATTCTTCACTCCACCACCGACCGTCACCCCGTCGCTCATGGGCGCCGGCTTCCCGCCCCCTCCAACATCCAACCTCCAAGGCTCGCAACAGCCCCAGCCTACATCCCCCACATCCCCAAATGGAAGCGCCAGCAACCCGGACTTCGCACCTGATGGCAGCATACCCCAAGACCAACATCACTCCCAGCAGCCTCGGCAGGGCGAGCAGCAAGCGCAGCCCCCGCGCCCCTCGTCACCCGAAAAACAGCCCGCCGAAGAACCGGCACCGCCCTTGCTGCCGAGCGCGACGAAGACGGAACGGTTCTTGCTCACGGCGGCGGACCAGGAGAGCGGCTCGCGCGACGAGCGGCTGAACAGGGTCATCCGGAGCAAGTACGAGGCCGGGTTGCTCAAGCCGTATAATTATGTCAAGGGGTACGCGAGGCTGTCGCGGTGGATGGATCGCAAGTGCGTCTTCTTGTGCTTTTGAATGAGGATGGCGAGAGCTGATATGATATGCGTGATACCCTAGCGTGTCGCAGGAGTCGAAGCAGCAGATACTGCAACCGCTGTCGGTATTGAGGCCTAAATTCAGGGTACGCACCTTGGCTTTCTTGTGTCCCATACCTCTTGGCTGACTCCGGAGCCTTAGGCTGTCGCCCAATCATTACGAGATATCGTGAGTCCCTGCTTTTGTCTGGCCTGCCTATCCCTTCTTCCGCAGGCCGACCCACGCTGACGCGAACCACCCCTCCCAGGACCTCGTGTTCATTGAAGAAGCCTTCGAGCGCATGCTGCTCGACTACGATCGCGTCTTCAGCGCCATGGGCGTGCCCGCGTGCCTCTGGCGGCGCACGGGCGAGATCTACAAGGGCAATCGCGAGTTCACAGAGCTCGTCGGACTCGACGGGTACATGATGCGCGACGGCCGACTCTGCATATACGAGCTCATGGCCGAGGAGAGCGCGGTGAACTACTGGGAGGTGCGCCGGCCTTTTCATGGCCTTCTTTGCCTTTGCTTTAAGCGCAGAGCAGAGCAGAGAGGGCTGACGATGCGCTTGGTGAACAGAAATACGGCCACGTCGCGTTCGACTCGACTCAAAAAGCCGTCCTCACGTCCTGCGTGCTGCGGTATAAGCCGCACATCAGCACGCACGCGACCTCGCTCGACGCCGGCTCGGGCACCGCAGGCGCGCTCGCGCGCCGCTCTTCGTCCCGCAAACACGGCTCCCACGATAAAGACAAGGAGGGCGGTGGCGGCGGGAGCAACGCGAGCGGGGGCGAGGAGGGCTTCGTGAGCTGCTGCTTCTCGTTCACGATCCGGCGGGACAAGTGGGGGATCCCGAGCATGATCGTGGGCAACTTCATCCGGTGCTAGGTTTCGGGTGGGTGTATTGGGCGGTTCAAAAAATATGAAGACATCAGCAAGCGCGCGCGCGCGCGTCTTTGCTCGATGGCTGTAAATTATGTACTACCTATACCTCGTCTCGCAGGCCGGGTTACTGTTTCTTGTCTTTGATTTTATTTAGACGTTTGGTACAATAGTGTTTACTTGCTCGTATGTTCTGCCTATGCTCCCTGCTTTGGTGCTCAAGTAGCTAGTGTTCTGCTGGATCGGGATTCTGATTGGAGCGTGGATCTTGTCTTGTCTTTATTGTCATCATTCTCTCGTGTCTCAGTATCGTCTAATTATTATCTGCTTCGTCGTCTTTCGTGATGGCATCGGATGAGGGGCGAAAATTTCCAATTTTCTGGGAACGATATCGTGGTGAACAGCAGATGTGATCAAAATATCATTGCTAGCAGTATCATCGAACTGATCTAGCAATATTTTTTAGTGTCTCGTAAACGCATGCGTAGGCCATGCGCTCAATCTCTACTCGCCCATCTCCTCAGGCGGCGGCCCCTGTTGTTGTTCCTTATCCTTGCGCGTCGCTTGCACAACATCGTCGACGCGGAGCAGCATCCGCGCGGCCTCGATCGCCGTCTTGAGAATCTGAATCTGCTCGGGCCATAAACTCATCAGCACCGCGCCCAACGAGGCCTGCGGGACACGCACCTTGACAGACGCAGACTCATACAGCCCGTACTCCTTCATATCCACGATCTTGCCCGTGTCCCCGTTCACGCCCCACGAGTGCTCCCCGGCCGCGTGCTTCGCGCGCAGCTCCGTGAGCACGCGGATCGCGTTGCCGCCCGCGTTCTGCACGAGCGTGCGCGGCACGACCTCGAGCGCGTCCGCGACGGCGCGGAACGGCCACTGCTCGATGCCCGCCACGGACTTGGTCGCGTGCTGGTGCAGGAGCACGGAGAGCGCCATCTCGGTCGCGCCGCCGCCGGGCGCGAGGCGCGGGTTGAAGACGGCGTTGCGTGCGACGGACATGGCGTCCGCCAGGTTACGGTCGATCTCGTTCAGGATGTCTTTGGAGGGTCCGCGGAGGAGGATCGTGCAGGCTTTCGGGCTTTTGCAGCCTGTGAGGAAGGTGAAGTATCTGTTGAACGGTGGTGATTAGTACAGAAGGAAGGAAGAGAGCATTCAGGGGAATTGAAAGACGCACTCGTCGCCGATCTTCTCGATGTTGAAAAGACCACACAGGGTTCCAACGTCGCTATCGCGCAGATCCTCGATGCGGTTGACGATCGTCGCACCGACAGCGAGTGCGATACGGTTGTTGTCCGACTTGCGCACGCGGCGGATGGCAGAGACGTTGGCACGCTCGAAGACATGCTGAGCAAGGTCTTCACAGGGAACGATGTCAAATCACATGGATGGTGATGATGATGACAAGAATACGCACCAGAGACACCCTTCTCGGTAATGATCAAATCCGGCTTAAACTCCAACAGGCGTTTACACTGCGCGACGATCTGCTCCTCTTCCATCTCCTGCGCGCGCTCCCAGTCCGTCTCCTTTGAAAACTCCATGTTTGTCTGGGACTCTCCCTTCTTGTACTCCAGCGGGCAGTCGAGCAGGATGATCCGCGGGTTCAGGATTCGCCTCCGCATCTTGGGGTGCGTGATGTCCTTGTTGAGCATCACCCCGTCGAGCACGCGCGATTCCTCGATCTCGCCTCCGGGCACCTTTTCAACGCGTGCGTAGCGCTTGATGTCGACGGAGCTTCGGCCCGCGCCGTCGTCTACAGAGACGGTGCGTACAGCCTGGAGGGCGAGGCGGCACATGAGGTCGGACCAGCGGACAACGAATTTGGTGCCGATGGAGGTTTTGATGAGAGCGAGCATCTGGGTGTCGTCGGAAGTGTCGATGGGGACGGAGATGCGGTCGATGATGGATAGGGCTTCTTTGAGTGCCTTGTTGTATGCGGAGATGATCACGACGGGGTGGATATCGCGTTCGAGTTGGGAAAGGGATTGCGCGAGGATCTCGCCGGCTGTTCGCGTTGAAAAGCGTTATCACATCATCATTGAGTTGCGGAGAAGAGTGGAATGAAACAAAATGGGGACGAACCGAGGATGATGACACTCGTCGTACCGTCGCCGCACTCCTCGTCCTGTGTTCTGCTAAGCTCGATCATGTTCTTGGCAGCCGGATGTGCGACGTCAATCTCTCGAAGTATTGCGTTCCCGTCATTGGTGAGCCTAACGCGAGAACGATCGACAAGGTGAGGAGAGCGAGAGTAAGCATTGGTAGGGGGCACAGAAAATGTGGACAACGGACAGGATGCCGCCCATGGGGTCGAGGATCATCTTGAGCATAGCCTTGGGACCCAAACATGTCCGAATGACATCCGCGATCGTCTTGAAGCCCTCAGGTCAGAAACGATCTCCTGCAGAAAGCTGGTGAAGCGTACTTTGCCAGCTGTGATATTTGAGATCTGTGCTTTTCTCCCCGATTGCCGCTCGGGGGCAGAGTCTGAGGACAAAGGCTAAGCGTATGTCACACAAAATACAGAACACGCACTCATAACAAAGACTGGCGTTTGTCCTGGTCCCACCTGCATGTTTGCTCGTTGTGATCGGTAATGAGCAAGTCTGTCACGCAAGACGCGTCCTCATCCACCATCACACGCGTTACTCACAAAGTGCGTCACATTGTTACACTAAAGTCACACACTATACGGGCGGTCACGCTTACTCCCTTTGCTTTCCTGAAACACAACCGCATGATTGAAGAGATAAATACTCTCCGACTGAGGCGCCCTAAGACGTATATGAGGTGTACAATCGCTAGATTATCCCAACTCTCTTCCAATACCCTAACCATCGCTTGACATCCTCCTCTCCAAGTGCGTCGCTCACCTGGCTCAGACTCTCGGAATGCTCCACCGCAACCTTACACTCGATGGTGCCCATCCCCAGGCCGAGCGCTTGCTTATCTTTCTTTCCAGCTCTGTTGTCTTCCTTCAGTCTCATAGCCTCGTATTCGCCAACCTGCTTGAAGAACGACATCAATGGAACCGCGCGGAGTGTGCAGCCTGAGCCTTTCTTGCTCGTCTCCTCCTCAACTCGCTCTAGCCAGACGGAGTACGTGACAAGTTCGATACCTCCAAGCTCTGCTGCGACGGCTTTTACAATATTCCGCCAAGGCGCAGGCCGGGGATGCACCAGATGCACTATGCCCTGGTCTGTGTTCTGCGCTCGGAGCGCGTCAGGGAGGCTCAGATCGACCAGGCCAGATGCGGCGAGGTCGAGCGGGATCCATGATATACTCTGAATACATCGCGTCATCAACTATCATTCTGAGTGACAAGAGCTGAACTCACGTCCTCTCCATCAGGTATACACCCCACCGCCTTCGAAGCCTGCACCATCGCGGGGAACCACTCCTTCACATTCCACGCACCACTCTTCCTGTCCCCACAGAGCTGCCCCACACGCACGATCTGCGGCGGTCGCGCTTTCAGCTCCGACCTAGCAGATGCCTCGAGTAGGATCCGCTCAGAGACCCACTTGGACTCGGCATAGCCGGACGAGACGGCTACCTCGGCGTCCACGGGACGTTCGGCGCCGCTGGAGGTGCCAGTGCCGACGGTATCTGCGTCTGTATTTTAGTCAAAGACGAAGTAACAAATGCGTTGTAGATACCTCGAATGACGCCTATTGAGCTGACAAACGTCATACTCGCAGGCTCAGTGTGTGGCGAGGCAAGCGCAAAGTCGACGAGATTGCGCACACCCTGTATCTCGGGAGTGTACGTCTGTAATGCGACGTTGAAGTCTACGCGCCAAGCTACGAGGATCATCGACTCAGCCAACCATCACTCTATGGATACAAGTCAAAGTAGTTGCAGCACGCACCATTGTGGATGACATGCGTGATGCGCGCTTGCATCTGTTGATAACTTTATGTCAGCCACATCGCGAGTCAAGATAAATATCAGGCTCACTTCTGCAAAAACCGCATACGCCAGCCCAAAACACGGACTTGCCAAGTCCCCCTCCAGAAGTACGAATTTCCCGCCGTTACTCGACATCCCCACATCAAGCCCCTTCTCCTCAAGCGCTTCAGCCTGCCTCTGCGCCAGGCTCTTGACACGGCCGTCCCGTGTCCTGTTGAGTGCGTACACGCGCGTAACGCGGTCATCTTCCAGGAGACGTGCAAGGGTGTGGCACCCGAGGGCGCCTGTGGTGCCCGTAAGGAGAACGACAATCCCATTTGGCTGAGCTAGGGAAGAAACCGACGAGGCACTTCGCGCAGGGAAATCCTTTGTGAGCTCTGCCACCATCTTGCGCATCGCATTGGCGCGGGATTTCACCGACATTGCCCCGCTCACATAGGTGCCACCGTCGCTCACAAACTGATGGACCAATGAGGAGAGGGAAGAAACGGTCGGATGCTCAAAGACGAAGCTCGGGCCCAAGGCACGAGTGTCCAGTGTGCCGATCGTGCGCAGCGCACGGAGAACTGAGTTCTTGATCCATGTGGCTTGTAAACTGATACAGTGTCAGCACCAGTCCGCCCACAAAACAGCAAGAAACGACGCAAGCATACATACCTATCGCATCCAAATCGGAACACGTCCTTTTCGTCGTCCAGCTCCTTTCCGAGCACCTCCCATACGAGCCTCCGCACGAAGTCCTGTATCGACGCCCGGTCCCACGCCTCAGGGGGCAACAGCCCGCGCTTAGTGACAACACTCTCGCTCTCTTCCAATGCTGCATAGGCAGCATCAATATGTGCCGCATACGCAAGCACAGCGGCGTGCCGCCGTGGCGTATTCTTGACAGTATACTCAAAGGGCACTTGCGGGTGTGTGACGAGGATCATCTACACCGCAGAACTGAGCAGGATCGAGACGTGCTATATTCGGAAAGAACGAACCTCCTTGAACACGCGTGAATGTTGCGGCGCGAACCCGTTCATCTTCTCCACCGTTGGCCTGCGCACATCCTCGTCACCTCGCTCGCGCTACCGTGTGAGCCGAGAGGCTGCACGCACCATATCTCGTTTCTGAACTGCGCCAGCTTCTCCTCATCCGCGGGATCGAACCTGAACGGTGGCTTGGGATCGACAATGACGCCCGCGTGGAACCGTCCCCGGCCGAAAATGACGCAGGACATTACTTTCAGATCTTGGTTCAGGATGTGTTCTGTCCTCATTTTCCGTTGTTCAGCTTTTGACGAGATCAAACGACATTGCAACCGTGCTCACCGAGCGGTCCGGGATTGGTCTACAAATACGATGTCAATCACGGCGAGAATGCGAAGTTATGAGACACGGTACGCACCTTCTCTCCCGTGCTGTGCATAATCTGGTCGTCCGCCCTACCAAACACCTTCCAAAACCCTGCCTTGGTCGGGTGCGGGATGAGCAGATCCGACGTCGCATACGCATCCCGGCCGTCTACTTTGGTGTTAGACAGGGTTATCGTATTCGCTGGACAAGACTACGCTCGCGTCCATTGTCATAAAAGGGGTACAGATGTCCGAGAGGAACACGTACGATGATGACGAGCTCGTACACTCCCGCCTCTGCGTCGTACGTTACCATTGCGGTCTCGACCACGTCCGGGATACGGAAATAGTCCCAATCCGGGAAGGTGTCTTCCTGCGCTATCAAACGAAAAATAAATAAGCGAGAAGCTGCAAATGCAAAAGGGATCGAAGGCAGACTGACCGTGCAAGACCTGGCTGAAGACGCCGCCTTCTGTGCTGTGATGGACAGAAATAGTCATGTATTAGGAATTGAAGGCAACAGGGTGAAACATACCTTCCGTACGCTGGGTAGAGGCGAGCGCCCTGCGAGGCGAGCGAGTCGCCAATCTGCTTGTTCAACGGACCTCCACCGTATACCTAATCGCGAGGGATACATGTATATTCGAGATCAAAGTAGAGAAGAAAACCGTACAATAGCGTCAAGGGAGATGAGCCAGTTGACCTGCTCGGGGTTCTGGTACCATGCCTATTAATGATAACAGTCAGCTTCAGTACTCCAAATTGTTCTGCAACAATATTTTACCTCGACGAAAGAAGGAACCGTCCAGAGGAGATTGCTCTTTGTCGTCTTAGCCGCTGCGACGAGCCCGTCGAGCGTCGGCACAGGCGGGGGCCACTTTGGCTCGAAAACTGCAAGCGTCTGGCCACACGTCGCCTACACACGCATAAGCAGCGAAATCCAGATACCCCGTCAGTGTCCGACCGAGTCCATCTAATTCCTCTCGGCGCAAAACACTCACCGCCCACACAAACTGAAACGTGCCCATCCCGTGAAACATCGGCGTCGCATGGACCGATGCGACCTTACCGCAGAAATCGAGCTCTCCATAATACGGCATCGTGCCCAGCTGGATCATCCGCCTCTGGCTGAACGGGATGGCCTTGGGAAACGCGGTCGATCCCGAGGAGTGGAAATAAACAGCGACGTCCTCCGGGCCTCTGTACTCCCAGTCTGGAAGCAGCAGCAGCTCCTCTTCGTGCGCTGCAGTCACCAGGTAGAGCTCTGCGTGCTGCAGCATATCCGAGCACACCGGTAGCGGCACCGTTCCGTGCTTGTACTCCTCGTATGTCGTTTGCAGAACTTCCAAAGCGGCCTTTGCGAGCTCCCGCATGGCGGGTTCCTGGCTGACGAGCATGTGCCGCGTCTTGGACTTGGCGAGCAGGTGCGCGACCGCGGCGGGCGAGTTGCGCGGCGAGATGGGGAAGGCGGCGTGGTTGGCGCGCACGATGCTGAATATGGTCGTCGCGTACGGTATCGCGTCTGTGTCCTCGCAAGTCAGCGCGCCGCCCGCCCGGCACTTCCCAGCCTAAGCTGAGAAGAAAGGTGTGCTCACCAGAACTAGAAAGAATCCCGACCACCTCCGTCTTCCCGCTCCCAAAATCCTGCATCTCAGACCCGAACCTCCGTCTCAAGACGGCGGCACCCCGCCCGATCGCGCTCGCCACCTCCGCCCAGCAAACAGTCACGAGCTCCCGTTCTGCGGTTGAATGATCATGATCTGAGTTCGATTTCTCGTACACGAACGCAGGATGGCCCGGCGAGTGCTTCGCCGCGTACTCGAATACCTGCGGGAGGCCAATGGACCCATCGAGCGGCGGCGCGGTGAAGGTCGTGCTGTTTCGTCCTTGCGTCTGCGGAGGGATCGGGATGGGTATATACGCGTGGGAGGTGGTCATCTTGAGAGGGCTAAAGCGATGTGGGCCGCAAACAGGCTACTCGGGTAGGTAGTGGAGTGAGCGGGGATCGCGATGTCGGTACCGACTCGGAATAGATCTGCTGATAGCGAACGTGGATAAGCTGGTAGTACCAGGAGCAGCACCACGCCAGTCGTTCTAAGATCGACCTAGGCAAGAAGCACGCCAGAAACGTGCTAATAAGCTTCAACGCCCCGACTGCAAGCGAGCGTAAGGATCGTAGCAGGCGTAAAGCGACCAGACACGAGCGGGCTTATGTGCGATCAGCCCGCGACGACCAGCCGCGTCAGGGCTCGCCCGCTACAGCAGACTTACGCTGTTCCCTCGACGTCACTAGTCCCAGAGTTCCATATCAATGTTTGTGACAGCGAGACACCATGACATAGGCTGACACAGGTTGTCATGTAGGACAAGGCCAGAAGCCTACAAATCGCGACCTTGACATCCGGTAATAGGCCAAGCTGAACGGGGGTCGTCGATGTCGGGACTGACCGCCGAGTGTCAGGTGTACCAGAATCGTAGAGATGTTCCATGCGCCACCGCCCACTACCGGAGGGTATGATAAATTATGTCAGCGTCGCGACATATCGTCGTTGGACCGCCCAAGGCCGGGTGTGATCCGTCTCCACGAAGAAACTGACAAAGGTTGCCATCAACCGCAAAAACTCTTTCTTGCAGCGAAGAATCAGCGCAGAGGAGGTGCACCGTTGCCTTGCACCTCCTCAGCACCTCCTTCCGCGTTCGACGCTAGTTTGAAGCTCGTGATGCGCTTGCGAGTGTGGTAGCTCAGATATTGCGGCTGCCGTCGTGGGATGGTTGTATGCGTCATGTTGCGGGAGAGCGAGAGTGATGGAACTCCATCAGAAAGTTGAAAGGCATGACAAGGCACCCGCTTCCCGCCGCACGCGTCCTTCATTGTAAACCCAAGCACACCACGAAACGCAGACAGCGCATATACTGTACTATGAGAGGTGTCGATAAACACGCATAGTACAATCGGCATCCAAGAAAAAAAGACGTGACAACAAAATGTTCCAATCCGAGCTTATGTCGTACTTCTACAACACAAGATGCATATGCAACAAACAAACAGGCAACAGAAAACAGCACAAGCCAAACCGAGTCAAACCAAATCAAACCACTCCCCTCCACCCGCCCCGCCTCCAAAAATCAACATCAACTACGTAAGTATCCATCGTAACACCCAAACAACACCATCCCACATACACCTCTCATACAATCCTACACACGTCTCCTCGCGAAGTGAAGGCGCGATGCCCAACGCCGGGCGCCGGGCGCATAAGCATAAATAACAGGGTCAAGGAAAATCATCTGAGTTTCCCGTCCGTGCATCCGCGAATGACAATGAATGTATAACGATATACGCAGAACGGCTTTTCACCGCGAATTTTCCGCTCGTCGCATCCCCGGGAAGACGGCGCCCGCCTGGGATACCCGACGCACCGTCGCTGTCGTTTTGGCTGATGGATGCTGATGGATGCAATGATGCGTGGTGTGTGCGTCGTGTGCGTCATGATGCGTGATGGTTGACGTTGATGGGTCCGTCGGGTCGGTCGTTCAGGGGGGTATCTCAGGCGCTGGTATGTATGGGTCAGGTTACTCCGGTCTTCTCCGCCTTACGCGCGCGGCAGGAAGGGCGCTAGGAACGTCGGCGTCGGCGTCGACGGCAGCGTCTACACATCATCCTCGGTGGGGCGCGATCGTGTCGACGCGCGCGTCGACATCTTGTCCCGAGTGTGCGTGTCTTCCTTCTATACATTTTCGTCAATGAAAAGAGAATAACGAAAAGAAAATAATACGCACCCCATTCAAACTTATCATCGCCAGCTGATCCCCATACGTCTCCCGATCCACGCTAACCTGTATGGAACCCATCGTATCCATCATCGTGCTCCGCACCCCAAACGCGCCGGGACTAAACGTGCCCGGCGAGAACTGGCTCGAGTGCACATTCGAGCAGTCCGCGCACTTTCTCCGAGGACGGTTGTTCAGGATCACGAGCAGCGAGTTCGTGTACAGCTTCGAGAGCATGAGCGCGGGTACGACGTAGTAATGGCGGTCCGGGATGCCAACAAACAGCGCAAGCTCGATGACGGCGACGACGGCGGTCGCCAGGCCGGTTTCGATCACGAGGAGAATGATTTTGTTCAAGAGCTTGTCGGTGCCTTTGAACCCGGTGCGGCTGCGCGAGAGCTGTTCGGAGCTGGTGAGACAACGCTCTCCATAAAGACGAAGGGCTCGCAAAACTTACGCAGTACGCCATGGCCGTGAAAATGAGGATATCGCACGCGGCCGTGCCGGTGAGCCAGACGGTGACGACCGTGGACGTGTTGGTCGTGATATTGGACGTATCCTTGCCGTCGAGCAATGCGGACTCGATACCGCTAGCCAAGCCAGCGCCTGATTGCATGAACGAAAGCTATTATCAAGGAGGGTTAGCGCAGGCCCACTCTGACAAAGCAACAGCCAACGGACCAGAACAATGGCTCCCGTCAAGACACTCGAGTCGCTGAGGATGTATATTCGCCATGCATAGAAGCACTGCGCTATCAGGCTCGCTATCAATTACATAGCATATGAGCACATGTTCACGACCGAAGTGGAACCGAGCTGAAACGTACTGATAGCGGTGCATATAGGCATGGTCAGCCACACGAACCAGCCATTGTGGAGGAGAGCCGGTTGCCCCCACGAAACAGCGAGCTGCTTGTAGGAATCGTGCGTGGCCATGGCGATTTGGAAGCATTCAAGCAGATAAGAGAACCAGACGACAAGGTGGAGTGCCCAGCCGTCCTGGAACGATGACGTTTGATAGAGGTCTACGAGCAAGGAAGAAATAAAGGGATAGGAAGGAAGGCAGGAAGGTGAGTCACAACATAGAGACAACAAAGCTGACGGATACGCACAGACTTGAGTCGTCAACACGCCGAACAACGCCCAGTTGAACTGATATCCCATGACCTATGCAAAGAAACACCGTCCAACAAAGACACGAGGGCAACATCATTCATCCGTCAGCAAGAACGTTGAGGGGGTTTGGACACCAAGTATAGAGCGTACATAGGGAGTGAGGCTAGGATTAACATTTGTGAGTTTCACAGGCGTTTGATGACCGGAAATAGCGAGAAGGGCTCACGTTTCAGGGACAAGGGGCGGGAGGGTGCAGTTGGAAGCCATTGCCGTAACGCGTCTTCTTCGAGGGTCGGTCGTGCAAGGAGGAGAAGCGGGCCAGAGGGCGCCCTGTCAGCGTCGGGTGGGACGGCGGGTGGAGGGGGGAGGGGAACGGGGTCAGCGCTTGGCCGGTCGCCCGGGTTCAGGTGGTCAGCTTATGAGGTGCGGTCGTTGTAGCCAGCCGTTGCCTTATCCGGCCACGACTACCTGATGGGAAAATCCGAATTTCTTACCCATGCCAATCCATGAAACCATGCTCTCCCATCGGGCCAAGATTCTGATCCTGATCACTGATCACGGCGCAAGGATACAGTAAACCAGCCTCACTGGTAAGATGCAGCTTTTGCGTCGGGCTCGAGCTCGTGCATACCTGTCAAGCCACATGTCATTCCGCGACTGTCGCCCCGGAGGCTAGATTGACAGCCTCGGTCAAAGTGAGCTTACATCCGCACTTTGTGGCTGCCTGGTGCGCCCCTGTGCGCCTTTTCCTCAGGAGCGGTCGGACCTAGTGCGTCGTGCGTATCCTGCGATGAAGAAACAGGCCAGCTACCTCAGGTGATCCACAGATCCACCACCCGAGTTACATACAAGCCCTCGAAACGCACCGCACATGACAGAATGGAAGGCTTCGCAACTCGCAAGCATATGATCCCCTGCACGATCTGATACCCGACATGCCGAGTCACCTCCCCCGTTGGCGCCAACATCAGCCATCGAAGCGTCGCGTCGGCCAGAGAAACAAGCTTCCGAGTCGCCATCTCGATTCCTGATCAAAACGCTACCAGTTGACACCAGTTGACAGTGTCCCCACGTTCGATGCCGACTATAGCATGTGCTTAAATACAGGGTGGTTCATCACTGATATGTCTCGCCAAATCTCCAGCCCTTCTCGCACCACCATGCACATAGTATCTGCCTGATACAGTTCAGACAAACTTCGCGTACTGGTTTTTACAACAAAGTTCACAGCGCAGCGAGCGCTGCATGCATGTGGAGCCAGCTTGTCAGCCACGAAGCGGGCAAGCGTTGTGGACAGATCGCAAATTGGAAAAATGTCAGATGGAGGTTTACACTGGTTTACATCGCCTTTTATAGACGGGGGATGATCAAAAGCTAAAATTGAAAATTGGCGACGACGTTGCGGTGCACGCTCCCGACTCCCGACGGCATCCTCCACAACCTTGAGCTTGAAGGCGGCAAAACATATTTTCCAGCTATCCAGAGCCAATCCGGAGGCAAAAACGAGTGCGCCGCCGCCGCACATCACACGAGCACGTCTGTATCGCCAAGGGTCTAAGACACCAAGCTTACTTAGCATGTACTTCTTGATGTACTTGGCCCCTACTTATAACCCTTCCATTTGCCCATATGACTGGCCGCTGTGCCGCTGCCCTGTCGTGGGAACGCCCTCAATCAATCCGCATCTCTACTTGACCGTTGCAGGGGACACAAGGGGACACACGTCTGCACCAGCTCACACCGACGTCGACGTTCTCATCGAAGGTCCAGGTTTTCAATTGGCAAATACCCCGAGGAACAACCACCGGTCGCGACCTCACGGCGCCAGCACTCCCGCCTTCTCACCCTGCCCGAAGCATAACGACCATTGAGCGAGCAGCTCTGCGCTTCGAGCTTCGACGCGGAGATGCAACAGCGAACTCGAACTAGCGCATCGCGGCGCCATCACCATCCTGGAGGCCTGATCGGTGAGGGTATCCCGACGGACACCTCCAGCTTCGCACATAAAAAAAACTTTTATTGGGCCCCGGAATCAAAAGGGGCATCTCGATAGCGCTAATGTCGCATGAAATTATGCAAGACTTTCAAAGTCAGCGATGTGGCCTTGGTGCGGAGGCTAAATCGCGAGGTACGAGCTCCTTGGAACGTGATGGTATCTGCGTATATGAAAACTATAGACTAACAAGCTCAAGCTGGTGCAACTGGGGTATAATGCGAGTACTTCTAGCATTTAACAGAGTTCTCCTCGATGGTTTCATTGCCAATTACAGCCAGTCCTTTACTGTGCTTCTTACAAATCAAGCACCGATTCTTGGAAGATCTCCGAGGAGCTGCAGCTGAGCTGAGACGCCACCCCCGAGTAAGCTCACTAAGGAGAACGTTCTTCCTGCGACAACGGAAACGAGTTCATTTTCAAGTAATGGGCGTAAGCCAAATTGGCACTAGAAGGCCTCGTGCGCCGCCTTTCTTAGTGCCTGGATTGCGCCCAGTCTTACTCGAGACTTCGGTTTTATGGCATGATGATTAGACACACATACATTGACGAATGCATGGCATCGTTCAATCGCCAGTAAAATCGCAAATATGAGGGTGTGGTGCGTATGGAGGTTCGCGATGGGACGGTCTCTATGTTTACTTGGCCTGCCTGGCGTTCGTGGCCTCAGAGGTACCACCCATCGATGTCAACTAGGCCCAGCGTGCTTCAGAGTTAAGTCGGAGAAGGAGAGCTAGGGTGGAGGTCGACGTACACCCACATCACTATCAGCAACCAGCTTATCGCGGGCAACGTGTTTAGCGCCGGTGGCGCAAATGCCGCACCATTTTAGCTCTGAGCGTTGTTATAATTAGCACGACGACCTGTATTATCATCAGAGGGTTTTTGGCCAGCGTTTCAACGCATAGAGGCGGTGAGGAATTGCATCCTCATCAGCAAATACAGTGTACCTTGTTGCCACTGAAAGCCTGAGGAAGGGCATTGTTTCACGGATAGGAAGCAGATTGGACAGCAAAGTGCCAGGAAAAAGGCGATAGCATTTCCTTGAGCGAAGGGCTTAGATAAACTCACCACTAAGATAATCTGCAGAACATCAAGACTCTGAGACAGCAGGCCGGCGGCACAACCTATGGGACTGACAAGTCCCTACACGGTGAGCGCGTCCGGTATAAGACCCAAAACCTCGGAACTAAATATCAAGCAGCATGTCTTTCCAGATGGAGAAAGGAGAGCGCAAATTCTCGGCAGGGTGCCTTATCCGAGCTAGAAGAGACGAGCCTAACAGTAGCGCAACCACAGGTAGTGCTAGGTCATGAGATCCCCGCGACGGATGAGCAGATACCTTGAAAAAGCAGAAGCCGAGAGCCAGGCGCGACGCAGCAAGGCCGTTAAGTACATGCCCGTGAGGAACGAGCGAGCAAGGGGGCCGCGGTGCGTCAGCGTACACTACGTTTCTCGGGCCTGCTCGGGCCCAAGAAGAATGAGCGGAGGAATCAACCAATTGCAAGTGCATATGCCGGGCACAGCCGGCGGAGAGGCAGAACTTCGGGAAGAGCCGAGCGGCTTCATCGCATCCCGCGTCCCAACTTTGAATGTTTGGCCGAACGCCGAGGTCGCTGAATCATGAACGCTATTGACGTTTTTGCTACAGTCGTTTTCAATTCGATAGACCAGATTTCACTCTTGTGGAGCGTGGTGCCTTGTTTACCGGCAGTGAACTTAGTAAGCCTGTTTTCCCCATGGGACACACAACTTTTTTGCTGTTGTCCTCTCGTCCCTTCGCGTTTCTTTGCTGCAATTTTGACTAAAAATGACTTATCATCTCTGAAAATGCACGTCACCTACATCCTTGAGGTTCAAGCATCATACCTAAGCACTTAAGCCTTGAGACCAGAATTAAGGCCCGCCATTGCATACTTCTGCTCGAAGAGATAGCAGGATGGTAGTCCTGAGCGATTCACGGGCTCGCCCGTCCCTGACTCTATGTCATCGTCATATTAGGGATTCTAACCCTCCCAGTGCATTCGCGCACTCCAACGGGGCTCCAAAGGTAAACAGAATTTCTTGCTCCACGAAAGCAGAAACTGGTCTATCGAAATGAAAACGACTGTAATCAACCAAAACTTTCTCGGCGGACGGATGGCTGTGGCGAGCTTTCACCCTACGTGGTCCGACTGAGCTTGGATCTCGCGGTAGCATTGAGGCCTTTTAGGATCTTCCATTTTTTCGCAGATGGTCGGACACTCTGTATTCAGCAATACCCAGTTTCGAAATATCTGAAACATCAATACCTAGAAGTAAAGTATGACGAATTCATCCCGGCATAATTTAGAAGAAGAAACATCGTGTAAGGGGTCTCTCAGAGGGTCTTAATCGCATGATCAACATCAGTCTAGTTCATCGAGGTACCAACGGCTGCACTGGCTTGCTCAGAGTCGTCAGCGTTCTGATAAATCAAACGGTGGTTTGAGAACTTCACGAGATCTAACATTCCCAACTAACAACGTACACATCGTGTCTAACTGCACAAAACTAAAAGTACATACTCCATTCCGACTTCCTCATGCCTGCCCACTAACAATCGCACCATCTTCCTCCTCATTCTCACCCACCGCCGCCTCCGCCTCACGCAACAGCGCCTCCAGCTCCCACTTGCCACTAACATCCGCGTCCCCACGTCCACCGCTCCCTCTCCCCTCCCCTTTCTTATTATCACTTACAACCACCTCCCCACTCTCCTCCAACCACTCAACACCCTTCACACGCACAACCTCCCCGAGCTCATCCTCCCCCGCCCGCGCCAGCGCCCGACAGACCCACACGAGCGCCAGCACAGTCGCCCACACTCGCTCGCTGACCCGCCTGTCCGCGGGGAACCGCGTGCGGCGCGCGAGCGCGGGATGGCCGAGTGCGGCGGCGAGGTGGGGGGTGCATGTGGATGGGGGGAAGGAGCCGTCGAATGATTGGAGGGCGAGCAGCGTTTGGGCTGATGGTGCGAGGGGGGTGCGGGGGTGGGCGGGTGGAGGATGGGTTTGGGGGGGTGGTTGGGTGTGCAGATGGTGGTGTCTGGCGATGTGGGAGGGTGCGAGGTTTATGGGACCGAATACTGGGGAGGGAACGCGACCGACGGGATCGTCGTCGATATGCAGATGGCGCGGTGGACTCGGTGTGCGGCTGCGTGTCCAGCGAGAACTCGATGACGAGCCGGTAAGCGAGCTGAGCGTCGAGAATGTGCGAACGCTGGCGCTGTCCGAGCCGCTAGCGTCGCTGTACCGATGTTGCGTTGTACGTGCGCCAGAACTCTCTGTTCTGAATGAGAAAGCGACTGACTCGGTATCGCCATTGATATCGCCCAGCCCGCCCGGAAGGCGTCCACGGTCACTCCCTACTGGCGGAGCACTCGTGTCTGCATACGGAGGGCCGAAAGCCATGGTCCATGCACCATACGCCAGATTTGTGAGCCCATCAAGTATTCCACCCAACAGATCATCGCCTGAGCCGTCAGGACCAGCCGCTCCTGCACTGTCCTCCCAATCGCTAGACGACGCGCTCTCGTCATTCCGTTTCTGTTTCTGAAGTCCAAGACGCCTCGCGAGCATCGATCGTCCGAAGCTGAACCTAGACCGCCCACCAGCCGGCACGCGAGAGCGCGCAGTCCCCTCGTCAACAGCGACGAAAGACGTATACTTGCTCGCGAGCTGGTACCGCACGCCAAGGTGGACGACAGCCGCGCGCTTGGCCTCCTCGAGCGTCGGCTCCGGCCGAACAGTCGCTGGGTCCGTGGGCACGTCGGGCTTTATCCGCGGCGGTGGCGTTCTGTTCTCCTCGATCTCCGTGATGAGTCGGCGAGCGGCGAGCGCATGTAAAAGCGGGACATCCGCGGAGTCGCTGGTATCGTGGTTCTTCGAGAACGGGATGATCTCGGTGACTGGCACATCAAGTTCTACCGTTTCTTGCTCTTCCCCATTCCCCATCGCGCCCTGCTGATGCACACGAAACCGCGCGTGGAGGCGAATATTCTTTGGAACGGCGTCGAACGTCGTCAGCGCCGATACAGCGAGACGCATATCGGGAAACACGCGCGTGATCTGGTGCGGCGCCTGCTGCACGTCCCCGCCTCCCACCGACGCCGCCGAATCAAAGCGAACGCCACCTGCCCTAGTGCGCCTTTTGCGTGCATCGCAGTTCCAGTCCACCTCGACACTCTCCACTGTCCTCGTCCGCCCAGCGTTGAGTAGGCGCGCACAGCGTCCCGTGATCTCTTCGGCGTGAAGCGCGAAGAGACATTCACCTTCGCCAGCACGAGCGATGCGCTCGCACACGTCACTAGACACCTCTGGGCCTATCCCTAGCACAAAGACGCGCAGCGGGGCGGCGGGAGTAGAGGCGGAGGCCTGTACAGCGGCTTTGACGACGTCTGCTGGCCCTTGGACGTCGGTGACCTGTACGAAACATGAGTTCTTAATGAATCAACGTTGAAATAAAGCACATACACCTCCATCCGTGAGGAAAAACACCGCCGTGGGCCGAGAAGTGTCGCGTCTGTCGAGCGCAAACCGCAGCGCGTTGGCCATCTCCGTACCTCCATAATCCGCACCCATCGACTCCACATGCGCAATCTACACCCCCCATCAGCCCGCCTCCCAAGCACCACGACAAGAGCACTCACCCCGCGCCCGAGCGTCTCCTCAGCATACACCACACTCTGCGGCCACAGCCCGTCCACGTGGCTCCCAAAGCTCACGACATTAAACCGCGTCTCCCGCGCAGGCAGCGCGCGCAACAGCACCGCCAGCGTCCGCTTCGCCGTCTCCATCGGCGCGCCGCCCATGCTCCCGCTGCGGTCGACGACGAACACGTACTCCTGCGCACGGACTGCGCGCGGCGCGCTCCCGGAAAAGGTAGGCACGAGTGTGAGGTGCATCGCTACTGCTCCGTGAGCATCTGTCGGGTGGCGCGAGGCGAAGCACCGAGGTGCGTCGAGTCCGCGCGCGTGTATGCTCAGCACGAAGTCGCCCGCGAGGAACTCGGGCGAGGCCCAGGAGGCGGACATGCGCCGGGTCGAGCGGCGCCCGGAGCGCGTTTTGTAGCGCAGGAGGGTGATAGGGTGCGTTGGGCTGCGCAGAGCGAGGATCTCCTCGCTTGTTTGGACGTCCACGCGGATGGTCAGCCGCGTTTCGCCTGGAGATGCTGAGGCGGAGGATGCGTCGAGGATGGCCGCTGGAGCGGGTCCGTATCGCGGGGCGACGGCGGTAGGAAGCTGCAGACGGATGTGATCGCGGATTCCTTCGTCAAGCAGATCCATGACAAACTAGCGAGCCAAGGTAGACAGCGTCAGAAGTGATGAACGACAGAACTACGACACGATACGCACCACCAGCCGTGTAACCACACTCATCCCACTCGGAACAGACCCAACCGAGATCGTAAAAACTACACACACCCCACAATTAGCCCTACCACCCCCACATGGACGCCCAAACCGCACAGACGGCAGCCGCACTCACCATCATCCGTCACCCACTCGACCAGCCCCGCCTCCCGTCCCTCCCTCACCGCCCTTCCAAACACCTCCTCCGCCTCCGCGCGCTCTCGCGCCTCCCCACGCACACCGCGCCCGTCCCCGCGCTCGAGCTCGAACGCACACACAGATGCGCGCGCGGGCAGCGGAAAGACGTACTTGGCGCGCCCTGTAGCGCGCCCCGTCGGGGACGGGGGGTTGCGGAATGTCTGTGTGAGCGCGACGCGCGCGCCGACTGTTCGTCCATCGAGTCCATCCGATCAAAGGTAGTTCGCGGTGTCAGCAAACGTAGAGAGGGAGCGAAGAATAAGTGGACCGACGCACCGTCCACGACCCACACGGGCATATCGACACTCTCGAGCTCGAGACGTCTCAGCACCGTGCCGGAGTTCCCGGGCTGGGCAGGGTCGGGGGAGGAGCGATAAAAGATCCCAGCTTGTGTAGTCATCCCAGGCGCTCTCTCTCTATAGGCTAGATCGCCTCAGGCTCTTGACTCGAGGGCTCCTAGATAAATACCCCATCGCATAGACGCCAGACGGAGAATCTGGGAATATATCAGCGCACCCCGGTCCTCCCAAGCATCTTATGTGCCGCGTGGCAGAGGAAACAAGCAACAAGCGACGCGTTTGGCTCGCAGGACAAGATGTATGCGGCAAGACGAGCAAAGGACGGCACCCGCGTCGCCTTAACGCGCCTACACGTGCACCTTCCCCTATCTCGTGCCGAACACGCGACCAACTCCCTCTTCTCCCTCGTCCAGAGCATTTCCTTTATGCCTCAACACAAGTGCACGAAACGCTCCAAGCTCGGACAGGATAACAAAACAATCTAAAAAAGAAAGAAAGTGTATAATTTCAGTCCCAAGGCCTGCTCTATCCAGTCCAACCTTTGAACAAAGACACTACCCCGCGTTATTCAAGTCTCCGTCGCTACTGTATCTGTACGCCCCTCCCACCACCCACACTCTAGAGTCTAGAACAGGGTCCACCCTCATCGACATCCACGCCCACGCACCCACACGCGCCTACGCAAACGCCGCCTCAGGCTGCTCCCGGCTCCCGCTAAACCCATACTCCTCCCCCTTCACAAACGCCCGCGTGCACTGCGCCATCGTCACACTCGCGCGCGAAATCGGATCCGTCATATAGAAATTCGCAATCGGCCGCACAAACGCGCGCCCGGACACCGCCGCGCCCCGCGTGCGCGCCTCGAGCGCGCGCAGCCCCGCGAGCGCGATCGGCGAGGACGTGCGCTCGCGCGCGTCGTACCGCACCAGCGAGGGCGAGAGCTCCCACATGCGGTCGCGCAGCGCGAGCACGTCGTCGTATGGGAGCGGCGAGCCGGTCGCTTCTGAGATGGCGCTATTACGACACAGAGTGTGTTAGAGTACGAAGCGCAGTAGGAGATGACGACTAACCGGATGATCTTCCAGTCCTCCCTCGACGCCCCCGGCGGAGGCACAGCCGCCCGCCCGAGCTGCGAGCGGCCCTCGGTGTTGATCCACGTCGTCGACTTCTCCGTGTACGCAGCGGCGGGGAGCACAACGTCCGCAAGCGACGCGCCGAGATCGCCGTGGTGGCCCTGGTACACGACGAACGCGTCGCGCGGGATCGACTTGGGGTCCACCTCGTCCGCGTTGAGCAGGTACACGAACTTGGGCTTTGTTGTCGACGCCTTCTTCGAGGGCACGAATCCGACCTCGTAAGCCGCGGGCCGCGACGCGATCTAAACCACGGCATGAGTAAGCGTGTTGAGACTGAGGAAAGGGCGCTTACACGCTGCAAGACCGAGAACCCATTCCACTCGTCCGTAACCAGCGTCTCCTTATTCTTCTCCACAAACTTCGCAAGCGCATTAAACGCCGCAGCACCGTCCGCCTGCTCCGCCAACGCACTCCCCACAATAATCATCGGCTTCTTCGCCGCCTTGAACTTCTCCGCAAACGCGCCCTTGCCAGCCACAAAGTCCGCGAGCGCCTTCGCGCCGTCCCCAAGGTAGTCGTACCCGTACGCCGTGTCCGCGCGCTCGCCGATGAGCCCGACCTCGAGCCCAGTGTGCAGCCAGCTCTTGCGGATGCGCGAGTTGAGCACTGCCGCCTCGTGCCGCGGGTTCGTACCAACAAGCAGAATCACGTCCGCCTCCTCGACGCCGGGAATCGTGCTGTTGAACAAATAGTTCGAGCGCACGTCGACGCCGTGCACCGGCGGCGCTGTCCCGCCGGCCTGGTCGAGCGCGAGGTTGTCCGACCCGAGCCGGTTCACAAAGTCCTTCATCGCCACGAGCGTCTCCGTGTCTGCGAGATGGCCCGCGACAGCCTGGATCTCGTCGCCCTTGGCGCCGGAGGCAGCGAGCCCGTCGGCGACGGCTTGCAGGGCCTCCTCCCAGGACGCGGGGACGAAGCGGTCGCCCTGCTTGAGGAGCGGCGTGGTTAACCGCTGGAACTTGAGCCCGTCGTACGCGTAGCGCGTCTTGTCGCTTATCCACTCCTCGTTGACATCGTCGTTCGTCCGCGGCTGGATGCGCATAACCTGGACGCCGCGCGAGTCGACGCGGATGTTGGAGCCGACGGCGTCCATAACGTCGACAGACTCCGTGTTTTTGAGCTCCCATGGGCGGGCATGGAACGCGTATGGTTTGCTCGTGAGGGCACCGACGGGGCAGAGGTCGACAATGTTGCCGGACATTTCCGAGTCCATCGTCTTCTCGACGTACATGCCGATCTGGAGGTCGTTGCCGCGGCCCGTCGTACCGAGCTCCTCGACACCGGCGACCTCGTTGGCGAAACGAACGCAGCGGGTACATTGAATGCAGCGGTTCATGGAGGTCTTGACGAGCGGGCCGAGGTCCTTGTTCTCGACGGCACGCTTGCCAGTGATTTCGTGGAAACGCGTACGGTCGGAGCCATAGCGCATGGACTGGTCTTGGAGATCGCATTCACCACCCTGGTCGCAAATGGGGCAGTCCAGGGGGTGGTTGGCGAGAAGGAACTCCATGACGCCCTCACTGATGGGGCGTGGTCAGGATGAGAGGGCGGCGGGATGATGTGCGGACTTACCGCGCTTCATGGACAAGGGGGGTGTTGGTCCAGACTTTTGAGCCAGGCATGGCGGGCATGGCGCTAGAAACAAGGTTGAGGTGATTAAGATACAAAGTAGACAGCATTTGCGTACCATGATGCAACGGGTTTGGGCGACCTCTCGACTTCTACCAAGCACATACTACGACCACTCGTCAGCAGGGTCCTGGGGGTGACTAAGCAATGGATGGGCATACCGGCAGTTACCTGCGATAGCAAGTCTGAAGCAGTGAAAGTCAGCAACGCGTCCAGAGTGGGGAGGCGGAGGTGACTAACCGGTCATGGTAGCAAAATCTGGGGAACCATCAGTGTATGCGCGTGCGGAGCTGTCGGATTACACACCTTGGGATATTAGCACCGGCGGCCTCGCAAGCTTGAATCAAAGCGGAACCTAGACACGAAGTTGAGAAAAGTCGAGCCCTCTCCCGGAGAAACGGAATGAAAAGTCCGGGCTAACCTTGCGGAACGGTCACTTCCTTTCCATCAACAGTCAACGTGATGTCGGCCTGTCGTGGAGCGGTCGAGCTGAGTTGTCTGCGTCCAGCTGGAGCGAAACAATGGTGAGCGAGGCGTCCAGGCGCGTGAGGATGATGGCAGCGACGAACCTTTACGCGACGAGCTGGAGCAGACGGACTTTCCGAGTCGTCCCGTGTTGGTGCCGCGCGAGACAGCGCGAAGCATACCGGCTGAACCAGCCATTTGGGGTTGGAGGTGGGAGTTGGGCGGGGTCTGCGCGCTGTGCACGCAGAGGGGAGTGTTGTTGAATTACGGGATGGGAGAGCTGGTCGTCGTCTTACACAGCGACCAGCGGATACGTCGCTTCATTATTTCAGGCGGAGTTGTGTCGGAGTTTGTAATGTCGATCGCTTGCCGAAGCGGAAGATTGCGGACCGAGAGACCGATTCTCTGCTCTCATCGTCCACCTCGAGCAGGCATGGGCACTCTTATTTTAAAACATGTTGTCAAGCCCATATGCAAGAGAATGCTGGGTTTGAGTAAATATTGAAAAATATTGTGTCCATAGCCAGGTATTTGTTTGACCAATGGCGACTCTTGTATTCCTAATATCTTTCTAATTATTTTACTAAAGCTAAATCGACATGATATAACCGACTGTGACACATTTCTACGCTCTCTATCATGCCCAGGTGCTCTAATATTGCAATAGGATGCTCTGGTACGGCCAAAGAGTGGATGGGGAGGATTCGACCACAAAAGGATGACCACGTGTTGACCATGTTTTCTGTCCGAGACAGCGACCACGCGCCGTCTTGAATACAACATGTTCCTCCTCATCGCCTTGCCATCCCACATCTCCTCACGCGCCTATTGTCCACTTTATAAAACCTAGCTTTAATCGCCGTCTGCTGCAGACCCCCGCCTCAGACAGCAGCTTTCACACTACCCATGTCCACCCAAGCCGGCATCGTCTACCGCCCGCCGGACCAGCGCGACCTCGTCCGTCTCAAGCTCGAGACAGTCGCCATCAGAGCATGGATCGTCGACGGTGCGCCTCCCTTTCTTCCTTCTTCTCCCTCGAGCTGAGCTTCGTGCGTAGTATCAGCGCGGATAACCATCAAGCACACTTTCAGCAACTTCACCGCCCGTCCCACAGGACGAGCCAAGTTCGTCTGCCCTCTCCCACCGCGCTCGAGCGTGTGCGCGTTTGAAATGCGGCATCAGGACGGCCGGCTGGTCAAAGCCGAGGCACGCGAGAAGGAGGAAGTGGCTGAACGCCTCTTCGAGGGCATGTTCCGCGAAGGGCGTGCAGCAGGCTTGGTAGACTGGGTCGCGGACGATGGTGAGTAGTATGGTCACATCGTAGCGGCTTTTTAATCACGATTATGCTAGTCTTTACAATCTCGGTGGGATCAATACCCAAAGGAAAGATTGTAGCAACACGGCTTGTGGTGCGTATCCTCCCCCGTACATCCAACATATGTTCTTAACAGACCCACAGTTCATCATGGACCTACTAGACGACGCAACCCCCTCCTTCATCCGCCTCCGCCTCCCCTGCTCCATCGCCCCACTCTCCACGCCCCTCCTCTCCCCCGCCCGACCACCACCACCCAGCACAGCACCCCTCTCCCCGCTCACCGGCGCCCTGGGCCTCGACACCCGCCCGTTCGCCTCCTCCGCACCAAAGAACGAAACCCGCATAACCATCCACACCGACGTCCAAATGGCCTCCGAAATCACCTCCCTCCGCGCGCCCCCCTCCTCCCCGCACACGCTCTCCATCGTGCGCTACCGCACGCGCGCAGGGCAGCGCAGCACCCGCCGCATGTCCGCCGTGTACCACGCCGCGCACGCGCACCTCGCCGAGGACTTTGTGCTCGACGTGCACGCGCGCGACCTCGACATGCCGCGCTGTTTCGCGGAGGTGCATCCCGATCCGCGGTCGCCCGTGCGCGGGGTGAAGGAGAGCACGGTCGCGATGCGGTTGACGCTTGTGCCGCGTTTTCGCGTGCCGAGGGTGATGGGGCAGGAGTACATTTTCTTGCTGGACCGTAGCGGGAGCATGCGGCTCGGGGAGGCGCCGATTGGGGCGGCGAAGCGCACGTTGGCGGTGTTGCTGAGGCTGTTGCCTGCGCACGATACGGTGTTCAACGTGATTAGCTTTGGGGATAAAGCTGATGGGTTGTGGAAAAAGAGTGTCGTTTACAATGAGGAGAATATGAACCGCGCTGTGAGTTCCCATCTCTTCTGCTACGGATCAGCCAGCTCACCATACGCAACCTAGATTGCCGAGGTTCACCTCATGGAGGCAGACTACGGTGGCACCGAGCTCGTCAGCGCTCTCAAATTCGCTTTCAAGTCGCGCGACACGTCTCGCCCCACTGCCCTATTCATCCTCACCGACGGCGGCGTACGTACGTTCTCTCGATCTCCGAATACAACTCACAACCCCTCCCCAACAGGCCTACGAACAAATGGACATCTCCCCGCCCACCGCAGCCGTCACCAAAGCCGTCCTCGCCTCCGCCCCCCACGCCCCGCTCCGCCTCTTCGCCCTCGGGATCGGCAAAGAAGTGTCCCGCGACATGTGCTTCCGCCTCGCACAGGCCGGCAACGGCGAGTGCGTCTTCGCGCGCGCGGCGGAGCACATCACGGGGCGCTGCGCGCGCCTCGTCAACGCCGGCCGCGCGCGCGCGATCGAGCGCGTCGAGGTCGACTGGATGTACGGGCTCAACGCGAGCGCGATCGGGGTCGCTGCGTCGCCCGCGGGGCTCGGCGCCGGGTCCGAGAGCGGGCGCGCGGGTCGCCACGGGCGCGGTGCGAGTGGCAGCAGGCAGGGCACGGGCACGGGCGTGAGCTTCGACCCCGTGTCGCCGGTCTCGCCGTCGTGGCAGATCGTCGGCGGGCTGGGGCGCGGTGTGCGTCTTGCGCCGCCGCCGCCGATTCAGCAGGCGCCGCACGCGATCACGCGGCTGTCGCCGGCGGCGGGTGCGCATGCGGCTGTGGCGGTTTCGGCGCTGACGACGCTGCGTGATGTGCCGAGGGATGTGCGTGTGCGTGCGCGCGTGCAGGGCGCGTTTGCGCGTCCCCCTGATGACGGCTCGTCGGGGGCGGGTGCTAAGAAGGCGGCGACGGAGGAGGTGTCGATTCTCGTGCCGGTGACGGAGGTGAAGCCGTTCAAGCATGGGCAGAAGGCGGCCTCGGGGTCATCGCAGATCGGCGCGAGCGAGGCGGATAGGGAGGCGCAGGAGGAGGACGCGCGCGCGGACGAGGTGCCATTGTTGCATGCGCTCGCAGCGCGCAAGCTCGTGTTCGAGCTCGAAGAGGAGCGCATGCCTCTGCCGGACCCGTTGGGCGCCGCGACGCCCGAGGAGATTCGCAAGGCCGCGATTGCGAGGTTGAGCGTCAGATACGGGCTCGTGAGTGAGGTGACGGCGTTTGTCTCGGACGAGGCTATCGCGCGGGGCGGGAATCGAGATCGCGATAGGGACAGGGATGGGCATGGAAGCAGTTCGGGGAGGAGACGCGCGCGCAGGCGGAGCCATTCCACTTCCACGACATCGACGACGGACGCGTACGGATATGGAGTCGGGTACGGCGCCGGGGCGGATGCAGGGAAGATGGTCGACGCGCTTTTTGGCGGCATGGCGGCCCTCGCTTCTGGTGTGTTCTGGACCGTCCTCGGGCCTTCCTCTTCTTCTCTTCCGTCTGGGTCAGCTCGCTCAAGAGGCGATTCCCTTCGTCGCGTTCCAGGTGCTTTCAATAATGCGGGCGTGGATCGGAGCGACGCGGGGTCGGCGGTCACGGCCAGTACGCGGTCGAGCGACGCGTTGTCGTCTGTTAGTGGCGGCGCGGGAAATAGATCCGGGTATCGGTCGGAGTACCGTTCAGAGTACCGCACGGAGTACCGCACGGAGTACCGAACGGAGTACCGAACGGAGTACCGCTCGGGAGCGGCGAGCGAGGGCCCGACCAGCCGAACAGGACGGCAAAACAGCGGTCGGAGGCGGGTGGACTCGACGGCCAGCTCGGGGTACGGCTCGGACAACAGCGTCAAGACCTTCACGACCATCAGCTCTCTCGAGGGCTCTTCAACGTGCACGAGCCGCAGCTGCAGCCGCACGCCGTCGCCACGTCGCAGCAGCCGCACGGCGGACTACGACCCAATGACGCGCGCGCCGTCGCCCGTGTTCGCGCCCATCTCACACGCCCCCACACACATCCGCGAGCAGTTCCTCGCGCAGCTTCCACCAAGCCCCGACTCGCGGCCGCGCAGGCTTACGAAGCCCAAACCCCCGCGCAACGACGCCGAGGCCGAGGCCGAGGCTGCCTCCGGCGTGGGCGCAGGATCGGGGATATTCGAAGGCGCGCTCCCCATTCCACCGCCGCACGACGTTCTCCCGCACCCCGCTCCCGACGCGTCTGCCGTCTCCCCCGCCCTGGGCGAGGGCTCGAGCGCGCTCTCGACGCTCGATCAGAACACGTACACGCTCCTGCACCTGCAGTCCTTCGACGGCTCGTTCGAGCCCGACCTGCGCATCGCGACGATCGTCGGCGAGCGCCCGCTGGAGCGCGGGCGGGCGCTCGTGCCCGGTGTGGGCGAGCGGGTGTGGTGTACTGTTGTGGCTGTTACGTGGTTGCAGCGCTCGCTGAGGGCGACGGGGGAGGCGGATTTGGGCGAGGCGGTGAGGAGTAAGGGTGTTGAGTGGCTCGAGGGGTGCGAGGAGGTGAGGAGTGGGGAGGAGGAGGGGGTAGAAGTGCAGGGTAGGTGGGAGCTGGAGCTGTTGTTGAGGGAGGGGGTTGAGGCGCTGGAGATGCATGAGAGTGGGAGCGAGGCGTAGAGTGATCTATCGGAGATTTGTGGAAGCTAGTTGTACTATACCAATTGGACTGATGGATATTTACTTAGAGATGCGATCTTACACTGTGATATAGCCACGTTCGAGATAAAGCATTGTTTCCAAGATTACAAGATATTACATTTCGTCGGATGTCTTTTTTCACGAGTGACTGTGCCGTGTTAAGGCACTGCGTTTCAAGGCTAGCGAGCCAGTAAGCAAGAAGAAAGAGAAGTAGCTTAGTGCAGCTTACGAACCTAGTCGATGTCATCGACATCGACATCGTGATGCGTCCAGCCTCCACAGCAGCATTTCGGCATCCCCGGAACCTTGCCGCAGCAAAACTTGAGTCTCTCCCCAGCCGCTAATATCCTCTCCAGTGTCTGGTATGGGCGCGGTGCAGGATGCGCCTCCGCGCGCATCTTGTCAAATGGAACGGGCTTGACCGGGTACAAGATCGCGTTTGCCATCTCTCCCAGGTCTACTCTTGTATTGGGGTTGAAGTCCACGGAGAGGACGTACGCGCCGGTGCCGCCGTACTCGTCGCCAAACTGCATATGGCCGAGAGGAATGAGCTGCTCGCGGTGTGTCCAGTACATCCGCTGGACGGTCATCGCGACCATGTCGCCGGGCGGGATGTCGTCCTTGTCGAGCGGGTGGACACCGACGAGCTTGAACTTTTTCTCGAGCGGGAGCTCGGCGTGGTTTTTCTGGTAGCGCAGGTAAATGCCGAAGACGTAGTGCTCGTCGGAGCCGGGGCCGTACTGGATGTAACCGTTGATGGAGAAGTTGCTGAGGGATGTCTGGTGGTATTCGGCCCAGCGCGTGAACTCGCCCCACGCGTTTGGGTTTCCGGAGATCTGGCCTGCGCGGGTGCGCGCTAAGCCCCAGAGGGTGCGACACTCGAGCTTGTGTAGCGGCCATGTTGCTTTTTGGCACTCTTTAGACTGGAATGATGAAACGAATGAGCCTTTTAGATGAAGAAAAAGAAAGAAGAGAAGAGCCGCACGCAGTATGTGTGAAGCAAGCAGCCACTGCAGCGGAGGAGCTCGCCAGTGCCGCCAGAGCAACGGCGCATCTGCCTGCAGGCTGGATTCCTGCACTGAGGATGTGTATGGAGTGGCTCAGCACAGTGAAATGCATAGGGATCTGCCTCCCCCGAGTAGAGAAAGTCCACGCTTAAGCTTGCACCCGGACGATTGCACATCTCGGACTGAGTGCTGGTAGTCAAGTCGAGAGGGAGAGAGCGACGCGTCGATGGCCCCCTGAACACGGGTTTTTACTAATCCACAAGGACCCACAACAGACAGCCTCTAAGATCGCGAATGACGAGAGGATGGCCACGGACAAGGCGAACCGCCTAACTGACAAGTACCCCAACGCCTACAGCGACTTCTATGGCAGCCGCACTCCCTGTGTCTTCAAGTCTGGCCCTCACTGGCACGTCCGCAAAGGCCCTCACCCGGGCATCGTACGTGAGCCTCGTCCAGTCTACCGTCACCCCATTGCCCGCACTTGGCTCTCTATCGGCAAGTGCATCTACGACGGCCTCGACTCCATTGGCGTACAGTGGACATCCATTAACCCCCTCGCCTACGCCGACGCGGGGGAGGCCAAGGTCTTCTGCTCTCTCATCCTCTCCATCGGTGTGAGGCCCCATTCCCTCCTCTACGACGCTGCCGTTGCTGCTGCTGCCGTCGTCAAGGAGATCCTCGCCGACGCTGGTTTCCCCACCATCGAGGTGGCCTTTGTCGAGTCGGCAGTCACTCGTTCTGTCGCCGCCGGCCCAAAGCTCCTCTCGTTCGACCCCCTCTTCAACCACGTCCCCGACCTACGAAAACCCTTCACCCCCACTCTCGGTCTCTCCATCGCACCCCTCAAGTACCCCCACTTCGAGGGCACAGCCGCTCTCTACTTCCGCCTCGGCAAAGACGACAAGCGCACCGCCATCCTGACCTGCACCCACGTCGCCCGTCCCCCTCCTGTCTACCCCAACACGGGCATAACGCGCGGGAACGCGAGCCAGGCTCGTGAGGAGTTCGTCGCGCTCGGTAACACGGGCTACAACAACGCCGTCAAGGCCATGATGAGCACCATCGACGACCTCCTCTGTTCCATCGAGGTCTGGAACGACATGCTAAGCAGGCTGGGGGAGCCCGTCGAGGGAGAGGACAGTAGGGTCACCGAGAGGCGTGAGGAGTGCATGGAGTCGGTGGCGAAAGCGATTAAGAAGATCGGGAAGGTGAACGCGATCCACGACGAGGTCATCAAGCACCGTGCCGCCCCTGATCAGCGCGTCATTGGCTTTGTGCTTCACTCTGAGAAGATTGAGGTTGAGGTCGAGCCCCACGGTTTCACCAAAGACTGGGCCCTGATCGAGCTGTACGACGAGAAGATTGATTGGCCTACGTTTAAGGGAAACAAGGTCTACGTCGGTACGTCGTTTTCCATATCTTTGCCTCCACCTCGTCTCCATCTCGTTTCATTGTCTTCAGTCTCAGCTGACTATTCCTCTTCTTTCCTCCACAGGCGGTAACTTCTCGATCCCTAACTTTGGCAACACCATGTTCCCTCATCCCGTCGATCGAGCGACCTACCGCTACCCCGAGGACGGTCTTCTCCAGGCGCATGGCGTCGTCCAAGACGACGAGATGCGCGACCCCCAGCACCTCGACGTCCACGGCGAGAAGTGCCTGCTCGTCGTGAAGAGCGGGTCAGCCACGGGGACCACCGTCGGCCGCGTCAACGGTATCGAGTCCTTCACCCGCGTCTACGACGACTACGGCATCGGGCACACCTCCGTTGAGTTCGCCGTCTTGCCCTACGACAGGATGCGCGGTAGCTTTTCCGATGCTGGCGACTCTGGGTCTGTTGTTCTCGCTAGGGATGGTCGTATCGTCGGAATCCTCACTGGCGGCGCGGGCCCTGTCGACGAGACCAACATTGCGTACCTCACACCGTACTGGTGGGTCGAGCAGCAGATCAAGGCCAGGTATCCCGGCTGCTTCCTCTATGAGGTCGTCCAGTAGGTATGTCGCATGACTCGTCGACTTTATCGTGTAGGTCCTGGGCAATCCTAGATGTTCGACCTTGGTCAGCCTTTGGACGGTAAGTATCGCATATTTCTGCATCTCGGACGTTCGCCGTGTAGCTTATATGTGTGTCGTCTTAATGTACTGTTACTATCGTCTCTCCCAATCCGTCGTTTACGTCTTGTGTGTATTTTTACTTTGAAACGAACAGTGTTCAGTTGAACCGTGACAGGGGGACGCCTTTGTGACCATTGTTGACAAGTTCGGAAGCTGAGTCGAGGGTTCTCGACTCCACGGAAAGGGGAAAGGGCATCGTTGTAGAGCGCATTGCCCAGCAGCCGGGCTTTGGTGGAGGAGGCGGCATAGAATGGAGCCGGATCGCTGTCAATATGTACACGTCCCACAACTCCTCGTCCCGGACTCGGTGTGTATTCCTTCTTAGCATAGGTCACACACGGACCAACAGCACAGGCGCTGCCGTAAATGATGGTGATCATCATGCTCGGTGGCCGCCGGGGTGTGATACCATCATAGCCTTGACACAGATGCATGACAAAGAACAATCGCCGCCTTCATCTGCTTACTTGTGCGCAGCATTGGGGCAGCAACTCATTCAACGACAGGTAGTACGACGCTCAGCAACCCCACTCAACCCCACCCGCCTACGCCCATGGAGAACAGCGACTTCGAACCATTCAAGGGCCATTCCGACAACATCATCGCGCTTGTATTCTCCCCCAACGGAACGTTTTTCGCCACCGGCTCTCGCGACCACACGATACGGATATGGGACGCAGCAACGGGTCGTCAACGTGGAGACGTGTTGCGGGGACACACAGGCTGGATTAGCGGGCTCGCCTACTCTCCTGACGGGAACCAGCTAGTCAGCTGCTCCTCTGACAAGTCTCTGCGCGTGTGGGACGCAAACACCCATCACCTGATCACGGATACGCTCGAGGGCGAAACGGGCGGCGGGGGGTTCCTGTGCGTAGATTATTCTCCAGATGACGGACTCGTTGCCAGCGGAGACACCAACGGCCTGCTGAAGCTATGGGACGTGCGAGAAGGCACCTGCACAGCGACAATCCAGCATCCGCATCGCATCAACTCTGTCGCTTTCTCGCCTGATGGTGAGAGCGTTGCGACTGCGTGCCATGATCGCATTGTCCGCATCTACGCCGTGGACGACCGCGCGCTCGTATACCATCTCGTCGGGCACCGAGCCTCCGTCCGACGCGTTCTGTACTCCCCTGACGGATCCCTCCTCGCCAGCGCCTCGCACGACCACACCGTCCACCTCTGGGACAGCCAGAAAGGAGAACTGCGCAGGATTCTCTGTGGACATAGACACTGCGTCATAGGCGTATCGTTCTCCGACACCGGCGAGCGACTTGTCAGCTCCTCGAGTGACGAGTCCGTTCGGGTTTGGGACGTTGCGTCCGGGGAATGTCTCATGGGACCGCTGTACGGGCACAGAGGGCCGGTAGCCGCAATAGCGTGTTCTCCGGACCGTGTACACTTTGCTTCATGTGGGCACGGTGGCGTGCGTGTTTGGAAGATAAGCACCGGAGACTCGGTTCTGCCAGAGGTGAGTACCGCGCAAATGCTAAAGTCAACGTGTAGTTGATCGTATTTTTTCCTAGTTTGGTACACCAGAGCGTGATGGTGGTGCTGTGAAAAGACATGAGTACGTTCTTTAATACTTTGTGTCCATAGGCTCACCGTCACTTGACCGGACAGGCTTAAGATGTTCGGTTCTGTGTCCGCAGTAGCATGGTTTTCCGACTCAAGGCACTTTGCAAGCGCAGGGAACGACTGTATCATCAGGATCTGGGACGAGCGGGCAGGGCTTGAGTTGCATATTCCTCTCGTGTGCCACAGTTCAGAAGTTAACTGCTTAGACCTCTCGAAGGACGAGAGGCTCTTGGCTAGTGCCGGAGGAGACGCCATAATCTGCCTGTGGGACGTCCAACTGAAGGTTCTCTCCTTACCGCCTCTCACCGGACATTCAGGGCCCGTGCTTGCTGTCAGGTTCACGCCCGACGGTCTGCGTCTAGCCAGTGGAGGACACGACAAAACAGTCCGCATATGGGACGTCCAATCTGGTGCTTTGCTTCGTGTCTTACAGGGGCACAACGACTGCGTCCGGGCACTCAGCGTCTCCGCTGACGGAGCTCGTCTCACAAGCGGCTCTGGCGACGGAATCCTCAATATATGGGACCTCAAATCGTACACCATCCTAGTAGATTCTCTCAATCACGGACGCGGAGTGACTTCGGTGTGTTTTGCACCGGACGGCTCGAAAGTGCTGAGCGGTTCATCGGACAACACAGTGCGCGTGTGGAATATTCCATGTGGAACTCTGGCCTTCGTCTTCCAACATGGGGGCGACGTTAACTGCGTCCAGTTCTCTGCAGAAGGGCACAAGTTCTTGAGCGCGTCTGGTGATCGTAGAGTCTGTGTTTGGGATACAGCGACCGGAGCGCTTCTGCAATCTTTGAGGCATACTGACACAGTGCTCGTGGCAGCGTTTTCTCCAAACGGAAAAAAAAATCGTCAGTGGATGTAGTAATGGCAGCATTTACTTGTGGAACTCGACCTCTGGGGAATTATTACACGCCAAGGTTGGAAGCTCCTCGTTTTTATCTCATTAAACATCGTTGAGCTAATTGTGCGTTTTGAACAGAGAGTCGTTGATATTCAATGTAGCACGGAGGTGGAATCACCTCGGATCACGGCTGTTTGTTTATAATTCCTCGAAACCAGCTTTCTTTCTTTCTAATCGCTGACTCAGGGAGAAAATCAGCCAACACCCGAGACAGCTAAAAGAAACGATTTGCTGACCCGTGCCTTTCGTCGCCTCCGGGGAAACACCTCAAACGATGTATTTATAGGAAACAGAGCAAGCAACAACGTGCCAGGGGAAACTCCCGAATTCTCACCATTCGACGTAGTCTGTTCATCCTAGTTTGTACAGCATTATACTAACCTGAAGCACTTTGTAGACTCAGGGAGAACATGACGTGCAGGTGAGCACCCGAGCTACTACGAAGCCTGCTCATTCACGGCCTTGGATTTAATAGACGCTTAACGTTCATGCTACGGAAGCTCACACTGTCTCACGCGGAGATACACAGGTAGCTTATTCGTAAATGGACTCGTTCGGTGTATTTCACATCCGCTACAGGTTTCTCAAATAGTACCCTTCAAAGGAGACCTGGAAAATGAACGAGATACAAGTGGCGACAAGGGTCAGCCTAGTAACTCAAGTCCATCGGTGATTTCCCGTTATTACCTTGCCACACCCCTGGATCGCTTACGAGTAGTCATTGAAGCTTCGTGGCAGTCTTGAAAGTTTCATGAACGTATGTCATGGTAGTCCTATATAATTCCCCCACTCATGTTGATCTTGAAACAAACAGAGACCTGCAATCGTTACTAACATCCAAAACCGATACCTTTTTGACGATACCGATAATGTGAGCTCTTCCTCGAACGAGATTACTTGACGTATTCTTAATATAACGACATGGCGAAGAGCTCTGAGCGCCTTCAGCCTCTGTTAGAACCATTGCAAGAAAGCCCGAGCACACGAGGAAAATTCACCGCTACTGTAACGCGTTCTTTAATACACAATGCTTTTCCCTGAACGTCGTTTCAGCGGCATGAAAAGGAGATGTCTAAACCCATCACCGCCCGAAATCAGTGGTTCAATGTGGCCAGTGTGTTCAGGAAAGCTATAGTGAGCGCATACTATAGCATGACCCCATTTTATGCGTTATAGACTTGGTGCGATTAACCCATATGTATTGACAGGGTCGACTCTCAAAGTTTCGCGATGACCATACCAGGGGAGGGCAAGATGACGAAGCTGAAACACAGTCTTATCCCATGGAAACTTTTGCCCGCCAAGGATGGCGCCGTCCAACATTTATTTCACCTGCGTACGGTGTCCAGGTGCGGTTGGTTCCAGAAGCATGCTGAGGACCGTCTGACCCTTTTTAATTGTACTAGCGGATCATGGCGAGCGGAGATATAGCTGGTAGGCTTCCTGGTGGAGACACCGTCGCCGCCGACTTCGATGTGTCCCCCGACAGCTCGGACACAGCGAGCTTGGAAGAGCGTTACCCTCTGTGGGCGGAGTGGTTTTGTTTTTGTAACTTCGCTTGCCGTAAGTCGGAGGATGGTTCCTCATAGCGACAAGAGGGAGTCGGCTTCCATTCAGTTTAGTAGTCAATCTTCAATCTTGAGGTAAGATCGATGATCATTCATATGTAGCTGGATGACAAGTTGAAATGGGGTAATGCGTCGGGTAGAGATTGCTTCTGCATGCTGGTAGCCAATCGAGCTTGCATGCATCAGCTTAGATAGTCCACAGATAGAATACATACAACAAAATGTAAGGTATACCGAAATCCATCTGATCAAATCTCAGACACTACAACAAAGGAGGGGAAGGGACACCAGTCAATCAGGCCCAGGCGTCGAGAGTCGAGACGGAGCTCCAAAATAACGAGTGAGCAAGACAACATACAAGGGACGGGGCGCGAACAAGACAACAAGACAACAAGAATAAGAATAAGAACGAAAAGAAGAGCACTATGGTGGGAACGCATCACCATCTTCGCGTTCGACATCAGCAAAGTGGCACGGTCGCCAGACGACCGAGAGGGTGGGTATCGAGAGCGTCCGATGGCGCGGAGGCCAGCGGTTCGAGCGGATGCGCGAGCGCATGTTCGTGACGATGCGTGCCGCGCGTTTCTGCGGTGTGTCATACACAATGAGTCCCCCGCGCAAGCAGCAGGATGAAGAGAGAAGGGCGGCTCACGGTGAGATCTGCGCGCAGGGACCCCAGAAACGAGGTCCGGGACTGCGAACGCGCTTCGGCGGGGTCGTCCTGGGTGTACACGGATCCGTAGGGGTGTGTATGCACGGTTTCGCGGCTGCGGTTGCGGCCGTGCTCGGACCCGGGCCATTGGGTTTTGGCGGTGGTGGCGGTGGTGGTGTGGGGGAGGCCCGTTTTCGTTCCAAAGGGGAAGTGGACGAGGTTGGACGGCGGCGTGCCGGCGAGCGTCGTGTTTTGGCTGTCCGTGCCTGTGGCCGTGCCCGTGCCCGAGTCGGACTGGGGCTGGGGGTGGGAGTGAAGGCCTGGTTGGGACTGGGAGCCTGGTAATGGTCGATTGGGCTGGAGTGGCTGGTTGAACCAGGTTAGGGAGTCGACGGACATGCGCTATGGGGGTCATCGAGAAAGGGCAGTGGTTGTCAGCAATGAGGAGGGAAGAGTTTGTCACAGATGAGGGGAGGAAGGCGTACTCACCGGTGCAAAACTGCGTCCCTGCTCTAGCCCAGCATTTCTAGCACTGCGATCCCTAACGCTACGATGCCGGTTCTCGCAATTAGATCCATACGTATCGTACTGAGAGTAGTAAGAGAAGATTGTGAGCACACGTGGAAACCACGAGCGAGCAAGATGTTACTGACATTGGCATGGATGTAGCCGGCGGAACCACTGTAGGGGTGGTACATCCCCCACGGCGTCGTTGTTATGGTTCAACTCTTCCCGCGTCCTTTTTGCGAGGATAATGTGGATTTGACCTCCCTGGTGCCTCCTTCGCAGACAGTGGCCACGTCCCACGGGAGCGTCCTTGAGATACAAGATGGAAGTAAAGCAAGGAGAGGGAGATAGACGGCTATGAGCCGTGTGGGCTCTGAGACAAGCAGCAACAAGCGCCGAAATGCGTCGTGGGGGACCTTGAGAACTCTCGAAGGAACCTTATCAGGCGCAAGGGGGTCGGCGGACCACTGGGCGACGGAAGTTCGGAAGACGACGTCCACATGCTTAATCAAAACGAGCTGGATTGGGGGCGTTTGATGAGCATTTGATACATCTCGAGGCGCTTGTAGGCCGAAATCAAGGCGTAAAACAGATGCGACAGTCCGCGGGCCGTTGTACCTAGTGGAGGAGGGTGTGGACTCGAAGTGGACAAATGGTCGCTGTAGAGCCTTCCAATTGGCTGATCGTGGTGGAGGGTGAGAATGGGGCAGGGCAGGGCAAGGCGGTGGCAGGGCGGCATCATGGGAAATTGGACGAGGACAAGGAGGCTCAGCGCTCATCACGAACGCATAGTCTCGGACTCTGTATCGATGTTCCGTCTGTCAGCCAGCACTCATGGTCCTGAAACCAGACCTTACTTGGCTTTACACCCAAGCTGTGATGCTCTTGTGCTCAAACATAGTCGATGTTGCAAATTACAGCCTAGGTGGATTGATCGGACACTGCTGACTCTGTGTAACTTCCTATTCCCGGCCCCAAACTCCATCAAATTCACAACGTGGACTCGAGGTGTACTTCTGTTCAGAGTTCACCTCAAGCTTGCATGGCGATGCCCTGAAGTGATACACCCCTCGACATCAACCCGTTTCAGTCAAGCAATCTCTCGCAAAAGATCATAACTATCATTGAACGTTCTTTGAGATGCAGCAGCTAAATATAACGACAGAAGGTCATATAGACCTTCTTTCCGTTTCAATAAACAAGATGGTACGATACAAACACAGCGATAGGGATGGGTGTGATGATGACAATATCTAGCTCTGATGGCCGTGGCCAGTCTTAGATCCGGACTCCCCGAAGTCGACCACGAGCGTTACGCCGGGAGTGAAAGGACGATGCATCCGCCCCCTTGTACTGTTCTGCATCGCTCGAATGCGGTGACGTTGATCGTGGCCTTGTTCTCTGGGCTCGACGTCGAGGATTTGTTCTCCCACTGGCAAGTCCTTGTCATACTCGTCGCCTGTGATCCAGCGACAGTGCCAGTCGTTACCGCTGGATGCCAGATTGCGGGTCATCATGAGACGCGGCGGGCCTGGATGTTTTGAGTGTGTTATCTCATATATTTTGTCTTTGATACAAGAGGGTGTGTTTGAAGCGATGTGTGGGTGCTCAACAAGTCGAGGCTCGCAAGACTGAAGTTGAGACATGTTGTTCAGAACGGCGCGCGAGGTGACGCAGAGAGGTTTTACGGAGGAGAGACGTCGAAAATGCACACCGAAGAAGAACATACCCTGGTTTTATCCCTTTACATGACAAAAAAGAACAAAAGGCATCGCGCGGGGTCCATAACAAGGTTCAAGCGTCGCCATCCCGCATCGCATACAACCATGTAGCGGATTCAGAGCGTCGAATTTGAGCGCATTGACCCTCTAGAAACCAATGTTAGTCATTTGCGACAAACGGTAGCTGCATGAAACTGGGAACGGCCCCGGTCCATGCACTTTGTTGCCTAGTTCCGAGCGGACCCGGCTATCCACGGGCGAGGAAACGGCCTGACAGAAACGGGGGAGCATAGAAGGAGGCGCAACGAGATCAAGGGCAAGCATGCTTTGTGTCGTCTGTGTGGCTGGGACAGTGTATGTTCGGTACGGGGAGCACTAGAGTGACACGGTCGGTGGCAACAACAAAGCGTTGTGCACGCGCAGGCTGGGGTTGTCGCTTGGCATCCGTGGGAACATTTAGGGCATTTCCCGAAAGAAACCCCTGTCCTATGTCCTTGTCTAATGGAGGTGTCCAAGTCCTGCATGACTCTGGCTCTAGGGAGTCGCCGTTCCTACTACTCCTGCTTACATATCAATAGAGAAGGGGTACGACTAATGTTCGTCCTTTTATCTCGCAATTAATCGTCGCTGGCTCGGACCATCGTGAAACAGCAGACTATCGCCTTTTGCTACGTCAACACAACCATGACCAAAATCGCTCCCATTAATTAAAGTATGTGCTAAGTATTCACAACAGTATCGGGCTATCTGAGTATCAGCCATCGTACATGTCGAATGCAGACCTCAGGGCTTCCGGACAGCATTGTAGATCAGCCTCCACTTTTTCATCTTGTGATCCGGCACGAAGTACGCACCACCCCACGTCGTCTGGTACCTGGGACGGTCACCAAGCTGGTGATACGGGTTCTCTTGCTTCAGTATCTCATGCCTGTGCCTACCAGCGGCCTCCAGCACGCGGCGAATCGTCACCTCTTTAACCTTGATTGGCTTCTTTTCCGACATCAGAAAGATCTCGATGTTCATCACGTCATATTCCTCCCTTACCCTGTTAAGAAATCCAAAGGCAGGGAGACCGAGAGTGTGGTTGCTGAGAGGGCCGCTTTTCTCGCTCAATATTCCGGAATGCTTATCCGTGTCCTTCCAGACGAGCTGGGCCGTGTGCAGTTGAGTGTCATCGTCCCACCTGAGTTTAGCAGCATTCGGCCACATGTCACATGGCACAGCGATAATCGAGAGCAGTAGAGGGACTGGGGTGAGGTCTCCTTTGGAAGGGTCCGGACGAGCATTGGAGAGCGGGTCGATGTCAAGATTGTGCTGGCCCCAATAGTAGAGCTGGTCAATGTCATTCGGAGGTGGAATAGTGAAAAGATCCTTGTTACTGTTGAATACGGGAATGCTTTCCTCGTATCTCATAGTGAGCAAGTTCGAGAAGGGAGGCAGATTTGTGGTTCGAGGATCCATGACGGCGAGTGCAAGTTGAGGGAGAGAATTCTAGGTGTACGAGGCAAGGGATGTTGAAGTGTAGACTCTCGGAATGTCACCGAGGTATTTGTACCTTCGACCCACTCGTCAAAGTGCAACGGTATGAGAGCCGAAGTGCATCAAAGCAAGCGCGTAATCTACCAAAGCGTCAAGATTTGAGTCGTTTGACTTGCGACACTGAATAAGGGCCGAAGCAAAACAAGAGCACGCCAAATCAAAGCAGCCGAACCGAAAAATGACAGGCTGAATAGCGCTTTTGTTGGAGAGTATACACGTGAGCATTGGTCAAAGCAAAAGCGACACGACACCGGCACTCCATCAAAATGGTATCAGCAAGAAAATATCATTGCATACTTAAACGATCAAGATAGCAAAAAAGGTGACATACGGTCTTTATTATCATACAGTACATGCTATCTTCAAAAAAAAGACGCCCGAATAAATCTACATAGCACATGTGTGAGTAGCATAAGTATTGTAGGATGTTGAATAATTGCGATATCGTGAGTTTTGAGCATAAGAAAAGGCCGTCACCAAAGGCATATAAAGGAATTGAAGAACTATGTTGATATGATAGTGAAGTGCGTAGTAGCTAGTACCACCAGAGCGTAGTAGAGCTTAGGATTGTGAAGCGCTGTCGACTATTTCAGTACGTTCAATTTCCTTGTCAAATTTCAAGCACTTAGCCGTCTGACGGCATCTCATCAGAAAATGGGATTTCTGCGCAAGCGAGAAGGACTCACAGGCTGCAAGCCGAATGCAATTACCCTTCTATCGCTCCTGTCACGCGTCAACGCGTTTGTGGGTACACCCACAGTGTTTTCAGCTTCGAGTTCGGGAGGCTGGAAGCGCGACCGGACCTTTGTATTGAACAACAGAAGGCGGGTCTCGTCTTTCTGTTTTCGATTGTTGAGAATGACTAGAAGCGAGTTGCAGTAGACCTTTGAGCCGACGATGACTGGCACAGCATAATAGTGCTTTTGTTTGAAGCCGACCAGAAGACTGAAGAAAAGTAGCCACATGATGGCTTTTACAAATCAGACAAGGGAACGTACAGATTGAAGGTCAAGTCAAGAGGCTCAGGTCGCTTACCTGATGCCATTCCGGTCTCCACAATGACCTTTACCAATCCATCAATGAGCTTGTCCGTTTTCCTGACACCGGTGCGTCTCCTCGATAGCTGGCTTCTTTGAGCTTGGTGTTTTGACCGAGCAATATGAATAACGTACATGATATGTCATGAGACCAAAAATTACAATGTCGCAGACCGCCATTGCAACCGACCAAAGCTAACGGATCGATGACATGAGCATATCACTAACATATTTTCAGCGCTTGATAAGACGCACGGTTATGGTATTTAGGACATCACTTGGGACCTTCGTGTTGTCGCTGGAATCATCTGTGTCCGCCCTTATACCGCTAACTGTAGCTGTGGAAAACTGAAGCAGAGAAAGCTAGATAATACTGAGAAATAATTGTGTATAGAACAGGCTTGTGGACTTACCAACACAACTAGCGTAGTCTGAGAAACGGAGCCGCTGACGATGTAGATACGCCAGGCATAGGAACACTCGACAATTGCCCCAACTCGACAAAACATTAGCTTCACCTTGATATCTCACAGTGGGCACAAACCAATCATAAAACTCACTGAGTGATGGTAGGATGATTTCCGATAGGAACTCTGTGTAAAGGAGGAACACAGCATCAGAGCATCCCCAGCCAGAGACGAGGATCCCAAAGGCATCGCGGGAGGAGGTAATCATCTGGACTGTCTCGGCTGTGAATGCAGAGTACACAGTGGTTCGCACTATGTACGAGTCCGAGAAAGGAGAAACATGGTACTTGTCTGGAAAACGTCAGCCAACTCGATTGTGAAACATAGGAAGTGGATGTCGGCTCACATAGTTGCACCATTAGAACCCCGTACAGAATCCAATTGAGTGCATTGCCTCTGAACTTGACACTGACATTTAGTTTCACGGATCATCACGATGTGCACCAGAAAGGGCATACATGGGGTATTAGCCTATACACAGTTAGCTAGAAAACAGTGGGTCGAATGTGTGAAGCTCACATTTCAAGAATATTGGATGGTATGTTACACTGGAATGCCATAACTGAAGCGGGGGGAGGGAGATTGCTTGAACCGAGAAGATGGATGCATTATATGGCTATATTTTAGCGCCTTTACCACCAACACATGCTATATATGAGATGTAGATCTGCGGAGCCGACGGATGTCAACGCTGTGGTTTCAGCGATGTTTAGAGGAAACTGTATTCCTCGGTTGGCGTGCGCCTATCATGAACTTGGTCAGCGGGGCATCGCCTTCATGTGACAGACAGTTCGACAGAAAGATTGATTGAAGGTTACAAGTGCACTACTTCTGGAGCTCCCCCGCAAATTTGATGGTATGAGAGGCTCTGCCATCAGCGCCACACAAGTAAGCACTGATGATAGGCATATCTTGTTCCCTAAGTCTTGCTGAAGGACCTACACTTACGAATACGATCAATGTATCTTTCAACCCTTTCCTTTGGTTAGTTTAGAGATCCCTTTGAGTGTATTTATTGTCAGCTGTCTCTAATGATGTGAGACGATAGGGATCAGGCTTGAGGAAAGATACTAGCATCAAGATGGGGAAGCAATATCACTCACAGCGTTAATATTTGGGGTTCAACTCAAGAGTTTGATGAATCAAAGATGCGGATTGCGGCGGGGTCATCTGGCAGCAGAAGCCTGCTGGATCATGAGCACAGAGTGGTTTGGACGCATCCGCCTGTAAATTTGAGCACAAAGCACGTCCAGAACCGGCTCCAAGTCCTGAGCGCGTCATCGGACTATCATCGGCAAATCGGTCGCCTGATGAAGTTTCGTTACACGTGATTTCTGTCGGACGCTTACAAAGTGGGGCGACGCGTCTCTTTGACAGGACGGTCATTTGAAGAGGCAGGTGAGGGCCTACAAGTTGTGTAAACCAACATTGACTTCAATTATGCTCATATAGCAGTGTGGTGTTGAACGATGTCTCTTTCTTCTGACATCCAACTTCCTCCAAGTCTCTTGATCGGAACACCGGCAGAGCAGGTGTCCAAGATAGATCTGTACACGCGCCAGCTTCGATGTTACCGCAACTCCCTCCTGTGGGTCTGCAGGTTCCCACCAGAAACTCTGGGACACATCTTCGTTAGATATGTTGAACCAGATCACGCGTTGGAGAAGCTAAAGACCGTCACCAGCGTTTGCCAACATTGGCGCGACGTTGCTCTCAATACTCCACGGCTGTGGGCTACCATTGTCTTTCATGGCGACCACGATGTTTCTCGGGCAGAACTTTGGATGGAGCGAGCTCGCGGTATGCCTATCGAATGGCGCACGTCTGACAACGTTCGCCTGAAAGAGACATCCGAATCATTCAAGCTCATAGAGAAACTGCTTCGACAGCCAGCTCGAATACATCACCTTGAGCTCCCACTATCGTCTATCTGGAACGGCGAGATCATGTTCGCTGATACCCTGGGTGCATCTAATGCCGCCCCACTCCTTCATACCCTACATCTCTCTTATCATGGCTTCGAATTCGATTCTTTCATCCCCCACACGCCGTTCGGTGGAAACACTCCTAATCTACGCAATCTATCGCTATACCGCTGTGCTATTCCATGGACATCGCCCATCTTTTCTCAGCTACAGTCTTTGACTCTCAGCTCTCTTCCTCACCCGATAACACCTACAGGCCAAGAACTTCTCGATCTTCTCCGTGTCACGACTTCTTTGCAGGAACTACGGCTTCACTGGAGCCTCCCTCAAACTCCCATAAGCCACTCGACATGGACGTCCGACAACTCCATCGAGCTTCCGTTCCTGCGCCACCTCTCCCTATCTAAAGGCTCGTTCGACGGATACAGCTTCCTCCTGCGAAACGTCCAGTTCCCTCCGAGCACCCACATCCAGCTGTCGGGCATCACGCTGGACCGCCCGCTCGGCGAGACGACGCTGCTGCCCCCGAAGGTATTCAACATACCCCAGTTCACGTCGCCCATCACTCTCCAGGTCGGATGGCTGGACACGTTCCACGTGCAGCTGCACACGCACCGCTGCCCGCGCCCGTTCTTCTCCGACCCCTCCAGCAATGTGATCCCGCAGTGCACCGGTCCCGGTAGTATTGGTGGCACCGCCAACGAGCCCAGTTGGCCGTGCCGCATCCGGCTCGACGCGTCCTTCGCGCTGGACTATCTCCCCCCTGGCCAGGGCCTCTCGTTCGAGCCGCGCCTCGCCGCGCTGCTGTGCCGCGGCGTCCCGTTCGCGGTGTACAATATCGCGACGCTGTGCGTGTACACGCCGACGGAGGAGGCGGGCAGCGAGCGCGCGGTCGCGTGGGCGGAGCTGTTTGCGTGCGTGCCGCAGGTGCGCAGGCTGGATGTGACGTTTCGGACGAGGTTTTTGAAGGATGTGTTGCGTGCGCTGGAGCCGGGTGGGGAGGAGGACGGGCCGGGGGATGGGGTGGGCGCGGGGACGGGGACGGGGACGGTGCTGCTGCGGGGGCTGGAGGAGGTGCATCTGAGGCCGCATAGGCACGATGCGTATCCTGTGCAGGATTGTGCGCGGGTGTTAAGGGCGCGACAGGAGGCGGGGGCGATGGTGCAGCGGCTGGTGATAGAGCAGCATCAGGAGATGGCGCAGAGGGACAAACGCGATCTGGAGAGGGTCGTTGGAGAGGTTATATGTGGGTAGCTAGTGTTTATCTGGATGCCGTGCTGACTGCACCTTAGACGCCCATGCGCCGGACGAAAGAATTCTAGCGTGGCTCGATTGGCAGACGGGGTTCCAGTCCGCGGTGCATGACCATGACCAGTACTAGTGAAGAATAACATCTATTTATTTCATCAAGTCCTAAAGATAGTACACAAAGCCTAGCTAAATCGTCAAGAAAAGTTCACACCACATCACATCGCCGCAGTCGCATTCCCTGGCTGCGGGAAATACGTGAGCTGATACGCGTCCCCGGTGAGCGTGAACTGCGCCGTCAGCTCGCGCGTCGTGTCGAGCGCGAGCTCGTACGCGCCAGGGTACAGCCAGAAGTTGCCGTACGCGTCCGCGCGCGCGATCTGGTTCAGGACGACGTCGAACGTCGCGGTCTGGGCTGCGCCGGCGGCGACGCTGTGCAGGCGCGTATACGCGGCGAGCGCCTTGTTCGGGTACGGCGCGGGGCCGTACGTGCCGTTCACGAAGAGGAGCGCGCTGTAGTCGGACGTGACCGCGCCCGCGTTCGTTACCGCGACGCTGAGCGTGTCGAACGGCGCGAGGTCGATGTGTGCGGCGCCCGATGCGGCGGAGACGAGCGTCTGGATGTTGTATGTGCTCGCGGGCGCCTTTGTCCATGTGTATGTGAAGTTGGTGTAGTGCAGCCCGTAGCCGAACTCGTACACGGGTGCGCCGGTGTACCATTTGTATGTCCGTCCGGGGCTTGTCGTGCCGTTTGCGTTCGGGCGGAGGTTCATGTCCGTCATCGGGATCTCGTAGACGTAGTCTGCGGGGTACTGGGTGGTCACGAGGCGCCCGGCGGGTGCGACTTTGCCGCTGATGATGTCGAAGAGGGCCTGGCCACCGCTCTGGCCTGGGTAGCCGGCCCAGATGAGGGAGTTGACCTTGCGGCAATTTAGTTAGATGTACATGATGTGAAGGCGTGGTTATGAACTTACCGACGCGTTCGCCTTAATCTCGGTATCGTCCACCTGTCCTCCGCCAAACTGCGCGACCACAAACGGCTTGCCGAGCGCGGCGAGCTCGCCAATGAGCTGCAGCTGGTTTCCGGGCCAAGTGACATTATACCTATCCATCGCCTCCGCCTCGACCGTCACGTCAATCCCGCCTGCATACACCACCGCGTCCGCCTCGCGCGCCGCTGCAATCGCCGCTGCAAAGCCCGCGGTCGAGTTGCTCGTGATGTTCGTGCCGAACACGTACGTGACGTTGTAGCCCGCGGCGAGCGCGCCCTGGAGCGGGCTGACGAGGTAGGGCGCGACGCCGAAGTAGTTGCCCTGCATCTGGTTCGTCGCGTTCGCCCAGGGCCCGATGAGCGCGATGTTCTTGAGCGTGCTGGGGAGGGGGAGCGTGCCGTCGTTTTTGAGGAGGGTGATGCCTTCGGTGGCGGCGGTGTAGGCGAGCTGTTGGGCGTAGGGCGTGTCGACGTTGGACCAGCCGTATTGGCGGTAGGGCTGTTGGGCGGCGGGGTCGAAGTAGCCTAGTCTGTGTGGTGCTGTTAGTTAGAGGTGGGGTGGGGTGGTTAGAGGGATTGCTGACCTGACGAGCGACGCGTACTGGCGCGTCAGGGCGGCGCGGAGCTCGGTCTCTGTGATCAGGGACTGGTTGTATGCGAGTGGGAGGTACTCGGTGTAGAACGTGCCGCAGTCGAGGTCGGTTCCGGCCCTCAGCGCGTCGGCGGCAGCTTGTTGAGGAAGGGCGGTGTAGTTGTGAGGGTTGTAGATGTCTAGGTATAACGTCAGATTCGTTCAGTCCACAAATGGAGTACGCGACGTACTCTCAACGGCGTCGCAGTCGCTGGTGACTATTTGGGCATGTCAGATATGTGTTCCTTCTTTGTGTTATGGAAAGCTGGACTCACCCCAACGCGTCTCGTCAAAGTTCCAATAGTCTCTCAGGATGTCTTGAAGGAGGTAGGTGTCAGCACATGTAGGGATGCCATTGACAGCATTGTATGAACACCTAAAAGCACGGCACCGATCAGCAGACGCAATGACCAGAGTCGCGTGAACCTACATCGACGCCCCGGCCTGTGCGTCACGGTAGCAACTCTGGAACGAAGGCAAATAGAACTCGCTCAAATCCTGAGTGGTGATGAGCGCATCAAAGCCGTATCGGAAGTTATTCTCCCAGTCCTCGAGATCGTACCCCGCAAAGTGCTTGCACGTCGCGACGACCTGGAAGTACGGCTCGGGATTGACGCCGCCCTGCAGGCCCTGGATGAGGTTGTACACGTATTGGGCGATGTGGTACGGGTCCTCGCCGGGCGTCTCCTGGCCGCGGCCCCAGCGCGGGTCCTTGAACGGGTTGATGTTGGGCGTCCAGAAGTCGAGGCCGGCGTGGCCGTAGTTGTTGAACGAGCGGCCCTCCATGCCGACGACGCCGCCGACGGCTTTGATGAGGGCGTCGTCGAACGCGGCGGACATGACGATGGGCTGCGGGAAGGAGGTAGCGTAGCTGAAGGGGCCGGAGGTGGAGAAGTTGACGCCCGGGCTGTCTGCGACGCCGTGCTGCATTTGGGTGCTTAGCTGGCTGCTTTGGAGTGGAATTGAAGAAGGCTCTTACCAGACCTTCTGACCACCACTGGTACGCGGGAAGACCGAGACGGGGGACACCCGGTGAACCGTTGACGGTGTTGTTGATCAGCTCCTCGACGGTGAAGAGCTCGACGAGGGCGGCGGCGCGCTGTGTCGCGTTGAGAGACGTGTCGCAGACAGAGTTGTTCACGAGCGGGGCGGCAGTACAATCGGGGAAGGCATAGGCCGACACCTGGGGCGCCGCAAGGGCGGCTGCGAGCAGAACCGCGTCTGACCGCTTCATGATGATGATGATGAGAGTGAAGAGCGTGCGGACAATGCATGAGAGCAGAAGGCTCTACCTTTTATACGCGAGGTATACTCGTTTGCCGCGCGGGTATACGGATTCTTGAAATTGGGGACTAATAATATCAGAAAGCGTCGAGCGAATCCGGGGAAGGAAAACGAGCTCACGGGGGCGTCGCGGCAAATCGGTCCGTCAATGAATTGTTAAGATGAGCGTCCGTGAGTACATTCTGCATCATATGGTGAGTCAGGTGAGAGCATGTACAATGAAGATGGATTCTAGCCGTACCTGGCTGAAGCTCGGGAAGAAACTAGAGATCATTGACGGTGAGGGGAAATGGCACTCGCTGTAAACACCTGTTGCATGAGACTCGTACGTTGTCGACGAGAGTCACCAGCCTGTTCGTCGCGCTGAAGGGGTTAATGGAAGAGAGTGATTCACGTGTGGAGTGGTGATGGTGTTGCGCCATGAGAAGGTTGAAGCGCGCGGTCGGAAGCAAGTCGGAGTGTCAGACCGGTGAGGCTGCTTTGATGATCCATGAATTGGGAGAAATAAACATCGGAGAAATCACCAACGTGTAGGTCGAAAGCTGAATACAGGGGCTTGTCCAAATACAGCACAATTTTGTGGACACGTGACCAAGGTCAACCGCGTCCTCCCGCGTCGTCCATCTCCTCTTTCTCTCCACCATCCACACCATCGTCGACCACAAACGCGACGTCCTCAACCTCAGCCTCAAGATGGACCCTACGGAAATCGGCAAGTATGGAACGTTACGACTCATCAAACGCTCGGATCCCACAGTCTCAGTCGCCTCCTTCCCCATCGACGAAGAGACCGTCACCTTTGGTCGTGACACAAAGTGTAGCGTTAGGCTGTACTACCCCACTGTAAGCTTAGTTCACGCAAAACTCATATTCCAAGACCGAAAAGTACGTCTCTCTTTTCAAGTCTCATCACAACGTACTCAAGTGGCGCAGGCGTTTCTTATCGTTCTAGGCGAAAATGGTCTCCACATCGACGGCTGCCAGGTCTTTCCCTCCAGCAACCCCTCCCTCCCATCCACCATACCCGTTTCCAACAACTCTGAAATTGAGATCCACAAGAAGCGCTTTGTCTTCACCTACCCGCCCAAGGAGTTCCGCACAGCCCTGTACGAGTCGCCACAAAAGAACGCGCAAATGACCCCGGGCACGCGTCGAAAGGCGCTCCGCATGTCCATGATCAACAGCGCCGTTGTATTTACCCCACGCCCGAGCAACGACCCACGCGAGAACCTCCGCATTCTCCAGACTCCGCTCAAGTCTCCCCTCAAGAAGCCCGCATACAGCGCACGGGATATCGAGGAAGAGCAGGACGAGGGGGACGACATCGTCCTCGTCGAGGGGAACCATCCCCAGGTTGTCGAAGAAGAGAAGGACCTCATTGTGCTCGAGTCTGTCGAGGTCGAGGAGGAGCCGGAGCCTGTCCAGCCCCAGCGTAGCCCCGCCAAGCTTCTCTCGGCGCGGTACACGCAGCAGTACCAGACCCCTCGCAAGCGCCCTGGCTCGCGGCCTTCGCTGCATCGCGCTGTTCTCATCCGGTCGGCGCAGAAAGCGTTCATGAAACACGAGGAAGAGCGTGAGGAAGAAGAGGAGGAACGGGAAGTGGAGGAGTTCGTCGCCGAGACTGTTGAAGAGGTCCCCGAGGAAGACGAGGAAGATGATGAAGAAGCAGAAGGTCCGCAGGAGGATGAGGAGAACCCGATGGGGCCTTCAGCACCTTCTAGTCCATGGCGGAAGAGTCTTGACTTTGCACGCTCACTCGCTTGGCCGTTCCGCTCGTCATCTGCTCAGCCGGAAGTCGAGGAGGAACAAGACGAAGAAGTGGAAGAGGATGACGAAGAAGAGGAGCAGGAGCAGGAGCAGGAGCAGGAGGAAGCCGAGTACGACGAAGACGACGAGCAAGAGAATGAAGTGGATGGCGAGGTACGTGCTCAGTCACACCTACGTCCACGGCTTAAACTCTTACACATGGCTTTTCTAGGAGATGGACGTCGACGAACACGTGGATGACGACCTTCCGGATGAACACGATCTCGCACCCGAAGACCCCGAAGTCAAAGAAGAAGACGACGAAAACGTCCCACCGCTCCCTGCGCCAACGAAGAGCGCGGCCAGTGGCACCCCGATACGCTCTCGCCTCCTCGGCCAGTTCATGACCCCGCAAGTCCACGCCGCGGGTGGCCGCGGCCGCGGTGCCGGCCGAAACTCGTATGGCGGTGGCGGTTTCATTCATACTCCGGCTGGGATGGGAAGTACCGGGGGAGCGCGGAGGGTGCGGGTGGAGCCGTCGTGGAAGGTGTCGGATCTGGTTGTGCCTGTTCCGCACGAGCGCGAGGTGCTGGAGGAGGAGCAGGGTGGGGAGGAAGCGGGCGAGGAAGAGGAGGAAGAGGAAGAAGATGCGCCTGCTTCGTATGTCCCGCCGCTGAGGCAGCGGATCAGTGATGAGGAGCGCAAGGTTTGTTTTCGTTGTTTGCATTTAGCACATGTTCACTGGCTAATGTATCGTGCCAGGCCATTCAAGAACGACGCAGATCTGCGCTCGCAATGCCCGACCCTTACTTCGGTGGGCGCACGCCCGGGCTCGGTCCCGAGGGCCTCGTGGGCGGAGGCGGAACACCCGTGGCCTCGCCTGTCAAGCGCGAGTCTGTTCGCGTGAGCATGTCTCCGTCCAAGGCGATGGCGACGTTCCGAGAGGAGAACAGTGTCGGCGACGAGGAGGGGGACACGCGCTCGCTGCTCGACCGCATGAAGCGCACCGTCGAGGACATGAAGCGGCGGCGGAGCAGTATTGGCTTGCCCATGTCTGTCGTCAGCGATGGCGAGCATGATGATGCGGAACGTGAAGATGAGGATATGGAGGAAGGTCAAGATGAGGACGAGGACGAGGCACAAGCGGTGCCCGAGTCTAGCTTGGACATTGAACCGTCCAGCGATGCTGCCCCCGCAGGTGAAATGGCAGCGCCCCCGACACCGCATCTCGATCTCAAACACATGTTCGCGCAGCCCAAGGGCGTGCAGAGCACCCCCGCCGTCAAGAGCCTGCGGGACCTGTTCAAGCCGTCCACCGAGCACGCGCACGCCGCCGAGGTCGGGGAGACGCCGCGCATGGACTCGCTGCGCCACATGTTCAGCAACGTGGAGCGCGAGGACGCGCGCAGCACGCCCCGGATGGACGGGCTGCGTCATATGTTCCCCAATGAAGAGCGTTTGGGCGGGGTGGGCGGTACGCCGGCGTACGAGGGTGTGGGTGAGATGTTCGGGACGCCTGTTGCTGCTGGCCCTGCTCCTGTGACTGAGGAAGAGGCTGTGCGTGAGCCTGAGGTGTCTGCGCCGGCTCCGCGTCCTGTTGCTAGTCGGCTCCGGGCACCGACTGCGACGCGGCCTAAGGCGGTGCGGGTTTCTGCTGAGCCTGTGGCTGCGAAACCGGCGTCGAAAGATGCGGCGGAGGTGCGTCCGCGGGCGAGGCTGTTGAAGGCGCAGCCAAAGGAGGTTCCTACTATTTTGGAGGTGTGTCGTTAGCAAGTGTATTTTGATTGGGCGCTGATTTTGTTGCAGAGTGACGATGATGAGGAGGAGGACGGTGCCGAGGCTACGGGCGCGACGGCTACGCGTTCGACGCGCGCGAGGGGCGTCAAGGCGCCTGCGACTGAGGTGTGCCCTTTGCCTTGGTTTATCCAGCCCATTCCATTGACAATGGTACACAAGCAGACAAAGACGACGAGGACTACCAGGAAGCGATCGGCGACTCCTGTCTCAGGGCCTGCGGAGACAAGGACGGCGCGCAGCGAGCCTGGCAAGCGTACAACGGCTGGCACCGCCTCTAAGACGGCTGCTGCCTCTAGGACGGCTGCTGCCTCTAAGGCGGCGGCAACAGAGTCCAAGGGCATGCGCCGTGGGCGCGCTACACCACAGCCTGGGGACGCTTCCAAGTCGAAAGCTACGACCGCGGCGAGAAGCCGGTCTACAGCCAGGTCAAAGTCGAGAGAACGCGGCCGTAAGACGGACGATGACCACGATGGCGAGGACGATGACGACGAAGACGACCCGCTCGATGCTATTGGGGGAGACGACGACATCGATGAGGGAGACGCGAAGCCCAAGTCGAAAGCCAAGGCTGCTCCTGCGCCTGCTGCGTCTAGTCGGATGGCAAAGGCGACGCGCTCACATGCGCATGCGGCTGTTAAAGACGAGCCTGTCGAGACGGGGCTGCCTTCGAAGGGGGTGAAGAAGACCGCGGCGGCGGCGACGCCTGCTACGCGCACTCGCGCAGCTGTAGCTGCGGCTACTACGTCCAAGAAGGCGGAGATCTCGCGTATCCCGAGCCGCTCGGCCTTGCGGACGAACAAGGAGAACACGCCTTCGGTGGAGGACGATGACAGCGAGCCGTCGGCTCATAATACTGCTAAAACGGCAACGACGGCTGGGAAGACGCTCAGAGGAAAGAAGGCGGCGGGGAGCGAGGGCGAGGGTAAGAGTGAGGTGCTGGCGAAGACGAACACAAGGACGACGAGGGCGACGAGGACGCGGGGGACGACGTCGTGAGATCTTAATGATCTGAACTTAAAGGGTGTAATGTGTACTATTTTATTCTGTTCTTGAATGTGTACAGTATGGCTGATTTATTAAACTTTTTATGAGCTTTCGGTGATCGTGCACTGGTCGTGTTTTGAGAGGGAAGCCGAGACGCGTAAGGCATGTTGGGCTTCGAGAGGTGGACTTTATCTCGTCTAAAGTCAATGCTTATCTTGCGTTGCCCTCGTGATGATGGGCAGCGTTTTAAATAGGTGGCCGGTGGGATTGGTGCATGACGGAGGTGCGTCTCCAAACATTGGACAGTTGTACCCACTGATAACGAAGTATTCTCAGGACAGACAAACGCTGTTATATCTTGGCGGCCCGTATGACATGCGCCCATCCTCGCCTCGCCCTCCCCGTTCGTTATCGCCACCGCCGTTGGTCCACTGAACCGCCAATATGCCGACCAGTGCAGGCGAACAGATCCTCGACCAGGGCGTCGGCTACGGCGTCGTCCTCGGCATCGGCATCGTCTTTGCGCTGATCATGGTGTGCCTCTCCGCCCTGCAAAACCGGTACACGTCCTTCAAAATCGCCTCCTCGGAGGAATTCAACACCGCCTCGCGCTCCGTCAAACCGGGGCTCATCGCGTCGGGCATCGTGTCGGCCTGGACGTGGGCCGCGACGCTGCTGCAGAGCTCGACGGTGACGTACGAGTACGGGATCGCGGGCGGGTACTACTACGCCGCGGGCGCGACGCTGCAGATCCTGCTGATGAGCGTGCTCGCGGTCCGCGTGAAGACGATCGCGCCGTTCTGCCACACGTATCTCGAGATCGTGCACGCGCGGTACGGGAACGCGGGGCACCTCGTGTTTGTGCTGTTTGCGCTCGCGACGAACTTGATCGCGTCGAGCGAGATGTTGGTCGGTGGGAGCGCGGTGTTGAATGCGTTTACGGGGATGAATGTGTATGCGGCGAATTTTCTGATTCCGGTTGGGATTGCGCTGTATGTGATTCTTGGTGGGCTGAGGGCGACGTTTTTGTGTGAGTGAGGAGTTGGCTTTGAGGGTTTTGACTTGCTGATTTAGGGCTAGGTGATTATTCGCATACGTTCATTCTCATGATTCTGATTCTGTACTTCTACTTCTTCACCTATTGCGAGACGGACCTCATTGGCGGTTTGGATGGCATGTACGAGCTCCTTCGGCAGGCGGGTCAGCAAAGGCCAGTATCTGGCAACTATCAAGGGTCCTACCTTACGTTCAAATCTGACTGTGAGATTTCCTTTCCCAATGTCCGACATTTCACTGAGCCATTGTATTTCTTCAGACGGACTTGTTTTCATGGTAATCCAGATCGTGGGCGCCTTTGCTATCTGCGTTCTCGACCAAGTCTGTTTCTCTGTCGGCATACATTGGACATTACGCTGAACGTCCTTCACAGAGCTACTGGCAGCGGGCGATCGCCTCTAAGGCGGACACGGCCGTGCGTGCATATCTTATGGGCGGAATTGCGTGGCTTCCTGTTCCGTTGACATTCTCGACGACAATGGGTCTGGCTGCCATTGCGCTGACGAATAGTAAGCGAATTCTTGCTGGCGTCATATGTAGCTTACAAACAGCATGTAAAAGATCCTGCGTTTCCGTACTATCCAGATGGTATGACCGCTGCCCAGATCAGCGCTGGACTCGCTGCGCCTGCCGGGGTCGTGACGCTCCTAGGAAAGGGAGGTGCTGCAGCAATGGTGGGCTTGTAGTATGGTTGACCATGGAATGCATTTGTTCACGAATTGATATTTGTAGCTTATTCTATTGTTCATGGCCGTGACATCAGCAGCCTCTTCGGAGCTCATTGCGACGTCTTCGGTCCTAACGTTCGACATCTACCAGATACACATAAATCCTGAAGTACGTTATATATTTCACTAGGCATCAATACGTGTGTTTGAGACCTATTGTTAGGCATCCCCGGAAGCACTCGTCCGTATGTCCCACATTATGATCGCAGTGTGGGCCGTCACCATGGCCAGCGTCGCATGTCTCTGGAACGGAATCGGCCTCTCCCTAAACTGGCTGTTCCTCTCTATAGGCGTAGTTACGACTGGCGCCGTCGGCCCTGTGATCATGACCGTTCTCTGGAAGAAACAGTCGCGCGACGCCGCGATCGCAGGTGCCGTGGGCGGCTTGTGCGTAGGCATGACCTGCTGGATGCTCGTGGCTCGATACCACTTTGGTGCTATCACCATCACCACTACAGGTGCGATCTACATTGTTCGCCTCGCGCCTGCTTATCGATGGACTAACGGCGATGTTCATGGACAGGGGAGTCGTACTCCATGCTCGCAGGAAACCTGGGCTCTTTTTGTTCGGGACCGATCATTTCCGCTGTCGTGACCTGGTGGAGACCCGACACGGATTTTGACTGGTCTCAGACGCGAAACATCAACCCGCGCGGTCGGCAGCTGGCCAAGAACGGGCTCAGCATTCTTCCTGAAGGGCTGGAGGCAGGCTCGGTCCCTGCGGCTGACACCAGCCATGACAAGCAGATGTCGGAAGAGAAACAAGCAGCGGAAGTCGACGTTTCATCCAGGTCCGAGGACACCGAGCTGGACGTGGAGGACTACGCTTCGCTTGAGCGGTCGTATCGCTTCGCCATCTGGACAGCGATGACGATGTCTGTGATCATTATCCTCGTGAGATTACCGAGCCGTTAAATCAGTCCGCTCACCGGGCGGCTAACACTATTTTAATGATCTCCCAGGTCATTCCGCTTCCGTTGTTCTTCTCGGAGTACATATTCTCGCTGCGGTTCTTCAAGGCGTGGGTGATCATCTGTGTGATCTGGCTGTTCCTGGCCGCCGGTATCACATCGTTGCTGCCGCTGTGGGAGAGCAGGGCGGCGATGGGGGACATCGTTAGCGGGATATTGAAGGACATCAGGTGGGTAGGAGCCGCTTGACGCCTCAGGCATATGTTAACCCTGGACAAAGGCATCATCCAACGTCCTCGGAGTCGTGATTGTCTCGGATTTTTGGCTTCTGCAGCTAGATTTTATTGCACCGTTATTGTTCAATAGTTCTTACTCGGTTTGTTCGAAGCTCCGCATCACGGTCTCGGTGTGAACGTTGTACAAGGCGCAGTGATATCTAAAACAGACCGACATAGTTCAAGCATAGAAAAACTAGCCACGATTGGTGCGGCATCGAATCGCTCACACAAGATGCTCTCAATATAAGTCCTAACATAAGATGGAGAAACGAAGAATTTCCCATCGGAGATTTGGAGACCGTCGGTACCTTGTCAATTATGAGGCTGCGCCAGGGCCGCCTACTCGAGTCTCGATCGCGGCGCGCCTCGGTGCTCGGTAAGCGATACACAAATTAAGTAGCCGGCGGGAGCAACGTGGAAGTTGCAGGAAGTTGCATCTTCAATCTCTCTCAATCTTTCACTGATACGTGGGAGTGAGTCGCGGTTTTTTTTGACTCCCACGTCGCAGGGAGTCTGAGGATTCTCAAGCTCGTAGCTGGTTGACCAGACGCACTGTTCGTTAGCTGATATTTGAGATTACTTTTACATGTCAATTTCTCCATACATACGGGCGTAGAGCGAATTGAGCCGTTGTCGAAATCCCCGGCGCTGGTTACTGTGAGCTGTTGGGTTGGTAGAATCCGTATTCCTCTTTCGTGTGCAGCATCCCAAGCTTTCTTTTGATGCTGTCAAAATGGGGGCGCGGACCAAATGGGCAAAAATGAGCTTGTTCATATTCTTTCGACCATCTGCTGACCAAGCTTGTTGTTGACTTTTCCTGTTGCCCACATGGCGTGTAAAAGACGACTGTGCAAGGAACTCACAATCGAAAGCTCCATAGGTGTTTATTGCTCAGGAGAAGTCGTATCCCGAACAGCACTAGGGGTGTGCTTCTGATGCGCTTACAAGACCCCGAAATTTAAGCTTCGAGGACCACTTAACGACTTCTCAACGTTGATCTAGAAAAATGGAATAGGGTGGACCCTGGGCATCAAGGCGCACAGCCAAAGATTGCCGCTGTCTTTAGGACGGATATTTTGCTTGGAATACCCGTCTAGAGCTGTATATGATCTATTCAGTACGGTTCATGGTATATATGTCCCTGCACAGTGAAAACTTGCTGAGGAAGGAGAATGTTGAGGCGCTCGCAAGGATAGTATGTACTTACCAATCATACCTAGTGGAACGTGTCAACATATTCCGATGGGCCCGTTCTCCAATGTCCTCAGCCGGTTGTTAGCAGTAGCAGTCTCTGCTGAATGCGAACGTCGCATCTGGAGTCCTCCCTCCACTCTTCAGGGAAAGATATGCCAACAGCGGTAACCTGACAACATGATCTAAGGGCGCTGTCTTGTTCGAAGTGTAAGACTGGCGATTGAAGCGAACATTCCTTGTGAGTGAGTTGTAAGTACAGTTTCTATGAAACGAGGGTACGCTTTCAGACATGCTAACTTTACGACCTTTGCAGAGTTCAACCATCATGCATCATGGCAGTTTGCTCTAACCGTCTGGAGATGCCAGCAAGTCTGGGGCTGTACCCCGGTGGTGGTGAACCAGGAACGGCTAGAAGCACGTTCAGTAGACACACAGATGGAAGCATCTCCCCTCGTCGTGCACGACAATCGCGGGGGAACGAGATGGACAGATGGCGTCACTGGCAGAGAACGACCATATGTCGTGGATTCAGGGGCTAGAGTGGGAAAATTCAGACTCCGCGAGGATGAGCAGAGCACCCCATTTGCCTCCGGTCCTTTTGCAACGATAACCAGGTCGATGAAGCGAGCTTGTAATATTTCTCTTGCATATCCATCTTAATTATCCGAGACCCTTCATTATTCGGTAACTCCACACAACGTTAATGTTGAGATACACTCTTGTAAGCGGCGCCCAAGTAGAGTACATCCTGTCAAACCTTGCGAGCAGGGATGCCGCCATCATGCATCTGCATAGCTCCTACAACCCCCGACGAGCGACAACGTCGCTCCGCACGTGCCTCTCCTCACCCCCAATTCACTCGACTGATCTCGAGCTCAGGGCCACCAAACGATGGATATCCGGGTCGACGGCTAACTTGCTCAAATGGGGCCAGCAGCTGAGCCATCAAGGTAAACTTTGCGCCACGAAAACCGTAAGGACCGCAAAATTTTTCTAGGGACCCGACGACCGTCGACGGTAGATGCCGAGGTCCTGTTCTGACGACGACAGCGCTGGCTGGAAACAGCTGCCAGAAACCGACGACGCTTCGCGCCGCTTCACCTCGGTTGCACGCGATTCGAGAGTCAGATGGGCAGATGCAGAATGAATGCAGCTAGGGAAGCTCGCGAGACAGTTGAAGGGGAAAGAAAAAAACTCGATCGGTCGTCAACCGAGATTCTGGTAAGCCGCTGTACAGTGTATGTAGGTCCCAGTCGACTCAATTCAATCTGTATGAAGGGCAGGCGGCAACCTTTCCTCGGGACCACTTGTGTCTTATGATCTCTTGACATGGCGTGACATGCGCCCTTTCTCGAGATGCGCTAGGGTCCTTGGATTTCGGCAGCGCCGCAGAGGTTAATGGAACAGCTCTCTTTCAATTCGGATATAAAAAGGCGGGGGAGAGTCGTTGTCCTGACATCCTCTCGACTCGGCTCGACCTCTGTCACATAACACTGTATCACTCTCTCGACTCTCGCTTCAACTTCCACTCTTGGCTTTTGAGGCTGTATTCGAGCGCCCACTACATATCGACGCTTGCCCAGCGTTTCGTGCCTCACGTAAATTGAAAGGAAGCATAATAACCAGGAACTTGAAACAGAAACAAGCGCGATGGCCGCCGGCGACTACGACGGGACGATCGGTACCTTGCTGATCGGTATCTTCTGTGCGTTTACATACTGTGACCTCAGAGTCATAATCATAGTACCATGCAGCGATGCTAACGCTGACGTGCGGCCTGTATGCAGTCAACACGTACCTCTATGGCCTGGTCACGTACCAGTTCGCCGCGTACCACCGCGCGAGTGAGTGTCCCTTTGATCTTGTTGATGTAACACGGTGCTGATTCGACGATGGTGGTATGGCCAGAGTTCAATGACCGGCTCGAGCTGAGGCTGATGGTTCTGTTCCTGTTCCTCCTGGACACGGTGCATAGTGCAGCGTACGTCTCTTTCGCCTTTCTCGCTGACTTGCCGGGTTCTTACTGTGCATCAGTGTGATCTATATGGCCTGGGTTTATGTGTACGTTTTCGTTTGACCCTCGAGGGTTTGATCGTGTAAATAACCCGGGACGTAGTGTAACGAATTACGACCAGCCGGCCGCGCTCACGAGTACGTCCCGTTTTTTGTCTGATGTGGGGTTGAACCATGACTGAGCCGTCGTTTAGATGCGCTTTGGCCGTACACGTTCACGCCCATCGCGACTGCGCTGGCCGCGCTCTTGACTCAGATCTTCCTGGGCCACCGTATCTGGCGCCTGAGCGGGAGCAACGTGCTCTTCGGGATCGTTATCCTCCTCGCCATCCCGTCATGCATCCTCGGCTTCCTCTGCGGGATCAAGGCATGGATCATCAAAGTGTAAGTCCCACTCACCTCACCGCACAGACGCACACGTATTGAGCCTCGATGTTGCGCAGACTCGTCGAGCTCCCGCAGATCAACAACCTCGTGACGGGGTGGCTCGTGATGCAGGTGATCGCGGACGCGTTCGTGACCGGGACGCTGTCGATCATCCTCGCGCGCTCGCGGACGGGATTCCGGAAGACGGACACGGTGATCAACCGGCTGATCCGGGGCGCGATCCAGACGGGGTTGTTCGCGGGGATTTTTTCGTTGTGCGATCTGCTCACGTTTCTTGAGCTGCCGACGACGAATCTGTATGGGATGTTTGCGATTCCGATTGGGCGGATTTATACGAATGTGGGTGGCAGGCAGTCGTGGCGTTTGTGATGCATGCTGACGGCTTGTTTGTTGGGAAGACTCTGCTGGACACGCTCCTTTCGCGCCAGGACCTGCGAAATCAGATGGCAAGCGGCACAGCGGTCAACATGGACTCGATGGTGAGCCCCAGTAGTTTGATAACCCGTTCGGCACGCTTAATCCACCCTGTTTCTCCCTGTTTCCCAGAGTGCGTGGGGACCTTCGCAGGGGAGCCGACCCGGGAACGTGCACCAGCTGTCGGAGCTGGAGATCCGGAAAGAGGTGCAGGTCGTCTCGGACACGGGGTCGTTCGAGACGAAGGGCGCCATGCCCATCCCGGAGGAGCCCTGAGGGGCTTCTGCTTCTGCTTCGCCAAAGGCTATCATGCCGACAGGAAAAGGATGTGCCAGTCCACCGTGACTGGCAGGGTGCTGGCTCCCAATTTCAGCCTGGCCAGCCTACGGGGGCGGCTCATGGCTCTCGCACACGGCTCGAGCGTGCTTATTTATGTGTTCTTCTCCTTCTTCTCCTTCTTCTTCGTGTGTGTCTTATTGCTTCGTGTTCATTGGCCTGGTTTCGCATTTGGCATCTCTGTCTCATCATAGATTCGATTCACTCATTGCATGTCCCACTCTCATTTGCTCTCGCTCTCTCACTCTGTGGTCTCTGTCGCTGCTATCCCCTCGCTATCGTACACTCGTTCAACGCTGGACTAATGTTTATAGTAAGTTACGACATCAATATAACTTGACTTGAAACAGCTTGGGTGCCCTGATCAGTGATGCGCGTGGGCTTTCACATAGAAACGTAACGTCTGATATTTGCATCGCCATCGTCGCAGACTCACACGAGCGGTTTCATTTATGTCAAACACACGTAAGGGATCCGCAGTGCGGGGAAGGAGGGAACGGGGTGCCGATACAAGAAAGGGAGGTATTGTGTAAGATGCCGGTGAGTCTGTTGATTTCGATGGTGATCGAGGATACAGTCATTTGCATTCCAACCCGGAAAACGCGCGTCTCGCGGCGTGTTTGTTCTGGACAAAGCTTAGCCATATATAGTAGTCACGCGCGAGCTTTTGATACTCCGACGTGACTTCGGCTTTATGGACGCTGCTGTTGTGCCTCGCAGTCAACACACACTGTAATACAACCCGCGTCAGAGAGTTTTGTTTAGTAGAGTTGATTAAGTTAGAGTATAGTGATACCAATCTATCTTACCACAATACCTAAGTCATGTTGCCTCAGATCAGCTCGGAATTATACCACAAATCACCGAGTGGTTTTTTGACGAACTAGCTGTTTGACCCGTGGGCAGCCACGGGATAGACATATCTTACAGAATGCTGTAAATGTTATTGAACTAACAGAATAAGTGGTTATCATGTAGATTTCCGATGGAATATTGCCCAATGAAAACACAATCATGATGCGCTTAGTATCATAGTACTTGGTGACTCCTTCACCCATATACAACCTCTCAATTCACCCGTACAACTTTCAGCTTACCATGCATCTCCCAGCTCACCCGTCCATCTCCCTATCCACCCGTCCATATCTCCATTTGCCCAAACTTTTCCCAGGTCGCCCGAGAACAGAGGCCTCATATTGGATTCAAGGTTGGGTTTTTCATTTCTTATGTGTTCCGGAACACCCGTAGACTACTGTCTTTTTTCGACCAAAAGTTCGTCCCGTGTCCCACCGGACCGGTGACATGAACTTTTTGGTCAGTTTGTCCCGCATCTGTAGACGCCCGCGAACTAAAAAGCGGGACACACCGTAAATAGCAGAAAAACGCATATGTATTCATCAAATAAGCTCCTACAACCATTCTAAGACTACCTAGTGCCCGAAAAACCCGCTGAAGTTCTTGTTCGACGTCTTGCGGCGCTTACCACGGCCTAAAGTGTCCGGTTCAGGCATATGAGCAGCCTCAACGTCCGCTTCATGCTCATCTGTAACGTCAAGGCCATTCTCGGCCCCGCTTGAGCCGTCAGGGTACAGAATCCTACCCAGAACATCAGCCGAATCCATCCACATATCGTCGGCATCGGCATCGTCCTCCATCTCAAAGGGATCAACGTCGGCGTCAGGTACCTGAGCCTCAATGTCCTCCTTCTCGGATGCAGGAGGTGTGGAGATCCGATCCCAGAGATCCGGGTTAGATTGGGGGAGATCACGGAGGATCTTGAGGGCGGCCGAGCTAGAGAGCGACTCAAACGAGAGGTCGAAGCCTCCCTTGACCGTGCATTGACTGAATGACTGTTCGTAGTTAAAAATCTGACCAATGCAAAAACTGTGCAAATTTCTCGGAATTTATACTGGGAGGCCAGGGGAATTTGGCGGACATTTTGGTCCTATTTTTGTGGTCTGGTCCGGACATTTGGGGTTCGGTCGGCACCAAGCCTTGGTAGGGATATTCGGGGGTCCTACCGGTATCCCATCCCCGATGAACTCTTGTCCCATGCCCAAAAAGCCCGACGAACCTTGTCCCGCACCCAACTACCCTCACGAACCAAAAAGCGGGACACGCCGTATTTGGTAGTCATCTTCCCACGCCACCCCGCGAACTTTTGGTCGAAAAAAGACAGTACTAATCTGATACACATGCCACCCAAATTGACCATAATCAACCCTAGGACTCAGATCGTCCTCACCCGACACTAACTACAACATGAGATTGTTACAGATTGTCAAGGAGGACGAAGCTGGAGCGCACGATGCAACGGAAGGTTGTGAGAAAAAAGTGCGAAAGAGGCAACTGTCCAGAATAGCCGAGACGCGGCGGAATCAGCCAATCAGATGTCCGTTTTGTCTCATCCTCAGCCAATCACATATCAGTTTTGTCTCGCGGGAAAAATACCAAGCTCTAATTCAATGTAGAATACCAAGCTCTAATTCAATGTAGAATAAAACACTGCCTGTCAAGGAGCCTCAGATTGTTGCCCGAACCCTTGCCCGAACCGGCACTTAGATCCTCTTCTGCAACATCTACGAAATAATTTCTCACTATCGGAAGATAGACAGTGTTGACCGAGTCCAATTCCTGGCCTCAGGCCTCAGGACGTGCACGGATTTCATCAACTGAAATGTCAAATATGTTATACTAAGTAACATGAGTCCATACTCACTCAGGCATCTATCTTGACAAACTCTAAGTGCACCTTTTGGAAGAAGGAATATTCATGTATTGATTCAACAGTTTCACAACCCCTCCGGGGCGCTGCATTCTCCCACAAGGAGGATCCACAAGACTGCGGGCAGCATAGATGGAGGGGGGAAACGCCTGGAAACGCGCCCAGTGGTAACAGACAGTCACACTGTGATCGCGTGTGACCACAAGCCAAATCGGGTATGAGTTTGCGCGGAACAAACAGTTCGCGAGACGCGCGTTTTCCGGGTTGGAATGCAAATGACTGTAGGAAGGTCAGAAGGGAAGAAAGGAAGGAATCGGAGAGGTGGAAGATGGGTCAACCATTCCTGCCGTCGATTGTTTTTCTGCCCCGGTCTTTCTCCTGTTGTGCAGCCGGAATGCCGCTTTGGCTCCGCACATCTCATCACGGCATGAGCGAGATAGTAAAAGCAGGCGTCTGCTTGTCCCGATCCCTTTGTCGGATGCCCAAGGCGCTCTGGGCATGGGAGATGGGCCAATGGGGGAGCAGATGAGGGTGCCGTTGACGTGCAGTGGACCCTGGCCACCAGCTCGGGCACTGTGGACCCCGTGTGCAGTGGCGGGGAAGTGATGGTGTTATAAGGTCAGCTGCGTCCCAGATCAGAACTATCCTCTTCCCTCTCTAAAACAACAATGGCTGAACAAATCCCCATTCACCCCGTCGCCCCGCGTCTCAAGACTGGCGACCGCAAACCCCACGTCGGCCCCGACCACAAGGCGTACAAGGATGTTCACACCGAGACTGTCGGTCATGAATCGGACAAATGGTGGGCCCATGTACGTCCCATCGTTCACGCCGATCCATTATCGCCATTAATGCCCTTCCCAACCAGATGGCCCGCCAGACCCTCCACTGGGACAGGCCCTTCCACACAGTCCGTGCAGGCGGATTCGAAAACGGCGATATCGTCTGGTTCCCTGACGGTGGCCTCAACGCGTCTTACAACTGCGTCGATCGCTGGGCATTCAAGCACCCCGACAAGGTCCCCTCCCTCCCTTATCACGCGCCTTTGACGCGTACTAAACCTGCATGTGAAATTCCATAGGTTGCCATCGTGTACGAGGCAGACGAGCCTGGTGAAGGCAGCCTCATCACCTACCGCGAGCTCCTCAGCGAGGTCTGCTCCATCGCCAATGTCCTCAGGAACCTCGGCGTCAAAAAGGGCGATACCGTCTCCATCTACCTCCCCATGACATGGCAGGCCGTCGCTGCCTTCCTCGCCTGCGCCCGCATCGGCGCAGTCCACTCCGTCGTATTCGCAGGCTTCAGCGCCGAGTCCCTCCGCGACCGCGTCCACGACTGCAAGTCCCGCGTGCTCCTCACCAGCGACGAGGGGCGGCGCGGTGGCAAGACGATCGCTACAAAGGCGATCGTCGATGCTGCCCTCAAGGGCTCCTCCGTCGTAGAGCACGTTCTCGTCCTTCAGCGCACTGGCAACGACGTGGCTTGGACCGAGGGCCGTGACTTGTGGTGGCACGAGGAGACCGCCAAGGTGCCCAACTACTGCCCGCCGGAGATCATGGCCTCCGAGGACCCGCTCTTCATTCTCTACGTGCGTCTTTCGCGTTTCACACTTTTGCCGTCCTAGATTCCCCACACGCGCCGCATTACTGAGCTCATGATGGAGTTGCTGAGACGTGGCTATATATAGACCTCCGGTTCGACCGGAAAGCCCAAGGGCGTCGTCCACACCACTGGCGGGTACCTCCTCGGTGCCGCGCTGACGGTCAAGTACGTGTTCGACGTGCACCCGGACGACAAGTTCGCGTGCATGGCCGACATCGGCTGGATCACGGGCCACACCTACATCGTGTACGGCCCGCTCGCGAACGGCGTCTCGACGACCGTATTCGAGTCGACGCCCGTGTACCCGACGCCGTCGCGCTACTGGGAGACGGTCGAGAAGCACAAGATTACGCAGTTTTACTCGGCGCCGACGGCGATCCGGCTGCTGAGGAGGCTGGGCGAGCAGCATGTCGAGAAGCATGATTTGAGTACGCTGCGTGTGCTCGGGAGTGTTGGGGAGCCGATCAATCCCGAGGCGTGGAATTGGTATAATGAGCATGTCGGGCGGAAGCAGTGTGCGATTGTCGATACCTTCTGGTGCGTCGCTTTTGAGTTGTCCTTTGATCTACTTGTGCTGATCGCTGGTGTTGGATAGGCAAACGGAAACTGGCTCGATTGTCGTCACGCCTTTCCCCGGTGCGATCGAGACGAAGCCGGGATCGGCTACCGTGCCCTTCTTTGGTATCGAGCCTGTTATTCTCGACCCTGTCACGGGCAGGGAGCTCGATGGCAACAATGTCGAGGGCGTGCTTGCGATCAAGAACCCCTGGCCGTCGATCGCGCGTACGGTGTACAACGACCATGCGCGGTACCTCGAGACGTATATGAAGGTAGGTCTGCGTGGCTAGCGAAATGCGCGAGACGAAGCTGACGAAATGCAATAGCCGTACCCTGGGGTGTTCTACACTGGTGACGGCGCTGCCCGTGATGAGCACGGGTATATCTGGATCAAGGGCCGTATCGATGGTGCGTGCCAGTTTGTCTTTGTGGGAGCTTGTGCTCATCTTGGTCTTTGGTAGATGTCATCAACGTATCTGGACATCGTCTGTCGACAGCGGAGATTGAGTCGGCGCTCATCTGCCACAAGGGTGTCGCAGAGACGGCGGTCATTGGTACGGCCGATGAGCTCACAGGCCAGGCCGTCTACGCGTTCGTCACACTGAAACCGTGAGTACGCTGTAAACACGTGTTGCGACCACCCACCCACGAGTGACGTTTATCCTGTAGGGAATTCACGTACGACCCCAGCGACGAGGCCGCGCTCACCAAGGAGCTCGTCCTCCAGGTACGCAAGGTGATCGGCCCCTTTGCGGCGCCGAAGAAGATCTTCATCGTCAGCGATCTGCCCAAGACGCGCTCTGGCAAGGTGCGCCTCCCCCTCTTTCTTTGGTTTCGCGGGTATAGCAAGCAGAGCGGCTGATTGTGGGCGTGATTGACGTAGATTATGCGCCGCATTATGCGCAAGATCGTCGCAGGCGAGGGCGACCAGCTTGGGGATCTGAGTACTGTTGCGGAGCCGGGCGTTGTTGATGTTATCAAGAAGAAGGTTGCGGAGAGCGCTTGATAGGCGGGGTCTTTTCTTCTCCTTGTTTCCTCGCCCGGCTTCGCACTTCGTCTTCTTCTGCCTTATATCTTGTTGTTTCGTCGTTTTGTCGTCGGGTTTGATTGTGAGTGGTTTGAGGTAGCTTTGCGGATAGTTGACGGGACAGCTGTAAGGAGGAGTGTTGTTTTGATTGACACCTAGTAGAAGTTTACCCACGAGCTAGTGCATGATTGATTGTACTCTAGATGTAACGTGTATTAATGGTTGTTATGCATTGTTCTGTTTTTTTTCGTATGTTGGGGATGGTGGGTGTGGAAGGTGCGGACGGGTTAATTTCGTGGCACAGCCCCTTCGGAATTGGCCGAGCGGCGTTCCGAGCCACTATCTCGCCTCCGGACGCCACCCTTGTCATTTGACCTCCTTCTCTCGGTGTCTCTTGTTCTCTTTTGGTTTCTTGCTTGAGACTGGACTCGTGATCCAGCATAGGGGACGACGGTCTACGAATGAATACCGACGGATTTCCTGCCACTGCGTTTTGGACCGGATCATTCATCGTAAACGGTGGAACCTGGCCATCTGACGGTTCACCATCAACAGCATCCTTGAGAGGGCAAACGCAAACCACACGGCTCTCGCTTTCAGTTTATCCTCCCGGCTAAAGATAGCTGGTCCTGCGTTCAGTGTGACCGCTCAAGCAGTCATGTGTCTCCTAGGACTCGGAGCTCGACACGGCATGTGGTGAAGTCTCCGCTCGACCACCATGTCGTCGACAGGTTCCAACTTGAAGGGGATCGCGTTCATAGGTGCTGGTTTGTACGCCAAAGAAAGTGAGTCTGTCTTACCTCTGTCTTCTGCGTCCGAGAGTCGAGGTCTGACACCGCAAAAGCACACATCCCAGCTCTCGCGAGCACGCGCGCCGTCGCGCTCCCGCTCAAAGCGGTATGGTCGCGCACACAGAAGAGCGCGGCGGAGCTCTCGGCCGAGGCTGCCTCGCAGCTCGGCTTGGCTCCGGATGTTTACTACGATGTTCCTGATGCTAGCGACGGGGACGAGAAAGCCACGGCGCGGAGCCTCGCTGCGCTCCTCGCGCGCGAGGATATCGTCGCCGTGAATATTATCCTGCCCATCTGCGCGCAGCCCGCGGTGATCCGCGAGGCGCTCGCGGCGGGCAAGCACGTGTTGAGCGCGAAGCCGATCGCGCCGGACGTGCGGGAGGGGAAGGCGCTGGTTGCGGAGTACGAGGGGCGGTATAAACGCCGAGGGCTGGTGTGGAGGATTGCGGAGAATTTTGAGAGCGAGCCTGGGTATGTTGCTGCTGGGCGGGCGGTGAGGGAGGGGAAGATTGGGAAGGTGAATTTTTTTAGTATGAGGTCGGTGGGGTATATGGATAAGACGTCGAAGTGGTATAAGACGCCGTGGAGGACTGTGCCGGATGTGAGTGTTGTGTTAGGATGAGGAGATGTGGTTTATTGACAAGTAGTTTAGTATCAGGGTGGGTTTCTGGTGAGTGTATCGCTACAATGCCGCGAACCGTGTTCTGATCGAAATATGTCAGCTAGATGGAGGAGTGGTAAGTCGTTGCTCTCAGTTGAATCCTAACGGAAGCTAAGCTGAACTGCGCCAAAGCACCAAACATCCGCGCTCCGCATCATGCTATCTCCGGTAACCCACCTCACCGGCTTCGCGTCATTGTACAAGTCCTATCTCCCGCCGCACGACACGACGCACTCGGTCCTCAAGACCGCCTCGGGCGCGCAAGGCATCCTCGAAATGACGTTCGCCGCACCTTCGTCGACCCTCACCAAGGGCAACGGCACGACCATCTCTGGATCTAACGGATGGCTTTCCGTCGAGAGCGCGAGGGGCACGGACGCATCCGGGAAGGAGATCGGCGTCATTCGCGTGACCACCAGGTCCGTCGAGGTGTCAGAGGACGGAAAGGCGGGCCCGGAGACGGTCGAGACGGCAGATTATCCTGTCAGGGGCGTTGAGGCGGAGTGGGAGAGCTTTTTTGCTGTTGTTAAAGGGGAGAAGGACGATGGTCTAGGGAGCCCGAGGGGCGCGTTGGCGGATGTGGCTATCGTCGAGGCGGCGCTGACGAGTCAGGGGGAGTTGGTTGATTTGGTCAAGCTGATTTCGTAGTCGACTCTGTGTAGAGTGCACAAATCGCGGATGAACAGCTAAATCTGGAGACCCTATGGGATGTAGCAGGTACATGTGTATCACCCGGCGAGTTTGCCCATCTGAAAAAGAACAATGGTTGATTGATGAGGAGCCACATAGTACAATGAAGAACATGAGAAGAGCTACGCCTATGTTGTATGAAAACGGGATGAATGTCTACATATATGGCTGTCGAGAATTATTGCCAAGCACAAAGCTGATGCAAGTCGTACATAGATTTGCGTACCGGGGTCCACCAATCTAGACAGACAATGCCTGCTTGACAACCTCGGGTGTCTGTGCGCAAGACTCATCCGCTGTTTCGTGGCCGGTCGTCTTATCATATTTGAACCGGAGTGTGCTCATAGTATACACGGGTGCGGGAGAATATCCGGGCTATAAGAAAGATCAGCCGTGCCCGAATTTCCGACACCTAAAGACGAACCACACTGTTTATGCTGGTAGGATCCGCCAACAGCTGGTTGCGCAGAGTTTCGCGGGTAAGGAGCGTGTCGAGTAACGTCTAGGCGAGGACCGATCGCGGTTAGGAGAACGTTCGGAGGAGGGAGCAGACTGAGATGAACTTACGTTGGTGTATATCCGTCCAATGGGCATCGCGAACATTCCGTACAAGTTTGTGTTTGGCGCGACGAGGAACGGGATGAGGTCGCCCAGAGAGAAGACGCTGGCAAAAAGACCCGTTTGGATGGCACCGCGCATAATCTGGTTGACTACGCCGGTCGTGCGCCGGAAGGTGGTGCGTGAGCGTCCAAGGATCGTGATCAGCGTAGCTGCCCGAGGATGCGAGGAGTTAAACGGTCTGTTCGGTAACCAGGTGCAAGGACGTACCGGTGATAAAAACATCGATGGCGACTTGAAGGACGAGCCAGGAAGTCACCAGATGGCTTATAGAGACCATGTTGGGGATGCTGCGAAGTCTATGAGTCAGCGATGCCATTTGAAAAGAAAGGGCGGGGTTTACTAGTTAATGATCCACGCCTTGATACCACATGCCGCTCCCAGACCGAAGGAGACGATTGCAAGGACAATGATAATTCTAAATAAGAGAGCATTACCGCTCAGTCTCCATATCCTGTCATGTCGCGTGGAGACCCAGGAATTTATAGGGGGTGAGAGGGATCTACCGCCAGCCGTCGAATATTTGGGTTGCTAGCGCTGCCAGGGCAGTAGCAATGGGCGTGAAAGGATATGGCCAGGACACGTCTAGAGACCGAGTGAGCTTCGTTTCTTAAGAAGGTTGGCCGGCCGCGACTTACAGAGCAACGCCTCCGGATTCGTGTAGTTCGTGACACTACGGCGAATTCAGGTAAAAAATGCGAGTAGGGAAGAAGGATGTTCAACGACGTACACATAATACCGGGCCATGTAGATTATCCTGATGATGTGCGTGAGTACAGGAGGCGATCAGAGTTGTGCAACTTACGAAGCACTATGCACGGTGTCCAGGACAAAAAGGAAGGCGACCATGGCTCTGATACCTAGTCAGTTCGCGAGCAAGACTCTGGATTAAACGTTTGACATACTTCACCGAGAACCTATCGTTGAAGTCTCAAGACCAAGGTCGGTTCGAGGCAACAAGGGACTAGAGCTGTACTCACTCAGTCTCTTGTATAGGGCAAACTGATACATGACAAGGCCATAAATAAACGTGTTAACTGGGTGTTATGGTTCGGAACCTCGTAGATTACTATTACGATGTTCTGATAACTATGTTCGTATACGCCTGGTGCGTATGGTTCAAAGAGATCTAATCTCTTAGGTCTTGTTATCTTATCTTTCGTGATGTCGGTTATCGATAGTCCTTGACTATGATCTTAGAGCGAGTTCGAGATGTACGTAGTAATAGAGGTAGAACTAGTCTGAGGTCTTAGGCCTCGTACATGAGGGTTTATATACCTATTCTACTAGTTGCTTACTAAGAAGGTCGAATGAGTCACATTGACTCATGAGACGTGAAGAGCGAATCAAGAGGACTCGCATTAATAGTACTAATACAGTCAAGGGTCCGAGAATGAGTTGCTACCGAGAATATGAGTCGTAAGGACTCATGGTTCGTAATCAAGCCGTTATGACTCATAAGGAGTCAAAGATGTTACAAAGAAACAGATAGAATGAAATAGAATCTACTAGTAGTGTCCAGTTGCTGATACTAGTAGATGTTCATACGAATACGAAGTAGAAAGTAAACCAATCGTAACA